ACCCAATTTTAAAGGGACGTATTCAGTAAACCTGCACAAAAGACAATGCTACTTGAACTAGCCATCAGAAGTTCATGAAAAACGAAAAATCAATGATGTTCAGTTTAGTAAAGTAGCAAATAGTCCTACTTATGAGAGAATATAAATCACTTAAGCAATTTGTACAACTTTAAACAGCTGTTTTAAGTAGATTAGTATCGTTATGGGCAAAAATCCCCCAAAATAGCCCAAAATTTGTCCAAAAATTCAAAAATTTCATGCTCAAGGCTGAATTATTTTGACTATTTTGCTACATTTATCAGTGCAGTGACAAGAAGTCTTGTGGATAGCGCAACTTTTCCTGAACGTTTCTCTAATAAGATATTTTAATGACAAAATAACTACATTTAGTCTGGAATAAATTGTCACAAAATATAATGACCCCAGGGGTCAAGAGAACCCTATAGAATCAAAAGTGCTGAGGGGATTTGAGCAAAAATGTACATATCACTTCATAAAACCCCGAACTTTAAAATTCATATTGAATAAAATGCATATTCAGTCAACCATGACACTAATATCAACCACATTTATTAGTGAATTTCGAGAAATATGTCGAATTTAGCCATATTTCGCATATGTTTCTATGGGACCATTTAAAGTTTTGCAAATTAACCCCTAAAATTCTGGAGACGACGATCTAAATTTTGCTGAGTCAGCAATTTTCGTTTTTTCATTGAAAACAGTACTTTTCAGCCTAAGTTGCTACATTTCTGCTCTCTTATCAAGTAATTTGATGCAGTTCTTGCCAAATTAAAGGAAACACACCCCAAACGTTCCACAGTGTGCAAAGTTCCAACATTTTGACCCTTTAAACCCACGAAAGACCCAATTTTAAAGGGACGTATTCAGTAAACCTGCACAAAAGACAATGCTACTTGAACTAGCCATCAGAAGTTCATGAAAAACGAAAAATCAATGATGTTCAGTTTAGTAAAGTAGCAAATAGTCCTACTTATGAGAGAATATAAATCACTTAAGCAATTTGTACAACTTTAAACAGCTGTTTTAAGTAGATTAGTATCGTTATGGGCAAAAATCCCCCAAAATAGCCCAAAATTTGTCCAAAAATTCAAAAATTTCATGCTCAAGGCTGAATTATTTTGACTATTTTGCTACATTTATCAGTGCAGTGACAAGAAGTCTTGTGGATAGCGCAACTTTTCCTGAACGTTTCTCTAATAAGATATTTTAATGACAAAATAACTACATTTAGTCTGGAATAAATTGTCACAAAATATAATGACCCCAGGGGTCAAGAGAACCCTATAGAATCAAAAGTGCTGAGGGGATTTGAGCAAAAATGTACATATCACTTCATAAAACCCCGAACTTTAAAATTCATATTGAATAAAATGCATATTCAGTCAACCATGACACTAATATCAACCACATTTATTAGTGAATTTCGAGAAATATGTCGAATTTAGCCATATTTCGCATATGTTTCTATGGGACCATTTAAAGTTTTGCAAATTAACCCCTAAAATTCTGGAGACGACGATCTAAATTTTGCTGAGTCAGCAATTTTCGTTTTTTCATTGAAAACAGTACTTTTCAGCCTAAGTTGCTACATTTCTGCTCTCTTATCAAGTAATTTGATGCAGTTCTTGCCAAATTAAAGGAAACACACCCCAAACGTTCCACAGTGTGCAAAGTTCCAACATTTTGACCCTTTAAACCCACGAAAGACCCAATTTTAAAGGGACGTATTCAGTAAACCTGCACAAAAGACAATGCTACTTGAACTAGCCATCAGAAGTTCATGAAAAACGAAAAATCAATGATGTTCAGTTTAGTAAAGTAGCAAATAGTCCTACTTATGAGAGAATATAAATCACTTAAGCAATTTGTACAACTTTAAACAGCTGTTTTAAGTAGATTAGTATCGTTATGGGCAAAAATCCCCCAAAATAGCCCAAAATTTGTCCAAAAATTCAAAAATTTCATGCTCAAGGCTGAATTATTTTGACTATTTTGCTACATTTATCAGTGCAGTGACAAGAAGTCTTGTGGATAGCGCAACTTTTCCTGAACGTTTCTCTAATAAGATATTTTAATGACAAAATAACTACATTTAGTCTGGAATAAATTGTCACAAAATATAATGACCCCAGGGGTCAAGAGAACCCTATAGAATCAAAAGTGCTGAGGGGATTTGAGCAAAAATGTACATATCACTTCATAAAACCCCGAACTTTAAAATTCATATTGAATAAAATGCATATTCAGTCAACCATGACACTAATATCAACCACATTTATTAGTGAATTTCGAGAAATATGTCGAATTTAGCCATATTTCGCATATGTTTCTATGGGACCATTTAAAGTTTTGCAAATTAACCCCTAAAATTCTGGAGACGACGATCTAAATTTTGCTGAGTCAGCAATTTTCGTTTTTTCATTGAAAACAGTACTTTTCAGCCTAAGTTGCTACATTTCTGCTCTCTTATCAAGTAATTTGATGCAGTTCTTGCCAAATTAAAGGAAACACACCCCAAACGTTCCACAGTGTGCAAAGTTCCAACATTTTGACCCTTTAAACCCACGAAAGACCCAATTTTAAAGGGACGTATTCAGTAAACCTGCACAAAAGACAATGCTACTTGAACTAGCCATCAGAAGTTCATGAAAAACGAAAAATCAATGATGTTCAGTTTAGTAAAGTAGCAAATAGTCCTACTTATGAGAGAATATAAATCACTTAAGCAATTTGTACAACTTTAAACAGCTGTTTTAAGTAGATTAGTATCGTTATGGGCAAAAATCCCCCAAAATAGCCCAAAATTTGTCCAAAAATTCAAAAATTTCATGCTCAAGGCTGAATTATTTTGACTATTTTGCTACATTTATCAGTGCAGTGACAAGAAGTCTTGTGGATAGCGCAACTTTTCCTGAACGTTTCTCTAATAAGATATTTTAATGACAAAATAACTACATTTAGTCTGGAATAAATTGTCACAAAATATAATGACCCCAGGGGTCAAGAGAACCCTATAGAATCAAAAGTGCTGAGGGGATTTGAGCAAAAATGTACATATCACTTCATAAAACCCCGAACTTTAAAATTCATATTGAATAAAATGCATATTCAGTCAACCATGACACTAATAGGGTCAATATAACCTACTTGAGATTTGTTTTGCTCATCGTATAGGAAAAGTAGTACTTAATACACTAGTTCGCTACTTTGTAGATGTATGGCACGTATATGTGTACATGTATTGGCAATTAATGTTTGGTGATAGCTAGTAGGAGTGTCAGGGACCGCTGACAGATTATTATTTTGAACCAAAAAATTGAATTAAATTTTTGGCGGTCTCAGTAAATCAATGGGGTAATCAGGTCCTACGTGCTTTTTACAGGCCCAGAAATCAATGCTCGCTTATAAATGTAGCAAAATCTTTTTTCGTTCGTGGGATATTTTTTTCACCATATAACCGAACGGGAAGTTTTTGAATAGGACTACATGATCTGAATGGATGTGAGGATTCGATGGGCTGGGATTTGAGAAATTATGATTTGAACTTTGCCAATTTTACATGTATTCCAATGGGTGAAAAAGTAAGTTGCTTTCTACCTAATATCAACCACATTTATTAGTGAATTTCGAGAAATATGTCGAATTTAGCCATATTTCGCATATGTTTCTATGGGACCATTTAAAGTTTTGCAAATTAACCCCTAAAATTCTGGAGACGACGATCTAAATTTTGCTGAGTCAGCAATTTTCGTTTTTTCATTGAAAACAGTACTTTTCAGCCTAAGTTGCTACATTTCTGCTCTCTTATCAAGTAATTTGATGCAGTTCTTGCCAAATTAAAGGAAACACACCCCAAACGTTCCACAGTGTGCAAAGTTCCAACATTTTGACCCTTTAAACCCACGAAAGACCCAATTTTAAAGGGACGTATTCAGTAAACCTGCACAAAAGACAATGCTACTTGAACTAGCCATCAGAAGTTCATGAAAAACGAAAAATCAATGATGTTCAGTTTAGTAAAGTAGCAAATAGTCCTACTTATGAGAGAATATAAATCACTTAAGCAATTTGTACAACTTTAAACAGCTGTTTTAAGTAGATTAGTATCGTTATGGGCAAAAATCCCCCAAAATAGCCCAAAATTTGTCCAAAAATTCAAAAATTTCATGCTCAAGGCTGAATTATTTTGACTATTTTGCTACATTTATCAGTGCAGTGACAAGAAGTCTTGTGGATAGCGCAACTTTTCCTGAACGTTTCTCTAATAAGATATTTTAATGACAAAATAACTACATTTAGTCTGGAATAAATTGTCACAAAATATAATGACCCCAGGGGTCAAGAGAACCCTATAGAATCAAAAGTGCTGAGGGGATTTGAGCAAAAATGTACATATCACTTCATAAAACCCCGAACTTTAAAATTCATATTGAATAAAATGCATATTCAGTCAACCATGACACTAATAGGGTCAATATAACCTACTTGAGATTTGTTTTGCTCATCGTATAGGAAAAGTAGTACTTAATACACTAGTTCGCTACTTTGTAGATGTATGGCACGTATATGTGTACATGTATTGGCAATTAATGTTTGGTGATAGCTAGTAGGAGTGTCAGGGACCGCTGACAGATTATTATTTTGAACCAAAAAATTGAATTAAATTTTTGGCGGTCTCAGTAAATCAATGGGGTAATCAGGTCCTACGTGCTTTTTACAGGCCCAGAAATCAATGCTCGCTTATAAATGTAGCAAAATCTTTTTTCGTTCGTGGGATATTTTTTTCACCATATAACCGAACGGGAAGTTTTTGAATAGGACTACATGATCTGAATGGATGTGAGGATTCGATGGGCTGGGATTTGAGAAATTATGATTTGAACTTTGCCAATTTTACATGTATTCCAATGGGTGAAAAAGTAAGTTGCTTTCTACCTAAACAAAATAAAAGAAGTGATTTATTCAGTCCGTAAAGCTCGTGACATTTTAAAGTACTTCCGCCACATGTGAAATTTCGGAAAAATGTCTCACTACAATTTTAAGAAGATTACGGTCGTACCATCGTCAAAGGTTAGTATTCACTAACAACACTATATAAATCGATACTTAAATTACTCTCATATGAGTTTTTAAATAGATCTAGAGTTGGTTTGAATAGATTTAATTATCGGTCTTGAAAATAAAAATATGTCATCGTGATGATCATGAATGTTCACAAGTTACAGTATGTATCCAACAGACCGAATATAATATTCGGTCTGTTATGATTAATACTTTTCGCATGGAAATCTCGGCGATATTTTGTGCACATAAATTTCTCGTTTGCACTGTATATAAATTGGGGGACAAAACTAAACCTCAACCATCAAAAGTTGTCACAGTGAGCTAAATTCTAAGTTTCGTGTCTCAAACTCTCCCAAGTGTAACTATATTTGCACATAACCATCTTTTAGATAGATGGCTATGCAAAACTCAATATTCACAGTCCTTTATAAAGGTATTTTGGAAATATGTAAGAAATCTTGAGACCCTATCTGTTGCAAGACTAACGCCTGGCGTAACCGTCACCATGTTATTCAGTGTTTTTTAAGTAGCGCAAGGATCCTGCCATGACCGTGGTAATGTTATCGTGAAAGCCTGGTATAACCGCGACAATGCTGTATTATATTGCAATGCCTGCCATGACCGTGACAATGTAATATAGTTCTGCAAGGCTTGGTATGACCGTAACAATGTAATATAGTACTGCAAAGCCTGGCATGACCGTGACAATGTAATATAGTATTGCAAGTTCAGGTATGAGAGTGGTAATGTAGAAATTTACGATTAGGACTGCTATAACCGTGACAATGTGTATTGCAAAGCCTGGCATGACCATGGCAATGTAATATAGTATTGCAAGGCTTGGTATGACCGCCATGGCAATGTGATATAGTATTCCAAGTTCGGGTATGAGAGTGGTGATGTAGAAATTTATGATTGCTATAATTGACCGTGACAATGTGTATTTGAAAACCTGGCATGACCATGACAATGTATTATGGGATCGCAAAGCCTGGTATGACCGTGACAATGTAATATAGTATTGCAAGGCCAGGTATGAGGGTGGTAATATAGAGATTTAGGCTTAGTTCTACTATGACCGTTATAATGTATTGCAATGACTAGTAAATATGTATGACATTAATGCCAGGAATATCCTTAACAATTTTAAGTGATCCTCATTACAATTAAACAGTTTAATACTATGATCATGGTGTTTAACTACCTTAATCATGTCAAAATCAAAATTACTACTATACATCAATATTCACATTCGCTTATAAACCACAATAAAGGCTACGGTCGCGCCAGGCTTCCACGATAACACTTCCAGGGTCATGACAGGCCTTGCAATAGAATACAGCATTGTCACGGTTATACCAGCCTGTCACGGTTATACCAGGCTTACACGATAACACTACCACGGTCATGGCAGGATCCTTGCGCTACTTAAAAAACACTGATTAACATGGTGACGGTTGTGGCAGGCGTAAGTCTTGCAATAGATAGCATGTGGAAATCTTGGAAACTACTTCAATCGATGCATAACATTCTAAAATAAAGTTTTTCTAACCATATCGGGCTATCCGGAGTCGGGAGACAGCGTAATTGACAAAAAATGTTGAAGAGTCGATAATTTCCAAGATGGCTTCTCAGGAAGTTTGGTAATGCGCATGCACTTCCATGCCATGAGATTTCCGCTTACACGCATGCGCATTTGCAAGACTTCCTGGTCAGACGTCATGGATATAACAAGTTCCAAATACATTTTTTGTCGATTACACTGTCTCCCGACCCCAGGTAGCGTTCTACGAATATTAAACCGATATTTTATGATGTTATACATCAATTGAAGTAGTGTAAGTGTTCCAACGATTTCTTACATTTCTGTAAAAGACCTTTAACATGGACTTGGTATGTCAAGATATGCAAAGCTATCTCCCAAGAGATAGCTTTGTGCAAACTAAGTAACCCAAGTGGTAGAAAAATAATTCCCGTTCACTTTAAGTAGCACAATAAATGAATCCAAAGCTTCATACCTGCAAATGATGGATAAATCCCTACCAAATCGAACAAATTTTTTTATGAATCGCCATGTTTGTGATCCAAGGAGGATTGACTCCCACAATGCAACATCAGTTAACCTTATTTACTCGTGACAGGTTTCAAAATGGTGGAGAGGCATTTCAAAGCTGGCACGTGTCATGTTGCATTCTGGGAGCCTATCCTCCCTTGCAGCGTAATCAGGCTCCAAAATCACCTCAACATTTGAAGAGTGGGCATTAACATGTGAATATCCACTTCAACTTTTTAAGTTCCTATTTGTCATTATGGGCACAAATTCCACTATATTTGGATTTACTAGGACAGAGAAAATAGAGCACTGAATACACTGAGGTGCGACAGCATGTAATTTTCATAGCTATAGCAATTCTTTATGTCCCCCACTGTAACAACTTTTGGATTGTCTAAAAAGTGCTATTATTGTGTCTGTGTACTCTATTATATTCATCTTGTTTTTAGTTGTCTTCTGAAGCATTACATGTACTCTCTATCTTTCCAGGACTTCATTGATATTGTTTTATCAAAAACACAGAGGAAAACCCCTACAGTTATACATAAGCAATATGCCATTGGGAGAATACGAACCTTCTACATGCGCAAAATCAAGTATACTCAACAGAACTATCATGATAAGCTTACAATGATTCTTACAGATTTTCCAAAATTGCAGGTAAATATCTGTATGCGCACTATATCAACAATTTTAGACATTTCATCAGTAGATTCCTTTCAATCTCATGATTTTAGTGTGATATTAAAGCAATCAACCATGTACACGTGTATTTTGATTTAATAGCTTCAGTTTATACAACTCTTGATTTAGCAACTGTTTGGTCATAAAAATGTTTTAAGTGTCTTGCACTCAACAGTCAGTCAATGATCAGCTTATTTTCCTACTTCAAGGACATTCATCCGTTCTATGCCGACTTGATGAATGTATTGTATGATAGAGACCATTACAAACTTGCCCTTGGTCAGATCAACACAGCTAGACATCTAATAGACAGGTGAGGAATCTTCCGTCAATCAATTCTAGTAGTAGTAAATGTTAGAAAGTATCGTTAGAAAACTTTGGCACTTTCCATGATTGGCGAAAATAAATTCCAGCAAAGAGTCCTTTGTCCCGACATCAGACAAGCAACAAGTCAAATGATCCAAAGCAAGTCAAATATCAATATTTTAGTGTTTCCCAAATTGTAAAGCTGATTTTCGACTGGATGCATAATAATTTTTAAAAGCTCATATTTAAATTTTCCTTTGACTAATTGCTTCAGTGCTTTGAATATCCCTGACATAAGTAATCAGATGTTTCATTTATAACAGGCAATTTTCTCGACTACTTTTTCCAAAGTTGTTGATTGTTATGAAGAATTCTTCAACTGTTTCCTCATGAAAATTATAATTTAAAGTTGTTCTTTGTCTTGTTTAATTTGTTTGATTTTAATTGGCTAAATGCACTGTATGTACTGTATGTGTTGTAGTGTATCCAAAGATTATACAAGGCTGATGAAGTATGGAGACTCACTGTACAGATGTAAGCAACTTAAAAGAGCTGCCTTGGGAAGGTAAGATTTACTATTCAGAGAATTACTTCTTGGCCAAACATAATTGATTGAAAATGAGTTCAGTGCATTCCCAGGTTTGTACGCCATAATGAAGAAGTGTTGGCGTATTGCTAAAGCCATCACTTTTTATTTACATTTAGCATTTACATTCACCATTTTCTATCTGTAACAAGTACAGTAGTTACACTTTTATAAGTTATAACCATTTGCAATAATTTATCATTTGGGGACATTTTGTAATGTTAATGGCTTGTTTAAATTGTCTCAACTTGATTTCTATTTCCATACTTTATTTTGGGAAATTACATACCCTGTAGATGTTTTGTGTTAATTACAGTTCTTTCCAAATGTTATAGTCTACTTTTAACATAATATTCATCTTTTAGGATGTGCACTATCATGAAGAGGCAGGCACAGAGTTTGGCATATTTAGAGCAAGTGAGACAACATTTATCCAGACTGCCCTCTATTGATCCAAACACAAGAACTCTGCTGATATGTGGTTTCCCAAATGTTGGAAAATCAAGCTTCATAAATAAGGTTTGTTACGATCCTATTGTATAATGATTTCACAAGAGTCATGCTCTTAGTATAATGATTTCACAAGAGTCGTGCTCTTAGTATAATGATTTCACAAGAGTCGTGCTCTTAGTATAATGATTTCACAAGAGTCATGCTCTTAGTATAATGATTTCACAAGAGTCGTGCTCTTAGTATAATGATTTCACAAGAGTCGTGCTCTTAGTATAATGATTTCACAAGAGTCATGCTCTTAGTATAATGATTTCACAAGAGTCGTGCTCTTAGTATAATGATTTCACAAGAGTCCTGCTCTTAGTATAATGATTTCACAAGAGTCGTGCTCTTAGTATAATGATTTCACAAGAGTCGTGCTCTTAGTATAATGATTTCACAAGAGTCGTGCTCTTAGTATAATGATTTCACAAGAGTCGTGCTCTTAGTATAATGATTTCACAAGAGTCGTGCTCTTAGTATAATGATTTCACAAGAGTCGTGCTCTTAGTATAATGGTTTCACAAGAGTCGTGCTCTTAGTATAATGATTTCACAAGAGTCTTGCTCTTAGTATAATGATTTCACAAGAGTCGTGCTCTTAGTATAATGATTTCACAAGAGTCGTGCTCTTAGTATAATGATTTCACAAGAGTCGTGCTCTTAGTATAATGATTTCACAAGAGTCGTGCTCTTAGTATAATGATTTCACAAGAGTCGTGCTCTTAGTATAATGATTTCACAAGAGTCATGCTCTTAGTATAATGATTTCACAAGAGTCTTGCTCTTAGTATAATGATTTCACAAGAGTCGTGCTCTTAGTATAATGATTTCACAAGAGTCATGCTCTTAGTATAATGATTTCACAAGAGTCATGCTCTTAGTATAATGATTTCACAAGAGTCATGCTCTTAGTATAATGATTTCACAAGAGTCGTGCTCTTAGTATAATGATTTCACAAGAGTCATGCTCTTAGTATAATGATTTCACAAGAGTCATGCTCTTAGTATAATGATTTCACAAGAGTCGTGCTCTTAGTATAATGATTTCACAAGAGTCATGCTCTTAGTATAATGATTTCACAAGAGTCGTGCTCTTAGTATAATGATTTCACAAGAGTCGTGCTCTTAGTATAATGATTTCACAAGAGTCGTGCTCTTAGTATAATGATTTCACAAGAGTCGTGCTCTTAGTATAATGATTTCACAAGAGTCGTGCTCTTAGTATAATGATTTCACAAGAGTCGTGCTCTTAGTATAATGATTTCACAAGAGTCATGCTTTTAGTATAATGATTTCACAAGAGTCGTGCTCTTAGTATAATGATTTCACAAGAGTCATGCTCTTAGTATAATGATTTCACAAGAGTCGTGCTCTTAGTATAATGATTTCACAAGAGTCGTGCTCTTAGTATAATGATTTCACAAGAGTCGTGCTCTTAGTATAATGATTTCACAAGAGTCGTGCTCTTAGTATAATGATTTCACAAGAGTCGTGCTCTTAGTATAATGATTTCACAAGAGTCTTGCTCTTAGTATAATGATTTCATAAGAGTCATGCTCTTAGTATAATGATTTCACAAGAGTCATGCTCTTAGTATAATGATTTCACAAGAGTCATGCTCTTAGTATAATGATTTCACAAGAGTCATGCTCTTAGTATAATGATTTCACAAGAGTCATGCTCTTAGTATAATGATTTCACAAGAGTCGTGCTCTTAGTATAATGATTTCACAAGAGTCGTGCTCTTAGTATAATGATTTCACAAGAGTCATGCTCTTAGTATAATGATTTCACAAGAGTCATGCTCTTAGTATAATGATTTCACAAGAGTCATGCTCTTAGTATAATGATTTCACAAGAGTCATGCTCTTAGTATAATGATTTCACAAGAGTCATGCTCTTAGTATAATGATTTCACTAGAGTCATGCTCTTGTATAATGATTTCACAAGAGAAAGTATTTTGCATTTTGACACATCATAGTTGCGGAGAAAAACATTTTTGATTTTGGAAGGGAGTGAGGGCTAGTATGTGAATGTGGATTATCAGGTGTTTTGTTTACAAGAGGCATCTCATATTGTACAATTAATGAACACTCAGATTTCAAATAGAATGAGGAACAGTAAAATATTAAGGGTCAGTTGCATTAATGAAAAAGCCAATGTTCTACATTTAGTATTACATCTTCAAAAGTGATGCAATGATAATTGAAGGAAATTGAAGTATACATTTAAAGAGAGTTGCATTGTTGTTTCAGATCACCAGGGCTGATGTTGAGGTGCAGCCTTATGCATTTACAACTAAATCACTGTTTGTAGGACATACTGACTACAAGTATCTACGCTGGCAGGTAATTAGCAAGTATATTCTATGTTTTTATATCACATATAAATACTGTGGATGTTGAACTAAAGTATAAAAGATATTTTCCATTATTCTTGTTTCAAATTAGGCTGTTCCTAAAAATACATATAATCTTTTTATTATGCTATCTGTAGGTAGTAGATACACCAGGTATTCTGGACCATTCTCTAGAAGAGCGCAATACTATAGAGATGCAGGCAATCACAGCACTTGCCCATCTCCGGGCTGCCATCCTGTACATTATGGATGTCTCTGAACAGTGTGGGAAATCCCTGGAAGAACAGATTGAGCTGTTTCACAATATAAAGCCTCTGTTCACCAATAAACCCCTGATCGTGTGTGTTAATAAGATTGATGTGAAGCGTATAGATGAGTTGGATGATGAGAGAAAGGTACACAATGGTTTCTTGATCGTTGTCATTTATTTTGGGTCTAGTTTCTTATCATATTGCATAGTATTACAAATTCCCTGTTTATGCTAGGTTCACATTGACAGCTCTTTTTGAGTCCTCAAAAGAGCTAAAAGTGTCTTGCACGATAGCTTGATAGCCACGATAGTCCCCTCCTGGGACTCCTGCCGAGTCCCATGGAGTCTTGTTGAGTCCTCTGGGGTCCTGTGGAGTCATGTATGTAGGATGAAAGTATCACATGATCATTTAACAAATAAATCTGGTGAAGATAGGTGGAAGAATGGAATTGCTCTTCGGTCTTTTCATTGCAAACTTCATGGGACTCAACAGGATATCATCGGATTTTATAAAAGACTTATCAGGACTTGTCAATTTCTTGATGTCGTATTTCTATTAACATATTGTTATTCATTTTCTTCAATCAAGTTTATCATCTAGAGTATCGGATTGGTAACACTCTATAAACAGCATAACACATAATCTGTTAAAAGATATGCAAGAAAAATAGAGTTCATGCCATTGTCACAACTATGCTGAAAACTTTTAAATGTGATTCTAGAGATTGTCTCTGTGAATGAATACTACTTGAAAATTTCTGTTTCATTGCAAATTCGATTAATATGCCTTTCAGAAAGTGTTTGATGAATTCAAAGCAGATGGTATATCAGTCATGGAGATGAGTACAGTGTCAGAGGAGGGTGTAATGAATGTAAAAACTGAGGTGAGAAAATTTGCTTTTTATAATGTACCATAGTCCTCATTTCCCTGTGTGAACATGCTAAGAATGGTAGAAGTAATGGTAGAAGCGTTAACAAATAGGCAAATTTTTGTTCCTTTGTTCTGCAAAAAGAGGCATTAGTGAAATGGGAACAAAAAAAACTACATATAGTTTGTGAATAAAAATCTCATCTTCATATATAAGATTATATTTTGATTACTGAAGGTTCATTGTTAGATCACTCCTATTGTAGTCTGTGTAGTTTACTGCATCATCTATTTAGATAATATTGTACATAGAACTTATTGTATCCAAATAATGTCATCATTCTGACTTGGTAACTGGTATTAAAATGAATACATTCTGACCCCTGGAGTCTTCTTTATCAAGTTTTGCTTTGCATATACTGATTATTTCTCGTAATACTATAGGCTTGTGACAGACTTTTAGCTCAGAGAGTGGAGGTTAAGATGAAGGGAAAGAAGGTAACCAGTATGCTAAACAGACTTCATGTTGCAGTACCAGCCAAACGAGACACAAAGGTTGGTATTTGTTATAGCTACATTTCACATATTACAGGGTGGGCCAATGTATGTAAAAGATCAACAGAAACCTACTCGTATATGTGAAGTAATTAAGAATGTGAATAAGAACACTCAATAATAACCACAATAATCCAGAATTCAGAAAGAATTGGCAAAGTTGGAATTATGCACTCCTCTGAGGGAAGGCTCATCTGTGGTTGCAATTTTAGGCCAGACCATGGTCTGTTGAGTGCATTTAGGCTAGACCACGATGTATACTTGAATCTATCATGTGCATTTTGTGATTTCAGTCCAGTACGCCATGTATTCCTAATAGTTTTTCATGCACATTTTGTAATTTCAGGCTAGACCACCTTGTATACCTGAATCTGTGCTAAAGAAGAGGCAAGCAATGGACACAGGAGAGAAGCCAAAACGTAAATTGGAGAGAGATATAATGGAGGAGGAAGATGATGACTACATACTGGATCTACAGAAACATTACGACCTGAAGAATGATGAGGAGAAGTATGATGTCATACCTGAGATTTGGGAGGGTCACAACATTGCAGACTTTGTTGATCCAGATATCATGGAGGTATAGCTGAATTGAGTTAAAGTTTAAATTGATTCACCCATTTATCAATACATCAACTGAATATAGTTTATAGCAGTATTCACAGAAATAATGTTAAGTTACATGTTTTAAGAGGACTTTTATTCCCTAGTTTCATAGTTCATGAAGATATATTATTTTTACATGAGACTCATATTAAAGTTTCCCAGGTAATAATTCGTCATTGCATTTAGCCCTTTTGTAACCTCCAGATGATTAACAGTTTTGATGTTGGTAAAATACCACTGATCTGAAATATAAATTTGAATTCCTTGTCTGTTATCTGAGTTTAAGTGTGAAATGAAGGTCAGCCACTTTATGCAAACAAAATGTTGGTGTTTTAATCAGTTAGTAGATATATGTATTTAATCAGAGTATAGATGTATTTAAGCAGAGTGTAGATGTATTTAATCTTTTGTAAAGAATATTATAGATGTCTCTACTGTGTTTCAGAAACTAGAAGCCCTGGAGAGAGAGGAAGAATTAAGAGAGAAGGCTGGGGCTTATGACTCTGACATGAGTGATGAAGATGAAGAAATGAAGGAAATTAGAAAGACTGCAAAACAGTGAGTTATTTGATTGAATATGCTGAACCCTGTATGTGAACATTTTCGATTAACCTTACAATGAGAAAACTTTGTTGAACTTTACAGTTTGGAGTCCCATGTAAATCTTCTGTTTTTAATTAATTGATGTTAAGCTCAACTTGTCTCTAGTCTGTTGACCCTTTCTGTAATCTGCTTGGTTGTGCTAATACAGCCACATTGAAAGGAACCCCATCAATATAACTTAAATGAAAATGATTGTGCTCAGAATCCGAGAAGTGAAAGGTCTGATAATGATAGAATCAAAGGGCAAGAGGAAAGTAGAGAAGCCTCACCTACCCAGGACAGCAATCAAGCTACGGGAGAGGCAGATGGAGAGAAAGATGAGGGCAATGGGGGCAGATGTGGAGTTTGGAGAAGATGTAAGTGTGACAGGAAATCAATAGTCATATTAAGTAAATTACAATGAAAAGTGATATTAAGTAAATCACAATGAAAAGTGATATTAAGTAAATCACAATGAAAAGTCATGTAAATCATAATGAAAAGTCATATTAAGTAAATCACAATGAAAAGTCATCATTCTGGTAATTTGCATAATTCAAAATATTTCATCTCAGATTTTACTCAGCTGTATGGATTTGCATAGAAGCTCTGAATAAGACTAATTAATAAATATATTCTTTGAGATGGAATATTTTGGACTTTACCAAATAGCTGTTATCAATTGTACAAAATGTATATATACATTTTAATCTATGGTATATATATTACAAAATGTGATCTCTAGAATGTCATCAGTAATTAACAGCTATGGATTTTCAATTGATAAATAATGAATATATGGATATATTTCAGTCCCACCTTGGTAGAGAGAGGTCTAAGAGTGCCAGTAGACAAGCATTGAAGCGCAAAAGATCTGAATCGCGTGACCCTTCAGCTAGTCGACAACGTAGCTCATCTAGGACCCCAAGAGACAAGTCTGGCATCAGAGACAAGGAGGTATGATATTCTTGTTTTAACTAAATGTAAAACATACAAAAACTTAAGGATAAAAAGGATATTACACTCGTATGAGACATTCTTTCAGTAGACAGTTTTAGTAAAAACAAGGCATTAACATTACAAAATGTCACCACCTAGTTGAAGCAAGATATAAGACATTTTTGACCTTGAGGTCATTAAAGGTCAAATCTATTTTGGCCTTGAGAATGTCATTGGAGGTCAAATCTATAGTCAGATTTGAACTGTTGAGCACTTTGAAAAAAAATTGGTCAATTTGAAGCAAGTTGAAAAAAACTTTTTGACGCTTTTTGACCTTGAAAAGGTAATTGAAGGTCAAATCTTAAATATAAAGTCAGATTTGAACTTCTGAAAACATTTGTAAATTATTTTGAAAACAATTGAAGTCAACCACCAACCACCGATCGCCGTCAAAAAAACGGAGACCATAACAATATGTCACCACTTTTTGGTGGTGACATAAAAATACCACTTACTTTCTATCACACTTTAAAAATTGCCATATTGTTATTGTCTTGTTTGTATTATCAATTAACATTAATGAATTCTCACCTTTTATGTCACATATGAATTGTAACCATTTATTTCTAGTAATGGATTGTAACTGCTTATTCCATATAAGTGAATTCTCACTATTTACCTGAACTTTTGATCAGTTTTGGATATTCATTTGTATATCATATTATCTATGTTATTCCAGATGGGAGCTAAGGTTAGGAAGATAGCTAAGAAAGCTCAACAAAAGAACTTTAACCGCTTTGGCAAAATTGGAGAATCAGACAGACATATTTCAGAGAAGAAACCTAAACATCTGTTTGCTGGAAAAAGAAAAATGGGAAAGACAGACCGACGATAAAAGCTTTGCATATTTATGCGACATTCATCAATTATATAAGATCAGTTTTTATGTTGCCACCAGAGATGGTGACATACTGTTAAAGTCTGCAACTTTTTTTGTGGGTGGTGTTTGGCAGTTGGTGTTCTTTGCATGTTATACAATGCTGAAACGAAATATGAGAAAGACCCGACTCATTATAATCTTAACTTTGTATATTTATGTGAAATACACCCTTTATATAAGATTCATATTTAGAGTGTAAAATACTTATTATTTTTAGGGAGCACATAATTTATCATTATCTATATTATGACATTGTAAAATACCATCAAATCTTACACCTTTCATGGAAATGATGGAGTGTTCAAAATGGCAAAATACAAAAAAATATATTCTTACAGTAAAATATAAGAATTTGTAAAGATAAACTAATGAGAGAAAAATTACAAATTAGTTGTTACATTATTAAAATGTATAGGTTTGGAATGTTTGGAACAATATTCAATTCGATGAATAAACTTTATTTGTATAAAACATAACAGAATATATAAATGGAATAATGTAAAATAAAAATATAAATGGCTAAAGGTAGATAATCATTTGTTGTTCATTATTGTATTTTGTGGTTGAGGAATTTCCCATTCTTAAAAATACATATTTGATGAGACGGACATAGAGAGTAGAGCTGCATTAGTCGCACATTAATTTTTTTCCTTATCCCAAAGTAGAATGACTGAATTCAAAATTCCAATAATAACAACAAATATAACACAAGCTTGAAGGATTTTGTTTTAACAACCTCTTTTTGGGCCAACCTCTACAAGCTGCTTGAGGTGAGCAGATTTTTTCTCAAAACTTTAGGAAATAGTCAGAACTGACATTTTAGAAAAAGGCAAGATATGAAATGATGTGGGTGGAAAACATTTAACTAAGAATTTCACTCACAATCAAATCCAAAAGTTAATGTCTACAGTCCATTTAAATCAAATATAAAACTTGATGTCATGTTTACATTCAATTTTATTGAATATCAAATACAAATATTTACAAGACATCAATGTAAATTACAAAAATGGTGTATAATAAATAACTTAAAGCAAGACACATGGTGAACAATATCGTACCCTTCAATAGAATATCCCAAAAAATAAATTAACCAGTTTGGCAATATTAATTATAATGATAAGAAAATCAATATAAATTGTCAGACAACAGTGCATCGAAATCTTTAGACAACCCAAGATTTTAAGATAGAAAATCCAAAATGGCTACCATAGCCAATCAGTTTCAATCTCATACCAAGAAAAATCATAAAAGATATAGATTAACCCATCAAACAGTTTAGACTGAAACATCCAAAATGGCTGCTTTTAAATTGACTCAGCATGTCCAAAATCAAAACAGTTCTAGATATTTATTTTCATATATAGAGCTATCCCTGAAAATCTAAAATCAATTCCTCGAACTGTTTGCCTGAAAACATATAGACAGGATTATGGGGATGACACTCTTTGAGCAAGCTGATCACAATATAGCAACCAAGGGTGCGATATAAATTCCCCCAAGCAATCAGCTTCTTTCACATTCCACATAACAATATAATCAATGCCTAATTCAAGCAGACAAGCATCGTCGCTTCCCAAGCTCAATCACTACATTCTTTCCGCGATCCGAAGCTTGATGAAGCAAGATGCCGACGATGATCACCTCTGATCTTCATTCACAAAGGATTATGGGAAATTTGAAAGAAAAGGATGGGAAATACAACATTTTCGATATAATTTAACTCAGCTTGGAAATGGTAACAACACTGCTGTGTGCTCCCACGAATTCAATGTGTTTTACAGTATATTATAGTTACTGTAATACTTTATATTAAGAGAACGCATTCATAAAATTTTATGACTCTGTATATCATATTAATTTTGGCATATTTCATACAATATAATTCATCTAATGAATATTTTGGTTCCCCAACTAGGAAGAGTGTAAGTTTAACTCATTTCATTCTTGATTCTACAATTGACACTCCAGAGAGTGTGATATTACATTTCAAATTCAATGTTTTTGTCGCCCTGTTTGTACATAAAAGTATCAGTATACACCCCCTCCATAAGTTTGGCAACTGGAAGTTTGGACTGGATACTCATTTTGTCCCTCAAGTACAATAGGTCAGAAATGTCCATAAAAATTGATGTTTTTTAAAACATAAACAGGTCAAAAATGAACTTCTAGTTGTCAAACCTTTAGAGGGAATTGTATTTGACCATAGGCTTTCTAAAGCTTTCCAGAAAGCACATACTTTCACAGGACATATAGTTGAAAATATGGCACCAAGACATTGCACATGTTCATATGTACATGTAATGTTTCAAGATTATAGCAATACAATAATAAAAAGAAATGCATTACTTTTTGTTTCTCATTATCTCAATTGTACAGATATATCTCAATACCATAATAAAATACATGTACTGGCTTTTTTTATTTTTAAAAATCAAAGCAGAGTTTCCAAACAGAAAATTGAACACATTAAGCATCTAAACAACTGATAATAAATACAAACAAAACATAATATCCAAGCTTTACTCTTTCTAGTTAACAACAACCAATAAATAAGTTATCCTATAGTTATCACAATGGATATAACCATCAGATATCAATCACTTACTTACATTTGCCACTAAAATGTGTCACTTCACATCAAGTAAAGATTTTCTACAAATTAAAGAAAATAGTGAAAAATAGTCAATTCTAGACTAGGCTAGGCTACATTGTAAATACATAACTTTATACAACTAAGATCAATTTTGATTTCTTCTTTAAAATTTGTAAAATATGCAATATATTATAGTGAACCATGTTGTAAGTTAACACATAACCAATGTACATGTGCACTGTACCTTTAAAAAGGTCATTTCACACTAAATTTCATGTGAAGCAAAAAACTTCTCTCAGAATCATAAAAACCTTCCCGTATAAATAATTATACAAAATCTCCATGACATGATTAGTATCACACAGTAACATTGATAAAGAAAATATCTGTAGTTTACAAGTGATATAGGCTAATTATCAACAAAACTATAATGATGTTCATAATGCTTATCACTTCTTGACATTTACATTTCTATATTTATATTGACCCATTGTATAATAAGTAGATTGAATTTGGTAACCCTGTATAATTGACGCATGGACCTGAAGTTCATGATTGAAGTGAAACCTGTGTGTGTTTACATCTTTATAACTCAAATTAACCTCTTGAATACCAAGAATGATGGATATTTCTGTCACAAATAAAATTCATTGGGAACCCAGAGTGACAGATATATCTGTCAAAGAATTTTTCACTAGAACAATTTTTATCCAATCCACACAAATTATGTTTAAAATGTATGTAACAGGTGAATGTTTACTATTCCTATGAAATCAAACATCAAATATTGTGTATTTAGATGTAAATGTCCAAAAATCTAGCAGAAAATTAAAAGTGCTAAAGCTATGGTTTAAAACCCTTTTAGAGGTATTCAAGAGGCTAAAATCGTTCTTTTCATGTGAATTTCTCTCGATGAATGTGGCGTTTACATTAGACAGGATTTACTTGGTATAAAACATATACAAAAGCAAGATATATACATCTAAGTACATGTGCAGATATCTAGACATTTACATCAATGATATAAATAACATTTTACAGTATGATGTCTTCAATAACTAGCATTGCACACTTCAGTGCCTACATATATATATAGTACTATACAGGGTGGGCCAAAAAAAACGCCACTTTTTTTCAAAATGCTATAACTTTTTAATTTTTGATATTAAATCATAATTAGCATACCAAATGAAACTTGAGGTTGTTATCTAGCCATGAATCATTAATTATACAGTTTTACTTGAATAAAATATGTCACCAGCGTCTCACTTAAACATGTGGTTTTCATGAGAAATAAGCATAATTTGCAAAATATTCCTGAACTGATACGGCCTGATGATCGCCAAGCTAATAGCCCTGATTCAAACCCCAGTGAGTATAGGGTATGGGAAGGTCTCCAGGAGATTGTATGAAGGCACCCAATCTAGAAAATTGCTCAACTAAAGCTGGGAATTTAGACAGGTTGGAAAAAACTTAGCCAACATTTCATTGATACTGCAATATCAGCAAGGCGACTAAATCTAAAATATACCATCAATTAGGGTGGCGGACCAATTGAACTCCCCTTTTAGATCAAATAGTTGAATGACTTGTTACATTATATTATTGCTAAGAACCTTTGGCACTATATAACTGCAAAATTTGAGGTAAGTAGGTTGGAAAAGAAAAAAGTTGTAGTGTCTTGAAAAAAAAGTGGCGTTTTTTTGGCCCACCCTGTATGTAGTACGATATAATAACAAGGAACAACACATGTTTCCCCTAGTAACTAACTACATCATAGTTTTTTTTCTGAAAATCCCAATCTATCAAAACTATGATTCAAACACCGGGATTAAAATCTCTGATACTTTTGTTACTTCAAAGACCAAGGTGAAAAATATATTATTTTGAAGAGTTTACTGTTATTAAAGTTCAAGAGCACTGATATAGTTACCTATGTTAATTTCAATAATTCTTAAAAGCCCCCATCATAAATGAAGAAATTGACATTGATATTTTAACCCGGCCCCTAAAACATCTAATATTATGAATCTTTTAATCTAACTATTTGGCATCCAAGATACATCTCACAAACCAAACACCAAAATTCAATAATTATTTTGTGAAAAATATTAAGAGTAATAGTGCTGGTTTTAAAATGAAGAAATACAACGTGTCATATATAGTGTATAACTAAAATGACAGAAAAAAACTATTCAGCAGCAGCTACTACCTTAAGTAGTCGCCCCACTGTGATAACATAATTATATATGCACTTTAACAAATAACACAATGTACCATGCGCTTAGTCAGCTGTTATTTGGGAATAAAATATCACAAACTTTCTGCTAAACAATCTTCAGCTGGAAACTTTAAACAATGAGGTACTCAAAACCCTTAATACTATAGCTCATAAGTAAGTCAATATATTATGTTGTACAAAGTAGTGTAAGTAATATTACACAGATACTAATATATCAATACCCTCTCAGAACTGTGTATGCTTATGTTTCTCATAAACATACTTTTCAATTTATTTACCATAAATTTATGCCTCTTGTGTTTCCATGCCAACAGCATGTAAAATATTAAACACAAAGGGCAACTAAGATTGCAATACGCCTAACCCATACTCTTTTCTTCTGGATCAATATGTTTTATGTTTTCCTCCCAAGATGCATTCAGTGCAAACTACATGCTGGACAATGACATCACCCATTACTGTATAAATCATAATTTTGCTGTTGTGCTATGATACAGGAACACTATATGTTTCTTTTCAACAATTTAAATGTATATTACTTGGCATTAACTAAAACTGCTTTATATTGCACTTTCCATCCACCAATAAATGATGGAATCTACCCCTGTTCTGAGGGTATACCACAGTATATTTCATGATTTAAAACACTGGATTGAGGGTGATCAAAATGTCCCCTGTGTAAAATAGCCTCATTTTGGACAAAGGTCCACGTGAAACACAACTCTTTCATGTCTTGTATGTATCAGATCACTGTACAAAAGACAAGGATTTATTATTTTGCATATGCATAAAACACAAAGATCTATGTCAACAAAGATCTGTAGTGCTTAGTATGCATGAAACAAAGGTTGTATGCAAAAAACACAAATATCTAGGTGCTTTGTGTCCAGTGTAACACAAAGTTCTACAATTTACATGTATTGTTTTGTGCACATGAAACACAAAGGTCTACGTGTCTTGTATGCATGGGGCACAAGTCTAGGTGTCTTATGTGCATGATGCATCAAACTCTAAATGCAGCATTCATGACACCCTTTACATGTCTATACTATTATCACTTGCAGCCATGATTACTCAAGCTACTGCACTTATACAAGTATACTCTTGTGTTGAGATCTTTGACATTAATTGACCCGTGTCTGGTATGAGATTAAAGCTGCTATAATAACAAGCAGGTTTGTGTACATGATATTATGATTGTAGCTCTGCGATGTACCAGCACTCGTACATGGGGCCTGCAGCTGTTGTTGCCGTGACGGTGCCTTAATTGTGACATCAGCAGGACAATCAAAACCAGAGTCCTATGGAAAACAATAAAATATACAGTAAAGAACAAAAATACATGTAGTGGGATATCTCATTAAAATACATGATTCATACTCATTTATTGGATTTTCATATGAAAAAAGTAAGTTTTCTGACTTACTGCACAGAACTTTTGACAAGAAGGACATATGAGAGTTCCCTCATGGAGCCATTTTGTTGTCACAGACTGGATGACTAATTCTTGGCCTTCTTTGTAACATCGATGTGGTTTTCCATCCACCACAATGACTAGCCCTTCAGAGTCACAAACATACTGAAAAATGATAAATGAACAACTTAAATACAAGGAGGGTTAAAACATGAACAACTTCAATACAGTGAAGTTTAATGGAACAATCAATGCTTAGCTCTCATAGAGTTCAAAACTTTAAAAAAGGTTCCAGTAGTCAAGCAATCAAGATACACAGTGTTCCAATAACAATTCAGCATACAAAATACATGGTGTTCAATTAGTTCAAAATACATGGTGTTCAATGAGTTCAAAATACATGGTGTTCAACAAGTTCAAAATCAAGGTGTTTCAATAGTTAAAATAATTAAAAAAGGGTTTTAATGAGTACAACAATCAAAATATACAATTTCTAGTTTTGCAACGAATGTAGAATAAAACTCCAGGATTATCCAAATAATGAAGTGTTTCAATCTGAATGTCATATCCTGAGGGAGATATAATTCATATGCACATACCTGATAACAGCCACTCCCCCAGTGTTGCACCTTTTGTTTGAAGGAACAGTGAGTAACACTGAACGGTTCTCCCTGTTTCACACATAATGATTGGTTCCCATACTTTTCTCTCGCATAATTCAAACTAGTATCTGTAAAATGACAAAGTATTCTTTTTAGATAGATGTAGCAACTTTCAAAAGTGTGTCTGAGTACCTGTAAAACATGCACTTTGCTTCTAAGACTATTGCTAGCTTTGTAGCTTGGATTAGAAACTAGAAAAACAGCACTGCAACAATCACTCTTAATTCTGAAAATTTCATGCTCGAAATAATAACCAGGCATTAGTATTGTCTTCAGTACAGTGATAGTACATGGGAGGTAAGAAAAAAATGAGTTTCATTTGCTACTGGTTATATTTGCTACTGAAAATGATTTGAATTCAAAGTTAGTTTCCTCTAACATATGATGGTCCTGCCCTTACAGAATAGGTCATCTTACCCCCATTATTGTGGAAATATCCACATGCCGATCCTCTCACAGCAATGTCTCCATCTTTCCAATTGAACTCTTGTATATAAGGGCAGTAATCAGCCAGTGCTACAGAGCCAGCATACTGAGAGGCAGCTCCATAATTTATGTCAGGAAGATGTTGAAAATACTGGAAATACGATGCATACATACAATGTTTCACATCATAGATAGTGACACACCATTAACAGGCAAGTTCTTTATATTGCAGTTTTATGTCAATAAAAACTTGTCTTGTATGGTTTTACTCTGTTACATCATCCCATGACAGGCCAGTAGCCAGAATTTGCCAAGGGGGGTTCACTTTTTGAAAAATTCCAGGGGGGTTCACTTATGACAATTTTGTTCCAAAATGGCCAAAATCACTTAAAAACGCTAAGAATGGTGAAAAACTGCATGATTTTGAAAGATTTTTTGGCCAGGGGGGGGGGGGGTTCGCTCGAACCCATTGAACACCCCCTGGCTACGGGCCTGAATGAAACCATTTTTTACATATAAAATTCTACCTGATATTTCTTTGGCATTGGCTCAGGGTGATGAATGAGATTGCACATTGCTACAGCACGATGATCATCAGTACAGTCAGTCTGGAGGGGGTTCTGCTTGATTCGTTCACAGAAAGGATGAATACTTTCTCTCCTAAACAACGTTGGTAAAATCAATCGTTGACATTTGTAATTGAATATTAGAACATGATTCATAATCATTCATTGTTATCAATGGTCTTACTTAATTCATATTTAACTCCTCCATTTAAAAATGATGCATGAAATTTCAATTTGCACATCTGATAAAGAATTTGATGATGATAAGTTGCCCAATCAACACTAACAATGACTTGTGGAAAAGGTTCTCTATTGCACTCAACAAAAAACTTGAGTAATCATCACATAGAAATGGATGCAAAACATGCAAAATCAAATCATAACGACAAAGAAAGTATGTTTTATTAAATTATTAGCTAACCTGGACTGTTTTTTTTCAATCCATGTAAGACAACTTTTCTTGACAAAGTCACATCCAAGATTCTTTCCCCATAGTAATGGCTCTGCCATGTCATAGTTTGCACGATACCAGCTGTAAGAACAAACATTTCAGTTAAAACATAAATATGAATAAATCTTTTTTTTGCTGAAAATTCGATACATCATCAGATGGAAAATCAATATGATATTTTGATTGCATATAATTGCAGGAACATAAGATATTAGAGTATGTGTATAGGGTAAAAATCAGAACTCAGAAATAGGAGATTAAAAATAGGCTAATAGTATTTTCATGGATGGAACTAAGCATGATACTTTCCACACACCATCAGAATCAAGAGTCCAAAGATTATTTTGAATCTACATGTAGTTTGATTTTTAACTGTCTACTCTTGTGTTATCAAAGCCTCTAAATGTGAATATCCTTTTGGTTTCACAGCACACAGTTCACAGAGTTCACTTCAGAAGGGTTTTACTGTATACTAATTTATTAGTGTATAATCACACTCACACTTTAAGCAATATGTAGTAAATATAGAAGCTCACCCTGTATCCTCCATCAGAGCTAAAGTGACCCTGGAAACGGGAGGGTTCTGTGTGTATGTTCCAGTCATTACTTCATTTTCAAATACTCGCTTCTCCCAGTGGGTGAGAGCAGTACCAATAATGCCCTGGTCTTCTAGTTCAGCACCCTCCAATGTTGAGCAATTGAAGTGTTTTCGAACCTCCTCCTTAATGAACAAATAAGTTTTACAGAATGAGCTTTCATGTTTGAAAACACTAAATGATTGTTTAGTACTCGATCCTTCATCATTTTCTAGTATACCACAATAAACTTTGCGATATGTACCTGGTATACTATAAAGGTCATTTCAAGACATGGCTCATATATTGAGCACTAAACGACAATTACAAAGCTTTCTCACCACAACTTTAGGAGTGACTATCATCTGCACAGATTTCCTCATTGTTCTCCCCATGATCTTCCAATCAGGTCTCTCCACCTTCCTAATGACTCTGTCACTCCACTGGTACAACTTAGCACTATAAATGAGTAAAGTATATTAGGGACGGTTTCCAAATCTCTTAGCTGTGAAAAAGTAAACTACGGTAAGTAAATGTTGTTATGGTTTCAACAACCCCATATAAAAATTGGAAAAAACCACGTGCAGTATAGCAAGTGATTTTAGACAGACACCATGAAAGTCTAGTTTAATTTGAAGATATCCATTGTCGATGACCAAAATGATGCTGAAAACAATGGATAGCACAAGTTTTCCCTTTGGGAAAATAACATGGGATATGTGGTTTTAACTTTAACGCATTTCAATACGCATCCCCTTTTCAGAAATTGTTCATAAAGTGTAGAAAAAACTTTTGATATGTTTAAATTGAGAAAAGCAAGATCCTCTTTTTAGAAAATAAGCCTAACATTTTTTAAAAAGTGGCAGGGTGGGGCCCTAATCCATAATTTTTCAGAGAGTTGGATTGATATTCTACTTTCATGGGGACTTCACTTGAAAGAAAACATGTTGTCTTAATAAAAACTATTGTTTTTATGGCCAGAAAGTACTCATGGTGAAAAATATGACTGTCTAAAATCACTTGCCATACTGCACTTGGACCTTTGAACTTCTATTCAATTTTGAATGTTGCTCCAAAATCAACATTTTTTCCCAACTGCTGACAGTATCTTGCTATTATAATATCTTATTAATTTCACTAAAATCCAGTGTGCATAGAAATAAACATAAATCATATTGTGAAAAGTATCAGACAGGAAGCACTGGTGAATATATAGTCTCTCCTGTACCTCTTTACCTACTATACAGATATTTTTTTCTATTTTCCATGGAGTTCCCTATACATAAATTTCACCGAATTTCATATGCTTACGTTTCATTATATTCTGGCATGTTTGTAGATGGCGTCCTTTCCGTAAGGGGGTTACCATCCGAGTCCCTGTAGAAAGCATACAACCCTGCAGAAAACCCCTAAAAACAATAAGTAACACATGTTTCATTTTATTCATTACTACCTGCCACTTACACATAGAAATGCCCAGAAATGGGGTAAGCAAGGAAAAACCTTGAGAAAAAATTGTTTTCCAAATATTTAATTTCTTTTTCTTTTACTTCATCAAATATCACCACAAATATCAATAAGTTGAAAACAACAGAGACAATGTTGAGCCCAGTTAATAAAATGACACCGAACTATAATGACTTTACTATTTGATGTAATATAATATGAATATACACTGACCAGCGCATGAAGTATTTCATGTCTAATAGTTGACTGCATCTCATGATTGTGATGGGGCTTGGTTGATAAGTCAGCAGGACATATATTCACATACCCTGCTACTGGCCTGAAAAGTCACGCATGAAATTGTTCACCTCTCCACAGGTTAACAATTAAAATTATATCCTAACACTGTAAACCAAGACTGTAGGTCAGGATTTACAGTACAGGAATACAATTTTGACTAATAATTAAATACATTCATAGTCAACACATTCCACCTATGTTTACACTGAGTCATTGTCAATTTTGAAAGGTATCATTTGAGCCACCCTGTAATGGAAAGATGCAAGTTTTTGCAAAATGTGGTAAATTGAAAATAAGCTTAAATAAAATTAAATATTTTGTATGTTCCCAATGACTTGACTCATAACAAGATAAATCAAAATAAATTAACAGTTTGATGACCATTCATGTGTACCTCTTATTACAAAAATATATGCCACATATAACTTTAAAGCTTTTAACATACCTATCGAATGCACCTTCAAGCTGGCAGTATGCAGCATATGCAATAGTTGTACCAGAATAACATCTTTCAGTCATTTTGGCAGACACATATAGAATGAAATCATTGGTGTCAATGCCTGCCCCAGACCCCCCTGTTGTGGAGCACCCACCATCGGGAGAGCATTCCCTGCATGCCTACAAGACGAAAACTTGAAGCCTTAAAATAAAGTTCAATAATATTTCCAGCAATTTGTGCTCCTTTTCAAGCTAAGAAAATGCATGTTAATGAAAACATAGAATGAAATTCTGTGCTGCAGGACATTATACAGGACAACTAAGACATTATATAATCTGCTCAATAATCCTTGGTTCTTTGGTGTTCAAACTTTAATTGCACTATTTCAAAAGGGTAGGGCGAGATCAAAGGATTGCATCTTATTCAGAGAATGTAGATGATTGAAGCCTTCATATTCTATATGAATCTTTTAGAAGCTTGTATTCAGTATATCTGGAGGGGACCATATTCATTTTCTTCTTATTTTCTGATACATATTAATATAATATTACATTTTCACCCTTCATAAATGTATTCCCCACCTTTTTACCACTCAGTCATATTCATATTCCATTTTCCTTATTATCTTATTTTCTGATTATATATATATTCCATATGCCCCTCAGTCATATTCCATGTTCCATTTTATGCCTCATCCCTTTACTTGATTACCTCGAGATGTTCTGGTGGGACAACAACCTCCCCACATTTTGTCACAGCTTTACATCCATCCCAACAATAGGGAAATGGATCCCCATCTTTATACATAATCTTTTTTGTCAGACACTGCCTGCAAATAGAAAAATAGAAAAAAACAGTTAAAATTGTGTGCTGGGTATGAGATTATATAGGAATGGCTGATGGAAAGTGCAACGTGAACAATATTGTACATGAAAAGCAAAAACCCATAATCCAGCATGCCTAAAATCTAATCAGTTGAAGATTTTTCATAACTAAGAATGGAAATGTCAAGACAAGAAAAGTGTTCCTCGATCCACTTGTTATCTACCTACAAACCTCAGAAAACAATATCCTACCTTTTTTGATTTAAATTTGATTAGACAAAAAATTATATATTAAGTATGACCTTGGCTTCTGTTACATACCTCGTTCAATAAGGCATATCATGTACGATGTACTTCAATTTTCATATTGTATTAATTTGCAACAAACAGGACCAAAACTCATTTCCTTATTTTGCACCAAACAGCATCAAAATTCATTTTGTAATTTTGCACCAAACACCACCAAAACTCATTTCATAATCTTGCACCAAACACCATCAAATTAAAGAATGTTCTTTTGAGCCTCCAGTCTCTTGTAGAGAGGGGTATAATATAACAATCTTTTTAAAGCAATTGCAATATACATGTTTATGTATATTGTTACAGCTGCATCAACATGTAAGGTATATTTAGTATGAACCACAAAGTAAGGCTGATTCATCTCCTAACACCTTTATTTTGGTTTAGAATTTATCATTTTCAGTAAGTGTAAACAGGCACAGTGACCTCAAGAGTGCAATAAGAAAACAGCAACTCCACGGAGTGGCATATCCCACCCACTGATCAAACCATATTTTAACAAACACCTTGACATTTTGGACATTACAGAATAGAAATAACCAGGAAATAGTTGTAAAATGGAAGCCATTTGCAACATATGAAATGATCCAAATCTGTCAACTGGTACTGATTGATCAAATACTATAGGTTATGATGAAAAATGGCAGGCATTTTGAATTGAATAGTCATCTTGTAAAATAGTTTATAAACAGAGTTTCTATGACCCTAAAGTGTCAGAAAATAAAATTAGAACCAAATCTGATATTTTCGTGATCAAAGATTACAATTTTTTAGGAAAAATGATAGCCATTTTGAAATACAGCAGCCACCTTATTCATAGGCATTAGCATGTAAAATTTGAAACAAATCTGTCCACTGGTATTTGAGTTATCTATGAAAAATGGCAGCTATCTGAATTTCAGCAGCCATTCTGTAAATTCTTTTAGAACACAGGTCCTTTGTTCCTAGGCATTAACATATAAAATTTAAACCAAATTCGTCAACTGGTATTTGAGTTATCAAAGATTACGGTTTTTTTTATGAAAAATGGTGGCCATTTTGAAAATCAACTGCCATCTTGAAAATTTCTTCTTTAACAGAGCTCCTTTGTCCCTAGGTAGCAGCATTTTTTACAGAAAAATGGTGGACATTTTGAATTAAGTGGCCATATTAAAAAATCCCTCTTGAGCAGAAGTCCTAAGAAGCATAAGCCTATATAATTTGAACCAAATTAGTCAACCAGTATTTGAGTTATTGCCCAGACACACGGACAAACGGATGGATGGACAGAGCTATATCCCTTTCGAACTTTGTTTGGTGAGATAACTAGAAGTTTCAATGCCCAGAGATAGTTCACACCAATGTAGCACCCTATCTAGAATTAGATTATCCCAAAACCTAATTGGGCAATTCTTTTTCTTGTTTTTCTTAGAAATAATAGAATTTTGATAGGGAAGAAAGGATCCCAAAAATATGGAAGGATATTTTTCCTGTAAAGAGAGTACCTCTCTCAAATATCAATCAACCAGTTCCCTGACCTGTCTCATATCTAAATCCCCCTCTAACAGACAATAAATATTGTAGGGGCTTAATCGAGAGCTCTGTAATTCAATTCCTATGCAAAGATCACTATAACCATCGTTGTCTTCTATGATGAGGTTGGAACAGTTGAAACCTTTTGAATTAAGCTTAAAAGAGGCACTATGACACAATAAAACATAATTAATTTGTCTTTGCTAAATCAATCATGACTAGGTTAGAATATCAGTCAGTGGTTCGCTTAAGAATATGAATTGCAAGCAGTATAGAGAACCCATTCCCATTCCCAAGGGCAGTATTGCTTACTAGAGGTATGTGTGAGCAGAATTCTGTTGACATTTAGGAACTAATTTAGAAAATTGCAAGCATGTTATATTGTTTTCACTAAGACATTCAATTAGGAAAACAAAGGTATATTAAACATAAATAGGGATTTTCTAATAAAGGCCTTCAATCAACTTGAATTTGCTTTTTTTCACTTTGAATAGATCTCAAAGTATATTAGGTCGCCTGGGGGCTGTCGAGATAAGACATAAGGATGTGATAACTTGTAATAAAAATACATGTACTGTATTATTATAAATTTATATTTACTGAATTAGAGGAATTTATAGCAAATACCCCCCCCCCCCCCCGCAAAAAAGATATGAAATTGGATATTACACCCCTCAAAACATAAATCATTAGACCAGACCCCTCTCAAAAAACAGATAAGTTGCAAGGAGTAAGATTTCTCAAAACACAACTGAATGTATACTGGTACAGAAAATTCATCAGAGCATGTAAATGTATATAGTAGTGATCTCTAGCTCTGTCTTTGATTATTCTACTGAAACCACAATTCTAAAGGCTGAATTCTTCAAAGCTTATGACAGTATAATTAATCTTTTAGTCATTAATGTGATTAAGGTAAAGACCATTCAATATTTATACAAGAATTAGATTTGCATGTACACTTCACATTCAAGTATAAAAGCTAAATTGAGTCGCCTACATATTTCCCACTTAATATTTGGCCTTTGAGCCATGTACCATCATAATAATTTAGCCTTCAAGAGAAAAAATCATTTTACCTAATTAATTCCCTAATACTATAGCAACCCATTTGATCCAGTCTCATTACTTCCTCTTGATGTTCAAGAATGTAGTGATATCCCAAGCAAGGAAGCAAGCAGCTGATGCACCCTCAGATAATGAAAAATTTGAGAACTGCTCTCAGCTTAATAGACTAGATGCCAGTAGAAATAATCTTGATTTACGTCATTAAAAAGTCAAACTGATGTCATATTTGGAATCTACATGTTAAATTACATCTAGAAATGTGGTTTTGGAAAGTGTTTATCAACTCTGAAATTTAAATTTTCTTTGAAAATGTGATTTCTAGGGCGGGGAGATTCCCAATAGACCATATGTTGTAAAGTCACAAAAAGTGAAATATCTTTTGTGTTGGGCAGATAATGTTGTTTTTTACTAGACATATTTTAATTTATATAACTATCAGATACACAAGGGTAATATGAAAAGTGAGCCACTAAAACTGACGATTATTCAAGTTTAAGGGAACTTTGTTATACCCTGCCATGTTATTTCCCCCCGAATTAGCCACCTGGAGGCGAAACTGGTAACTACCTACTCGCATCTGAGTAACTGAAGTAAAATTGCAGCCAATAAACAATTTAAAAATTCATGACAAAATTCATTCTGATCAGTTTTGGACAATTTGTTCAGGAGAAAAAGTTTCAAGATTGTGGTAAAAATCTTGGAAAAAACACAAACTGCAATTAAACATACATGTTATGAGATCAATATACCCTTAAAAAGCAATTATCTTAATAAGGATATCTCAATCTTCCACCTGGAAGATCTGTATGGGAAGCCCTAAGTCTCTTACCTTAATAATTTTATGGGGTTTGGTGTCCTGCGTACACTCAATGCTTTACTCCAGTAAACAAGGGCTGGAGGTATCATCTCATTCTGAAAATCAAACAATAAAACAAGATGTAATAGTGCAATGTAGAACACATGTTGAATATTTAGCTCCTCGTCTAATAATTATTATCTATCTATAATTTTGATGTCTTCATAAATCTCTGAAAATTTGAATATGAATAAGAATCAGGCTAAATAGACAATCTTAAGCCATTGAAAGTTTAATATATGTTTAATGTCACCTTTCTTCTATTATTTTGCCAAATTTTTGTGGTGCAGGCCCGTAGCCAGGATTTGCCAAGGGTCCATTTTTGAAAAATTTCAGGGGGGTTCACTTGTGACAATTCTGGTCCAAAAATGGCCAAAATCACTTAAAAAGTGCTCAGAATGGTGAAAAACTGCATGATTTTGAAAGATTTTTAGGCTGGGAGGGTTCACCCGAACCCATCGAACCTCACCCCTGGCTACGGGCCTGTGGGGGATTACAATAGCTCACCCATGTGAGTTAAACAGTGGCATGATTTTGGAAAAGACTGCTTCCAACATTTTACTCATTCTAACCCTTCAAATTCCTTAAATGCCCCTTCAAAATGCCTCTTCAAGATTGCTAACTGGGGTCGTAAGTAGCATTTTTGCATTCACACTTTTCCACAAAATAAGTCTGCTCTCTATTTTTACTCATTCTAACCCTTCTAATTCCTTAAATGCCCCTTCAAAATGCCTCTTCAAGATTGCTAACTGGGGGGTAAGTAACATTTTTGCATTCACACTTTTCCACAAAATAAGTCTGCTCTCTATTTTTACTCATTCTAACCCTTCTAATTCCTTAAATGCCCCTTCAAAATGCCTCTTCAAGATTGCTAACTGGGGGGTAAGTAACATTTTTGCATTCACACTTTTCCACAAAATAAGTCTGCTCTCTATTTTTACTCATTCTAACCCTTCTAATTCCTTAAATGCCCCTTCAAAATGCCTCTTCAAGATTGCTAACTGGGGTCGTAAGTAGCATTTTTGCATTCACACTTTTCCACAAAATAAGTCTGCTCTCTATTTTTACTCATTCTAACCCTTCAAATTCCTTAAATGCCCCTTCAAAATGCCTCTTCAAGATTGCTAACTGGGGGGTAAGTAACATTTTTGCATTCACACTTTTCCACAAAATAAGTCTGCTCTCTATTTTTACTCATTCTAACCCTTCTAATTCCTTAAATGCCCCTTCAAAATGCCACTTCAAGATTGCTAACTGGGGGGTAAGTAGCATTTTTCAGTCACACTTTTCCACAAAATAAGTCTGCTCTCTATTTTTACTCATTCTAACCCTTCTAATTCCTTAAATGCCCCTTCAAATGCCTCTTCAATATTACTAACTGGGGGGTAAGTAGCATTTTTGCATTCACACTTTTCCACAAAATAAGTCTGCTCTCTATTTTTACTCATTCTAACCCTTCAAATTCCTTAAATGCCCCTTCAAAATGCCTCTTCAAGATTGCTAACTGGGGTTGTAAGTAGCATTTTTGCATTCACACTTTTCCACAAAATAAGTCTGCTCTCTATTTTTACTCATTCTAACCCTTCTAATTCCTTAAATGCCCCTTCAAAATGCCTCTTCAAGATTGCTAACTGGGGGGTTAGTAACATTTTTGCATTCACACTTTTCCACAAAATAAGTCTGCTCTCTATTTTTACTCATTCTAACCCTTCTAATTCCTTAAATGCCCCTTCAAAATGCCTCTTCAAGATTGCTAACTGGGGGGTAAGTAGCATTTTTGCAGTCACACTTTTCCACAAAATAAGTCTGCTCTCTATTTTTACTCATTCTAACCCTTCAAATTCCTTAAATGCCCCTTCAAAATGCCTCTTCAAGATTGCTAACTGGGGGGTAAGTAACATTTTTGCATTCACACTTTTCCACAAAATAAGTCTGCTCTCTATTTTTACTCATACTAACCCTTCTAATTCCTTAAATGCCCCTTCAAAATGCCACTTCAAGATTGCTAACTGGGGGGTAAGTAGCATTTTTCAGTCACACTTTTCCACAAAATAAGTCTGCTCTCTATTTTTACTCATTCTAACCCTTCTAATTCCTTAAATGCCCCTTCAAATGCCTCTTCAAGATTGCTAACTGGGGGGTAAGTAACATTTTTGCAGTCACACTTTTCCACAAAATAAGTCTGCTCTCTATTTTTACTCATTCTAACCCTTCAAATTCCTTAAATGCCCCTTCAAAATGCCTCTTCAAGATTGCTAACTGGGGGGGAAGTAGCATTTTTTCAGTCACACTTTTCCACAAAATAAGTCTGTTCTCTATTTTTATATGACATCATGAAAAATAGTTGTACTGTTCTTTCTTTGTCACATAAGAAAGTTGATGAACATCAAAGAACATATGATTTAAAAAAATATGTTTAAAGTAGCACATTGTAAAATTATATTGTATATTAATTTGTTAATGGACTTACTTGAATGAGAATTCTTTTATCCTGCGGTAAATCATTTAAGCTATCATCATATACTACTTTTATGCGAAGTCTCCCATCTATGCTCCGTTTTTTCATTACATGATGGGGCTCTATATGTACATTATGTACTACCTGAAACAAATGAAGAATTAATTAATGAACAATTACATGCATGGGTACTTATGGAGATCCATTTTGAAATGTTGACAGAATTCCTGATAAAATGGTCAGGTCGGTAGCCCAGTCAACTACAGTTGTATTTGGGCAATTTCAAATCAGATTCTCCCCGATCCTTTCCTTTAGCTAAACACTATAATTCTGAAATCTTGCCTATGGACTTGCCAGACAATTAGTACTTGGCACCATGCACTATATACTTGCATGGTATAGTGAATTGTTATATGTATATTTGTCAACAATACAGTCATTTAATATAGTGTTCACTTACCAAATGTCAGTTTTGTACCTGATGCCGACATTGTGCTTGAAACAAAGCAAATTTCTTATTTAATAACAAGTGTTATGGGTTGAGTTTTCACTTTGAATTCACATTCAAATAATCAACCAATCAGAGTGCTGCTTTTCTAGGTCAACTTCTGGAAGTTAAAAAACTGTCAAGCAACATTGTTTCTCCATATCTTGCCAACTAGCCATTGATTTGGCGAAAGGTGATATCCGATAAAAAAAACTGATGCGAATATGATGGACTAATCTATTTTTGTCAACAATAGCATTGAATTACTTGCTGAAATGATGAAAATCGATAGAAAGGAGATACGATGACATCATTTTAATTTATGTTGATCATCTTGGAGAGAAATACAGGTACTCAGGAAGAATCTGATTTGGTCTTGCCTTACCTCTTTCAAAGGCTTTCTGATCTGATAGAACAGCCTTTGCTTGCCATCTATAGGCAGCTAGAAAATCGTGATGGCTGAAACTGAAATACTGAGTCCGGGTACTGAGTTCAGCTGCTTACTTTATATCTCTAAATGTTACATCTTCATCCTACGTTTGGGAAAGTCTGTAAGCTATCAGCTGCTTCTGTGTTGATCAGGACTTGTCTCTTTACCCGAGTAGACATTTTTTCTAGCGAGAAATTTCAAAATGGGGGTTTTGACGGACATTTACAAAGTAGCAATTGATATAGGTGGGCTAAAATCTACACATAAAATAAAGATCTTTCAATCACTTTAGTCATAAGACCTTTATGACTCTGGACATGTTATGACTAGTACATGACTCGGTTCAAAAACCTCGAGTGACTAGTAAAAAAAGTAAAAAATCTTGACTGGAAATTGATTTGAAAAATTGAAAAAAAATGTCAAAAAATTGTCTCCCTTTTATACACGGTCTCCTAGATCAGAACAAAATTAAATGACTTTATAGCTTACCTCATCCCTTGTTGGTATTTGATGACCGCATTCATGGCAAACATTACATTGTAAATGGAACAAAACATAACAAAATATAACAATAAAAAAATTACACCACTTCTTCATTGTGGCGAGCTCTTCTAAGTGGAGATAAAATGTACTTCCGGATATTTGGCGGGAAATTTGAAAGTTTATAAAGTTCCACGATTTATCCATTGTGGGATTCTCTGTTTATATATATCCCTTTCAATAGAAAGCTTTAGATAAAGAGAGGCTCTGATAAATCATAATGAGCTCTGTCCTCGCTTTATCGGGAGTTTTCGTAATGGCAGTGCTCTTTTATCCCGTGCCAGGACACGCCGGGGATAAACCTAAGTGCTCATCAACTACAACATCCTCCGATCACAGGGCTTCAAAATCCAGAATATCTTCTTTCTTTTTACCCCCTGGGAAGAAGGAGGTACGGATTCTGGACACCTGCTTAGGATGCAACTACAACGAGACTCGAGTTTTAGTACTTCTTGTAAATCAGTGTTCATGTCATCGAAAGGCCTGTTTAATTGAAAAATCAATACCTCGTAAATATTGATGTTGGCATTCGAGATGGAGGGAGATTCGATTTTAAAAGTGGGGCACCTAAATTAACTTAGGCCTTTTTACATTTTTAGGGCTACTGACATCTGGGGACGAATAAAGCGTTGATGCTCAAAAACAGCTTCTGATAACTTACTCTCTGTTTCTTAGCCTATAATTACTTATATAGACTGCATTTCTATTCTAAAACATCTCAAGACATGACTATCACCGTTTCATGGCCCGGGCCAGGCATGGTTTATGCACTGAAAAAACATTTTGCCAAAACATTTAGCCACGTCCATGCTACAGGCAGGCGATGTAACCATGCAGCTGGCATAACTGAGCACCTGAGATTCACCTGAGCACTAAGTCTTCGCAAAATCAATTATTACATAAAACAATTCAAAACACAGAGATAAAAACATTTTCTTCGTGTACGGCCATTTTAACTCACGAGTAAACGGCGTATCCTCGTTATTGCTTTGACATATTTTTAGAGCACGTAGAATCATCTAAGCTATTTCTCAGTTGTAGAAAACAAATTTTATTCTGGTAGAAATGAGATTAAAATAAAATGACATATTATGATAGTTATAATGTGAATGATAGTACCCTGCCAATATATTGTGTGCTTTAAAGTGTTGCCATCTGTTAAATCATAATGAAAAATGCACATATAGTATAAAAACCTATCGTCGTCGGTCTGTAAGATCGCTTTCAATTAATTTAAGCCCCATTATGGTTATTTAGAAGAAAAAAAGAAAAAGGCAGTCAATTTGATACAAAGTTTGATTTGCAGTAATATTAAACCAAGGAAAAAACAACGTAGAAAACGGCATTTGAAGTTCAGAGATCATAAGTAGTGCAAGCACATTTTTGACAAAGTGCATGTTATTACTCTTGATTTAAAACTTCTATAAAAATGAATGTACAGCTGTATCATGTAATCAAACAACTTCGCAATCTTTCATTGACATTAATGAAAGCTTGACATATAAAGCTTGACATAACATATTGGCTATATTGCAAGCTCCGATGTGGCCCGTTTGAGCTGTTTTTGGAGTCAAACGAAAGATATTTAGTACTTATCAATCCATTGGAAATACAATGAAATTCAAAGACTTTATTTTCCCACAAAATGTTGAAACTACGCAAAGTGGGCCTACAAAATGGCAAGGATAACTTGCCAACTAAAGCGTGGCTAACTTCCGTATATTGGCGAGATTGGACGGGCAAAGTGGGTCGCTTTTTCTCTATTTTGTGGTTGCAATCAAACTGGATAGAACAACTATTCTCGACTCAGGATTGCATGACAGCAGAGTGGCGCAGTGGAAGCGTGCTGGGCCCATAACCCAGAGGTCCGAGGATCGAAACCTTGCTCTGCTAATTGTTTTCCTTTATCTTTCGTTGTCAATGTCAACTGATTTGAAGCAAAAACTATGATGTAGGTTTTGAAAAATTAATCTGATGAATGCATAAAGGATGTCCTGTTTAATTTCGTATTCTCCTGGAAAGACTTTTAATTAATTAACTTTTTTAATTTGGCTAAAAGATTCTCGCATTTCCTTTGATCATTTTCCCTTGTCGTTTAAGAGTATCGATGATTTTTATGGGAACATGTTTCTCTAAACTGTAGGACGGGTGAAGATTTAATAAATATTCAGTATTGGGTATTATTTAAAGGCAGAATCAGATCTATAGGGGTGACAAAATTACAAGCAATATGTATGATTGACCTACCAATCTATTCCTTACAATCTCAAATACAATATCTCCCAAAAGATTCACGATATGTTCTAAATTGGTGAAGTTATTATGGATTCAAAGTGCAAAAATAGGTGAAAAATGTTTAAATTCTCCCAAATAATAAGAATGGTAACCATTCTTATAGAAAAATAATACATTATTGTAAAAATCTTTAGTTTTCCTGAAATAAAGTGTGCACTTTGGGGATTTTTAGAAAATAGACATGACAAGGAATTATATGAGCCAGAAATATTCTAAAATTGAAACAATTTTTTGTTGGGCCTGCTCGCTATCTCTGATTCTCTCTTTAAGAACTACTAGTATACACGTTACCCGGGTGTACGTTGACAACTTCACTGTACACGTACGTTATCACAAACCCATGAGATGTTATATGTAAACTATCCAATAGCTTTATCTCAAAATTAATTTGGGTTTATAATGAATAACAAGTGATGTAAAACGAACACATCCTTGCAACAAAGGTATACAGAACAGTATTTAATAATATTATTTATTTAAAGTGCCCGATAAACTATAAAATGCGCATGCGTCCAGGTGTTGATAAACTATAAATAGCGAAAATCCAGGGTTTGTCACCACAAGGTAAGCCAGGACGTGTTGAGAGAACAGCTAGTGTTGATATTGAATTTATATGTAGCCAGATAAGTTTCCTTATTGAAATTACATATGGTTATTAGCAATACTTTGTAGGTCCTAAATAATAAAATATTTAGAGTATATGAGAGAAATTGGTCATTTCGAACCTGTTGAAAAGTTTGTGGCTCTCGGCTACACCGGGGAATTTACTTCCATGAGTAAACACATAAATGTGGGGTTCCCCAAGAGGTACGCGACAAGGTGACCTGGCATCAAATGTGCGACTAAATGCTACTATCGAGAAGATTAAATAACGAATACGACAATAAGTTATTGCATGTGACAATTCCGAGCCTTCATCTCACTGAAGTATTTTGAAGTGAAAATAGGATTTTTGTTTTGATACATGGATTCAGATGAACGTAACTTTATTCTGACAACTAATCAAAACTGAACAAAATTGATTGTACGTAACAGACAATTTATTTTACAATGTTTTGATTTGCTAAACGAATGAAACCAACAAATTATGACATGTAAAATGACAATTTTGAAATGTAAAATTTAAAAGTGACAAACACAACCTCCCTATCCACTCTTTGGGAGCCCTAGTAAATTAGTAATATGTACATGCAGTGGTAGTGTACAGCTTATTATCACACTACGCTTTGTATTCTAAAGCCTGTTGTTTGTAATAACACTGTTCACTCAACGTATGTTTTGTGTGTGGGCAGTCAACGATAATCATTGTTTTATCCCGGTTATATGACCTCGGCAATTATAACAGAACCGTACTAAACGAAAAAACGCAAATAAGAGAAAGCTTTCACACACATATGAAAAATGAACTAGTCTAATCCGCCAGTATAAACTCTGTGCTATACGTAGCCGGGTCAGGCGCACACTTTAAGCATAATTGGTGACGAATATGGGACCATGGGGTGTTAGGTTCCAACCTCTTTGACCATTCGGCGTCAGTACATCTGTACGTTACATTACACGTTCATGGATTTTATAATCTGAAGAAGTTGATAGAGAGATCTATACTAGCTAGTCGAGGATGACTTTTTCAAATCCCATCTATGCTATATCTAGAATGTGCAGAGGTTCAAAAGTTCGATCAAGTTGAAGTAATACTATGATAGTTTAGTTTCAAGTTTAAATGAATTAGGGTTAGATCTGTAATAGGACAACGTACAACCGAGTCGACAACGTATTGTATCTACGAGTATTTATTGTAGTAACATCCAAAGTAAAAAGTGGTTTTGCATAAACTCTATATGTGTACTAACAGGGTGGCCCAAAAAACAAAACCCTCTTAAAGTGTAATAATTTCTTAAATAAGCGTACCTATCCTATCAACCCAATTATCCATGTGCATAAACTAGAATCTATGGATGATAATGTGATAATATAAAGGTTGTGTTTCGCAACATTGATTATTTGTGATATTATGGATGATCTTAGAATGTGTCCAATTTTCGGAAAATCGACAATTTGACAAATTCCTTTCTTGAGATTTATTAGAAATTTAGAAGGGAATTACAGACGACAGAATACGTCAACTGAAAGTCTCCTTTAATATTTTAATTGAAAAAATGAAGAATAGGTAAAATTGGTAAAACACCTGTAAAAGATAGATGACTGTAATTCCTGGCTTCTGAGCAAGAACACCTCGCTGTACGAAATTCCATCGAATAAATTCTCACGAAATCATAAGACGGCAGAATGATCAACCAAGAGCATTGCATGACATGTGATATCAAAGTCGTATTTAAAAATGAGTTGGAAGAGGAAAAAAGAGAACTTTTAAACACCTGCATGGAAAAAAAATGAAGAGCTATCCGTCGTTCTTGGGAAGTTTCTTAAAATGGGGTATGAGAACACCCTGAAGCACTGTGTGATTGTATTGAACGTAGTTCCAAAACATAACTCACAAGCTGCAACCATACCTAAAGATGGCTTAAAGGTTGCTGGGACACTTCCTCAAAAATGATCTCAACCTCTTTACTCACAAAATGCAGCTTTACAAGAACCTAAACCTGGGTTTAAACAAACGATGTGTAGGTCCCTTGGGTTGATACGAAAATCTTACATTTTCTGTCAAAAGTGGCCATATTTTTTATTAACCGTAACAAGAAGACTATTGAATCTTATGTAAAGAATTTAGTCTCACATTGTCATCCATAGATTGTAGTTAATGTACATGAAAAATGAGGTTGATTACATAGGTATTAAATAAGTTATTTCATTATTGGAGGGTTCTTTTTATTTGAGTCACCCTGTATATTTAGTTGCGTTAGTCGTGGTTTGGCTGTTATTTGCATTGTCAGATTCTGTCAAAAATTGGAGATTGCTGACGGGTTGGGTAGATGTAAAAGAAAATAATGAAGTTATTGAAGATCTTTCAAAGGAGATAGTCATATTTTCAACTTAATAACGGAATAAATATACATCTACTTGGTGGTGAACTGACACAATATTGATAAACCAATGGTATTTCTTACCTCGCTTCGTTACTCATCCTAGGAAATGGGATCCAAATTAGCAGAAAAGACAACGTACATCTAAAATGTACGACTGTAGCACATTGATATTATCTGGAAAAGTGCTAGATTAGTGCAGGGACTCGATATAGCTATATTTTCAGTTTATGGTGCTACACTGCAGCACATTGATATTATCTGGAAAAGTGCTGGATTAGTCTAAGATACAGTAGATAGCTCGGATAGTAGCTATAGTTTCAGTTTATGGTGTAACACTGCAGCACATTGATATTATCTGGAAAAGTGCTGGATTAGTGTAAGATAGATAGCTCAGATAGTAGCTATAGTTTCAGTTTATGGTGCCACACTGCAGCACATTGATATTATCTGGAAAAGTGCTGGATTAGTGTAAGATAGATAGCTCGGATACTAGATATAGTAGTAGCTATAGTTTCAGTTTATGGTGCAACACTGCAGCACATTGATGTTATCTGGAAAAGTGCTGGATTAGTGTAAGATAGTTAGCTCGGATAATAGCTATAGTTTCAGTTTATGGTGCAACACTGCAGCACATTGATGTTATCTGGAAAAGTGCTGGATTAGTGTAAGATATATAGCTCGGATAGTAGCTATAGTTTCAGTTAATGGTGCAACACTGCAGCACATTGATAATTTGATATTGCCAGTCCTTCAAATCATACATTAAACAAAACATCATACAATCTAATTTATATAACTCAGTTGTGTATTTTGCCAGAATGGTTTTTTACAAAGAGGTTTTACATAAGAACCTGAAAACTGAAACGAATACACAATTTTAGATATTTCAACATCTTTCTTTACATATATTTACATTTGAGAGGGGGCACTTTCTATTCCATTACTTATAAACACTGCTACTTGAGAAACATTGGAAAATTTAAATGTTAGAGATATACACAACTGTGATATCACATTCAACTGACTATAATAGTCACCATGGTAACCATATTATATAAAGAATAACCATGGTAAACTTACAGTAATCCATAATAAAGATTTTACTTCAATATTCAAATATTTACATTTTTGCATAAAAATTTTAGTGACCATTTGTTGTCATTATTTTGTGTGTGATAAAACCTACATGTACGTTTAGTGATGGCTAAGCAGGCGGGAAGAATTGATGATAAAGATATTGTGACAAAAACTGATGGAAGCCCACCTTTTTTACCTTGTATGAAAAACAATTCATGGTTTCACACCATGACTGTCTCGTGTAAAATGAATGCGTGTATTAGTATGTCAAAAATATCCCAACTAATATTATCACGTTCATAGAAATAGCCGAATTCCTGATGAAATTTTACTAAAACTAATGTACAATATAAAGCAGTTAGAGTAGTCTACATTACTTTTGTTTATCTAAACACAACTTATCTATCAAGGATAGTACAAGGGTTCAGGCAGTTAACCGAAACTTTGGAGTTCCAACCATCATTGGCCCCAATGGTTCATTCACTTGAATATCGTAGATCAAGAAAATGTCTGCTCCGAATGTTGAGAAAAAACACCAACGGATGAGACGATATAAACGTCAAGAATAAGATTCAGCCAACACATATTATTTCAACAGACAAAGACTATAACATGAGATTAAAAATTTGGCAATAATACAGGCTAGTTTTGTTTTACAATTCTTATGATAAGATTCATAGCAGAATATAATAGTGCAATAAGAACCGAATAACAGAACCCATAACCAAACGGAGGAATTCATAATTAACAATTCCAAACATTTTGAAACCGTCTGACCCCTATTAGTACTATATGGATATATTTCTACATTCCTAAGATCAATTCTTTCATTTCAAAATCTACCTACATAAATAATGACATACAGTGTATTAGTATACATCAATTCAGTTCAGAATAAGTGAAATGACTGGATATGATACAAATTCAATATAAATAAAATATTAGCATGTTTCATATACATGTACATGTTATAAAGTACAAATGTTATGAAGTTACAAATAGTGAAATACATATTGGTGATAGGCTATCAGCTTTATTACTTTATTTTCCAAGAAGAGCCTTACTCATACAAGTAAAATATAACAAAATACCATAGTGTGAGATCACAACCTTCCTTAGCAAGGCAAAAATGGACCAGGTATTAGAATGATGAAATATAAACCAGATTGCAATTTGGCAATACCAGCACCACTGAGGCATTGTTTGGACTCATGGCAGGTGTTTGCATTTTGAGGTTTTCAACAATGGTAATCTACTGTATGGAACCAAAAGTGTTCACAAATAAATAACAACACATTGATAGATGTTCAGATTAAAGTTGTTTGGATATACAGGTTTTACTGTACTCATAAGGCTCTATTTGTTAAAGTGTGATAAGCAACCATACTCTATGTACAATTATTATGTATACAGTTTAGTTTATACTGTTCAATATAAAATATCATATTAACTGCAGAGTGGTACAAAACATGCTTTTTAGTTTTCAGATCACCCTGTATATACAAACTTCAATGACACGGATTTGTACAATGTACATTATATTTAGGGTTGCATTTAGGCAACACATTTTTGATTTTGAGAGTAGAATTAGACAGAAATGAATGAGAAACTAAATGATACATATAAATAAAGACTTGCATATCAAAGCTACACAGCATAAAGGTACAGTTTTCAATGTTGCAATCTTGAAGTGAGGTGTTGAAAAATACACAATTGTTTACCTAAAGCATTTCCAAAGATGAAAGTTCAATAAAAGAAAACAATAAGTGTACTCCAGCAAATAAGAAACACTCCAATCCAGGAAAATACTACAGCAAACTGGCTTCTATGTTTATTCGAATTAAGGTCAGCATATAGTCATCGCCATCTATAGTGATGGCATAAGATGGCACAACAATATGACTATAGTCTGTGTGACAATGATGACAAATGTTAAGGTGTGTATCACATATAATTGAAACAGGTTTCCTTGTTGCTCTACCCTTGCCATATAGTCTATATATATATATATTATCATTATATTGTGAAGTTCAGGTGTACATATCAGTTCGTTGTGTTCAGTATGTTTCTTCCTCTTCAACTCCCTGTTCACCCGCTGGCACTTCTCCATCCTCTTCTGGGGATGCAAATCCATCCTGAAACACACAGCACAGGGTTATATATTTACTGGAACAATCACAACAGGGTTACATATTTACTGGAACAATCAAAACAGGGTTACAATACTGAAACAATCAAATCAGGTTTGTAATACAAATTTTTAAGAACAGTCACTATGAGGTTATATATTTAGTACTTGGTATAGTCATCACACCTTCATACACCTAGACTAGAAAATAAAAATATTTCATTTTGGGCACAAATGAAATCACAAAGTGCTAAAAAGTAAGAACCAGGGGGTTAGATTTTTGTGAAAGGTGATAAAATGCGGCACAGTAAGTGGGAAGCACGAGGATGATGCTAGGGAGAATATGGCAGAATGTATACTACCCGGAAAATTTTACAATTCATTTTGCTGCATTTCTGAGGCATTACAATCACATGTATTTCATGGGAATAGTAGAAATATTTGTCATGTCTGGGTGGATAGCTACAGACTTGCAACTTTTTTTTCATATGACTTCCAGCCTGAAATATGATAGGAACTAAAACAGTGACAGGAGTCAATGATATCATAAGGATGTAAACAGTGTATCCATAAAAGTGATGCTACAAGTATGTTCAATTTGACAGACATTTATATGATATTTAATATATTATGTAGAGGCTTTATATAAATGTATATAAAGTTACGAACCTAGATAGATAGCATAGTTATACAGCTTTAAATGCAGCTATGTAAATGTATAAAATGACATATGATGTATAAGATGACATATTATATTATCTTAATTGTTCAATAAACATCAAGCTGACTACATGGTTCATATCTTGCAATGCTTCTTCACTCCAATTTAGCATGTATTTAAGAAACTTGAAGAACTGCCTTAAAACTCCACAAATACTTAGCAATAGTCACTTAATAAGAAGTACGAGTACAGTATAGGTATTACAATAAGTACGACTTACAAGGCATGAAGCTTACATAGTCCTATTTCATCCTTATAAAGCTTAGTTTATTACTGACAAAGATAAACTTCATTTAAAAAGCTATGCTTGCATCATTGATTAAAATATTACCGCCTAAAAGCTTAATTTTAAGTAATAGAAACACAAAAAATCTCTAAAGATTAGAAAAAGTTCATTCATTTTGGTTTAATCTGGAGCTGCACATCAATTGTTATGTGCTGTACATGTAATTCAATACTCTAATTCGCATCACTTTGGAAGGGACAAATTTTCATTGGCCTACCGAACGAGTCAATTACTCTGAATGAAATGTCCGGAGATTGCAAAGTCAAAGGTCACGATCCGCTAATTTCATTGGTCGATGAGTACATCATAGCGAATGTATAGGATCAAAATGGCGGACAATTACTCAAACGAAATTTCAACAAATTCTGATAAAACTAGCGTGAATTTTGACAAAATGACAGTTTCTCAGCTTCCGATCTTCCATCAGCCCTCAAGCATAGTTATATGATCCAATCTATTCAATAATCAGAAAGATAATCCGAGATTCAAAGTTTGATCTTCAATGGTGTCTAAGCAATTTCTTGGAAATCAGTGACGTCATTGGAATAACGCAGATGCGAGTAGGTAGTTACCAGATTCACCACCAGGTGGCTCGTTCGGGTCAGATAGCATGGCGGGTATAGGAGAAAGTTCCCTTAAACTTAAATCACATCTGTTTTAATGATTCAATTTTCATATAACCCTTATGTATCTAATAGTTATGCAAACTGAAATATGTCCAGTAAAGGAAAATGTTATCTATCCAATACAAGAAAAGATATTTCACTTTTTGTGATTTTGTATCATGGGGTCTATGGGGAATCAACCCGAACAAGAAGTCACATTTTCAAAAAAAATAAATTTTCAAAGTTGATAAACAATTTTCGAAACCATATTTCTAGATGTACTTTTACATGCAGATTTCAAATATGACATCACCTTGACTGAATTTTGAATATTTAATGACGTAAATCAAGATTATTTCTACTCGCACCTAGTCTATTGGACGGGATTTCCAAATACAGATTTCTTCTGATTTGGGGATTATAGTTCAAAAAGCCTTGTTGTATATCTTAATTACATACTCAGTACATATCTATTGTTTCTGCAAATGCAACTCTTCATAAATGTTAAATAAGGCTGCAGTGCGGCATTGAAAATCGTACCCCTGTGTAATCAAATGGGAAAGAACCCGGATGTAGACAAAGTTGCACCGTACATGAGAGTTCTTCAAATGGGAGGTTACTAAACTGAACTAAACAAAACTTTATCGCGTATTGGAGTAGTATCAAGCAATATTAAGACTTATGATAATTTAAAAATATCTGGTAATAATTTCAATTCAACATTTGAATATGTTTGAGGACTTCAACTGGAAATTCAAGGTTAGGACATGAAAAGGGATGACACTATTATATCATAATAATCACCATGGGCGACACTATTGTATTGAATCAATCACCCAGGTAACACCTGAATTCCATTAATCTCCTAGGAGACACTCAATCTACCAATAAGTGATTAGAGTCAAATTACTGTGATACATCAAGAATAAGCCCCAATCACCAAGCCAGCCAATCATAACTAGACTACCTATACATATACAGGGTGTCCCGCTTGTCACATATACATGGGACACCCTTTAGGCCTGGTGCTCAATATTCCTCAAATACTTCCTCATCTTCAGGTACAGCAAAGCCACTCTGTAGGAACATAGAATATACAGGCACATCAACTAAATGAGAAAAATAATCAAACAGGGTGCAACATAAAGCCCTGGCTCAGAGAGAGCTTAAAGGTCATTGCTAGGTTATTATTTGCTGATATTTCATATATAACAATGCAATGGGTTTGAAATCCATTTTCCATCTCTTGAGCCCTGGACATGGATGCAAGTTTCAACCATTTAACAAGCAATACTCTGAGATCCACATAGAGAAATAAGCACTATGGAATCATATGGATTAAATACTGTATACCAGTGGATGGATGATTAAAGTATACAGGGGGTAGCCCGGTGAGTAATATGCAAAATGAACCTATTGGTAATGGTATGTACATTGGCTGATGAAGCTCAACATGTTAACATTGAAGCTCTATGACACAGAGAAGCTACACTAGCATCTAAACTACCTTCACATCAGTTACACATCATCATCACCAACCACTACAAAGCCATCCTAAACATAAGATAGAGTACATGAAACACACACAGCTCTGGTTTTCAAGAACTTTTAAGTTATGCCAGGTTAAAGCATGTCTGATACTCACATCATGTAAGCAAGACGAAGGGGCAGACAGAGGAACGAACAAATATTGCAATTTCAATTTGTTGATTTCGGAGTCATTTTTGTAACTTTGGTTAAAAATGAGTCTCTGGTTATTTTAAAAGGGAGTACAGACGTGATTCACTGACTGAATAACATGAGAAACATTCAAATAAACAGTTCAGCTTATGCACTGCTTACGCTCATCAAATTTCTGAAATATCTGTAAAAGATGAAGTATTTTGTATGATGATGAATATCAAATAAATTCATATTAAAATGAAATCATTACAATATGCTGGTTGGTTTGCCATGCACACAGCGGTTTTTAGTCGGCCTCTGCTCTAGGCTATATCAAAACAACTAAACATGCATTAATAAATAAACAAAAGAAAGTATAAATGTAAATCAGTGTGTAAATCACCACTCTATTCTTAAATCATAGCTGAAATTTGTATTTTTTCATGGGATTAGCTTTTTCATTTCAATGTTTATTGATATTTCTGATTTTAATTACATACACCAACAACATCACATGAAAAAGAGAACATTTAAAGCACATATAAAGAATGGTGACTGACTAGAAAATAAATCTAAAAGGGGAAACAACAAAAACTATTAATGGTTTTTTACATAAAAATTAGAACAACTCTCCAAAATAATGTCACATCTATTGAAATTAAAAAACGTTTTAAGTTTTATTAGGAGTCTGTATTCACTATATACAAATCAATTACTGAACAAGTCCAACAACCAGACAAGAAATACTTAGAGTTGGGAAAGAATTTTTGTTTATGCTTCTGCATAATTCTTTCAATGTGACATTATATTGAATTCTAGGCCATCTGAACATATCTCATTCTCAAAATTAGAGGGATGATCAATAAGTAATGGATGCTTATATGATAAGATATGCCTCATATACTAACATAGGGTGACCAATGGATGATGTGGGGACCCATTAATGCTAAGGGCAGGTATTTTCTCAAAATTCACATTCAAATTAAAAATATGTTGCCAAAAGCCTGCTAAAAATCTTGAATGCCCTGAAGTGCACTAATAGGAATCTGTTGTATTTTTGAGAAATGGAGTTGTAGGCCTATATGAGGAGAAGGCTTAGAAAGAAGGCGAACATTTATCTGAAAGATGGACAAAAATACATTGAAGCACCTATTATTCAACTGATATCAATATTGGAAGAAAAGCAACTTAGATATATATCAAGCATTGAAAAATTCTGGCTCAGGTTACCTGTACAATATCAGAATATATCAGGTTTTTCAAATCTGTCATGCTTTTTTGTGGTTAATATACTGAAATCTGGATCTCAACAAAAACTTTATTTTTTTTAAATGATGACTATTTATATATGGGTTCCAGATTGAAAATAGCTGTATGACAGGTGCGAGATTGTAAACACCTTAAGAGCTGTTTGACTGACATGTGATACAAATCAACCAATCATATCTCTTGTCAATAAGCTCTATATGGTAATATAAGCACAACTTAGTTCAAACTTTGTTGGTTTTAAAACAAACTGAAATAAAATAAGTCTGGCATCACTAATCTAATAACCCCCCCCCCTCGATTCCCCCTTCAAAACATTTGATGCAGTAACAGAAATCCACAATCCACGCACACAAAATTTGAACACAAGCCATGCGAGTTGAAAAAAGGAAGCGAATGTGATGATGTAATCTGGTAGCATAGATGCAGATATCGGCACCGAGTTGTGTGGTATACTAACATTTAATGAAATTCCTCCTCTTCTGCTGCTTCATCCTCGGCAGGAGCAAAACCATCCTACAAGTTAAGATGAATTAGTCTCAAATGCATACATGATATAAATTTCAATGATAGGGACTCAGTAGGGGATACACCCTGATCAATTTGTCCAAAATCCCCTGAAATACTTGTATAAAAAGTGACATTAGTTTCATGGTGTGAGCAGCATTGAGTCTGGCTTAGTACAGCAAGCTTTGTCTGTGCAAATTACATTGTTATTTTTGTTCACTTCAAACCAAGTTATATAGCACCAATACTAACACTTCATTCATAATCAACATTATCGAACATTTGATATTGATAATTTTAGTATACTGGGATCCATTTTTGGTAAGATTGTTACTTACAGTTCCTGTTCTCTTTTTAGTTGAATATTACCTTAATGCGACCAAGTTAGGACAATTCAAAATATGGATACATGGTGTTTATTTCCCAAAACATTCCTTTTATGAAAGTCGGGAGATGAGTCGGGATATTGACTTAAAATTACTAAAAATTGTAAAATCTTGAAAACCAACTCAATCACACATATTATTAAACCTTAATACCCCATCCCTTTTCCGAGAGCCCCAAAATATCAATTTGCATCATGATTAATGTAATAAAAATATAAGCAAAGACAGTGCATATCAATATGCTAGAATTGATTAAATATGTCAAGTGCAAATACATGTACTAGATTAATGATTTACCCAAAAAGTTTGAAACACATCCTACAAAACATAGTCTACTCTCTTGGTCTAGGCATTGAATGGCAATTAAGCCTTTCGTGGTTCGCTCTTTAATTAAGAAGGTACGAAAATATGTACTTAAAAAGCCCTCAAAAAAGACAAAATTTGATTGGTCAATATTTTCCAACGATACATCAGCATAGCTATTTGCATGACCCGAAAGTTCTAAATCAAACTATACGCAATTTTGTTTTTACACCCGCACGCTAAATAAAATAAATAAAACAATGACACCATCAGAAAAATTGTTCTTTGTCATTGCTTTAATGGTCAGAATACCAAGTATAATCAAGAAAGGCTTGCACAAAGAACAATAAAATTCGGAAATGAGTACTATAGATTTGCTTTTGGACACCAATTGACCAAGTTAATAGCAACGCTTCTTCTATTGTCAATTACTCAGTTGTTTGTTGGTTTTCAATGTAACTCTATAATGCAATTTGAAGATGAGTGCTTTTATTCTGTTGTTGCTTGGAATGAAAGTGTTGAAAATCGAATGAAATTATTTTTTCCAATATGGCGACTAGTCAACTGATCACTTTTTTTCCGGAATATTTTCTCACTTTACAATCATCGTTTTTACCACACTATGAATCAAATCAATGAAAAAAAAAAATCTGTTATATTAAGATTAATAGGAGATCAATTATTCCTGATAATTTTTTCTGTACTCCCGTACGGATATATGAATAAATATATCGATTTAAAAATATGTGTGAAAATCCCATGTTAAACCTATGGGGGAAAACAAGGAAGTATGGATTTGTTCCTCCGCGAACTGCATCATGGTAAATAATTTGACCTTATAAGGAAAATCTTTCGCGTCTCCTCTTTTGAAGAGGGAACAACGAATTCGACAATTCTTGATAACTGAATTGATATTTATCTGGGTACAGGAATATAGCCACTCAAGTTGCTGGGCATCCTATTATGAAACATCAATAGTGTTGATGGAGTTGTACATAATGTTAGTGAAGCAAGTTTTTCTGATATTTTTAACATCAAGTGGCAGCCATCTTATCTTGTTTTGTCTCCATTTTAATAAAAATGGCAGGAAATTCAATATTTCATAAATGTGATTTTCTTTTAAACTCTTTGTATTTTGGTTGTTTCTACTTTGTATTTCATATATGCTGCCATTTGTGTTTTCATGATAATGATTTGTTTTTAGTTGAGATACTTATTTTGACTCACAGCAGGAGTTTAATAATGCATACAAAATCACAAAAATCCATATATTTATCAAATATAACTCGGACAGCAATGAAAACTATATTGAAGCAAGGGACCAAAAGTGCATATATCCCGACTCATCCTTTGATTGGTCTACTGTTCTCTTATTATGACATCATACTTTCCATATTCTCATTATGACTTCTACCATTGAAACATTGGATTCAATAGTACTAAGTAATGTTATAATTTAAGTGTGAAACACAAAGCATTTTCTTACCTCAGTGGCATATAATACATTCAATATACTGGTTATTAGAGGGGTTTCCAACTGGTCTGATTCTTGACACATGACTTCGATATCTCGTAATTTTCCGAAATAAAAATCTCTTTCTTTTTCTAGTCCCTCTATTGTAAATTTTTGTTCTGAAACCTGAAAAAACAGATATCAAAACCAAATTGTATATGTGTAAATATTTAAAGCTGGTCTAATATGTAGATGTTTTTAAAACATATTCTGACAACTATGATTCTCGTGTTATGAAGATGTTAACAAAATGGATTAAGTGTAGAATTTGGGGTGAAACATGAGATGGTGCCAGCTGAAAGACTGGATGTTTTATTTAAACAATATAGATGGCCTACTTACTTGTGCTGTTAATGATTCTATTTGAGCAGAATCACCAGCACCACCTGCGGTTTTTCGTACAAGTCCCGCAGAAGGAGATGTTTTTGGGGCAGCTTTTGCTGGGGCTGCAAAACAAAGAATTAAACACATGCAGCCTTCTGATGAATTAAAAAGGTTATATGATATCGAGACAAATGTTCAAAGATTAATCTCAATGCTTTATGGTATCTTAACATGGATCTAGTGATAAATCTACGAGAGAAACACTCACCTGCTTTAGGTGCTCCTGGTCTGGGGGCTCGTGTTGTAGGGGGTTTGTTAAAAGCACTAGTGGCCTTCTTGGGACCTAAATATACACACAGTATATATTATAATGTTGCAGATCTTGGCACAAGTCGGTTTACTTGGTGTCTGCCTATCTACCCAAAGAGACAACTCACAGCCAACGGCATAAGACAACAAGATAAAAGCACTTAAAAAAGTGCTATAAAAAGGCACTACTGATAATAACTTAGGGTTAAACGTATAAAGCCAATGCTTTATTATCTTTTTAAATTAATGTAATTTGGTATAATAGTGCACGGGTTTATTTTAAAGTGCATATCTCTATCTTACCTGGACCCCCTGGACCCCCTCCACCCATTCCTACACCACCTCTCGCACCCACGGCATCATATTCTTGACCGCTATAGTTGGCATCAAAGAACTTTTTAAACCACTGGACAAATTCAAAATTGTCTTGGAACTTTCCTTTTACTAGTCTTTCTACTGGGACAACCTAGGCAAATAACAAAAAAAAATTGGTTGTAATAAATGTAAGAACGATACATAAAGAACATTTATGAATAATGTACATATGTAGTATGTAGTTTACACACAATTAAATTATATTAAATGTGGATCCTTACTCTAACTACATTTGGTGGGATAACAAACACATTAATCTCAAAGCCATACAGGGATACATTTACACTTGGATAACAAACACATAAATCTCAAAGCAATACAGGGATACATTTACACTTGGATAACAAACACATGAATCTCAAAGCAATACAGGGATACATTTACACTTGGATAACAAACACATAAATCTCAAAGCAATACAGGGATACATTTACACAATTGCAAAACATTGCATTGTTAACTAAAATAAATAGTACCATGGATACTGGGCTCACATGGTGAAAGTGCAATCAAAAAACTGATTGAAATATGATTTTTTGGCAGTGATGGCCATTTTTATATTTTACAAGATATTTTGCTGAAAATTCTGGATGTTATGGATAATCTACACATAAAGCTGGTTGTACAATTTCAATGGCCAAGAGTGGTATACATGACATTAGTGCATGTATAGTGCATGTATAGTGCTGAATTGATTCTTTACAAAACAAAAACAATTACTCGTTTCTGCCATTTTCTGGTACCACCACTTTTGAATCTTGGGAGAAAATATTTATCCAAGTGATTAATGGTTGAATCACACAAAGAAATTAATGCTGATTATATATGAAACATTTTGGGATGAAAGGTATGTGGTGAAGTTAAGTATTCAAATTCAAGCACGCTGTCTTTCAACAAATATCCCAAATTCAATTTGGCATTCCAAAGCAGAATGTACACATGTATACTAGGACTCTCACGGTTTCATAATTCCTCGGTTCGGTACGGTTCACAGTTTTTATCTTTTCGGTTCGGTTTCGGTTCGGTTTTCGGTTCTTATCGCACTTTAATGTAAAAAGTCAAATAACTCAAATTGACACTTCATCTAACTAATGTATTCAACACCATCTCTCGTTGGAAATCCAAAATAACCCCAACAGTGGGCCTTATACGACTTTGAATGCCGAAATCTTCATCCCTCGTTTCGAGATTCATCTTCCTCAACTTTAGCGAACGGCACTTTTTTTCAGAATTAACGAACCGTTAAAAAACCGAACATCAGAGTTTTCAAACCGAATGTACCAACCGAGGCCCTAGAACCGCGGAGCACCGCAGTTTCGGTGCACCGTTAGACCCTTAATGTATACACATGCTCGATTGCTTGTAGTTGAGAAATGTCTCTAAGCTCATGCAAAGTAAAATAAAAACAGACCCATACTTGGAAAGTAACCCATTATTTCCCCTCAATTAATCCAATTTGGTTATTAAGATTTCAAAGCAAATTCAGAAAAAACATGCAAACTAAGTTTATCTGTAAAGTGAACCCAATGCACATATTAAACATACTCATTGATGATCAAGTTTTCTGGTTTTGAGGGGTTGTTAACATTAGATTATGCAATGATACAACATGAATCAAATCTCACAACAAAAAATCAGTTATGAACTGTTATACTGTAACTCTATGCAACTCAATGCAATACAAAGCACAACACCAGATTTGTTGAATGGTGGGTGAAGCAAGCCACAGTCAAGCCAGAAATAATAATGCTTATACTGTTACAATAATTCTCTCAAAACATATATCCCTTTTGGAATTGATCATTTTGTAAGTACATGTAGACACCCAGTTAAAATACAATTGAAAAAATACATCTTAAATTAAGTAGACTCGATTCATAGTCTTTCATAAATTTCACATAGTAACCAGGAGATGGAAGTAATATATTATGCAATCAAACAGGCTGAATTCTGAATCACTTTAATTAAACTGTATAAGAGTTATCGCCTGGACAGCTTAGGCCAGCTTTTCTATATCCCAAACTACCCTAACTTCATTTGGTAGGATAATAACACCAGTGATCTCCCAGCATCTTGCCTTAAGAGAGTGCCAAATTAAAAAAAATTCTTGATTTTTCTCATTTTCAAGTGAGTGCCAATAGGACTTCAGGTGGGTGCAAAATCTCAAGTGGGTACACTGCCCACAATGCTTCAATGCTGGGGAGATCATATCAGATTATGTGACAGGCTCTGAAGGGACATTTAGTTGAGAGAAGTATTGTTTGCCTTAACTGACCACATATCACACCACTCTCGATATCTTACCTTATCCACCTTATTTCTTGCAAAACTAGTTTGCAATAGCTTGAAGTTGTTAATTTTTTCATGTTCTAAATTTGTTGTGAATTTAACTTTTTTCATTGGTAACGTGCCTGCAAAAATGTCAAAACAGAATGCCATGAGTAAGACATGTGTTTTGATTGGTTGTGTTAGATACATGCAGAATGCCTAGAATTCCCGTATCTATCTATCAAAATATAAATCAGCTATTTTGGTCAAAACCTCAACTTGTACAAAATCTACAGAGTGATAGAAACTAGTGACACAAAGGTCACAATTTCTGTTTTCATGCAAACAATCCTTATGCAAGTCTGTAATCAGTCTGTAAATACCAAAAAGAAATATATATTGAGGATAAATATGAGAATTCTAGTCATGTACTGCAAAAATTAGAATTATAAAATTATGCCATTGTTACAATTATGACCTCCTCATACTAATAGAACCCACAACTAAATATAATGCACAAAAATTCCTCTATGCATGTGCACTTCCACATGAGACAGGACGATACACACAAGCACACTCTGTACATAAAACATGTACATGTATAATATAAACAAAAATGTCAAATAGCCATATACATTCTTCAATCTAATTACTACAGGGGTTCTAGAAAGTTCTTCAGAGATCACAAATAACTGGCATGGGATACAGTTTGCTCTCAGTAAGAATCACAACAAGATATTTTGTGTAATTTTCTCGTTTTAAAGATCTGAAATATCTTGTTCTGACTCAGAGGGTTGAGTTAGTAAACAGATAAGAGAGGGGGGGGGGCTTTCAGAGCAAGCTGTATTGTTCAGTTTCACATATATGACACTTAGCTGCAGGAACTAAGTATCAAATTCTATCAATTTTTTTCATTAATTCCTGAAACCAAGTACACATATTAGCTGACCTCTGACTCAACAGTCCGAATTAGGGACTCACTGATCTCTCACTCAAGACATGTGACTCAGTGGTCTAACCCTCGACTGGCTCGTCTCACCTGTGACCCTGTTCTGGTAAGCTCATAAAACTAATGTTCACATGTGGACTGGGTAGAAGCATATTCAGCTCTTACAGTTTGTTGACGAAGAATTTAGAATGATAGCTTATATAAATATTTAGCATATGAAATATCTCATGACATCAAAACAAACTATATACCAATATTTTAATAAGACTAAGTTTAGATGACAAAATGTCAGGATCTGGTTAATTATTTCAACAAAAGTGTGACAATTTGTTACGGATGCTGTTACTTCATAAATGCTGACTAGGGATGCCAAGGACCTGTCACAAAAAATACTGGCTATAACAATATGCCACAACGTTCTGGTGGCGACTTGAATACTCTCGTTCAAAAAAGGCTTTCCCAATTTTATATTTCAGTCCATGAGTGTATACATTGGTATTATGATCTCATCACGAGTTAACAGAAGTTTTTACCTTATCAACACCCATTTTCTTAAAAGAAGTTTGTAGTAACTTGAAATTATTTAACTTTTCATGCTCCAATTTGGTGTTGAACTTTACTTTCTTCACAGGCATACAATCTAGAAATAAATCGCAATTCATAGATACAACAATGAACAACAGTGAAACATTCAAATATGTAAATATGTCAGACAGTTCATCTGGTTACAGTGAAGGGAAGACCAAAAGGTCTTTGGGCTCCAATCATCCAGGGACTAAAATGGTTGTATAACAGCTCCAATTGAATGGATATTCTTATTGCCTGTTGCTGGGTTGAAAGCTCTCTCTCGTGAACACCTGTCTAATAAACACTCTTCCTCTGCACATACTCTACTGACTTCTGTATAAATTGCCCTCTCTGTAGTGAACACTAGTCTCTAGTGGACACCCTTCCTCTGCACATACTCCACTGACTTTTGTATAAATTACCCTCTATGTAGTGAACACCTACCTACATTGAACACATTATTGTGGCTCCATAGGTGCTCACTGTACACAGGTTTTAGTGTACATCCAACTGGGTCCATTCTAAAATGCTACATTATTGCCAATGATGATAAAACTTTTTAACTCATAGAAGCAGAATAATGTAACCTTTCAATATCCTTGCGATATGTTTATGTTTACGGAAATGTTACTTTTCTGTATGATAAATGTAAAATTATTATTTAATACCCCCTTTTCAAAAACTTTATTTAATCATTGGTGGTCTAGCTGGATTATTAATGTTCTATGCTCACCTTATAGTGCAGGCTACCTATGAGCCAAATATCAACTTGACCCCCGCACCCAGTATAACAAGTCGTCATGGGTATCAAATTGTTCATCTTGTTGAGTACATTGCGAAAACCAATTTTGACAGATTGAAATATGGGTCAGATTCGATAAATACGACATAATGTTATGTAATCTATTATTATGACATAGACTTTTTTGTAAAGCATTTTTAAAGGAAATAATGAAAACAAATCATGAGCTAAACAAATATTAATTGTGTATATACTTTAAAATAAATTTTGATAATTATCAAAAATACTTTTGACTCAGAATTTTGTAATTATTACATAATTTCCATTGTTTTATGAGTAAAATTACAATTTGAATTGTTTTCGTTTTTAAGATAACATAATTTTTGTTCTAAATGATATAAACGTCATGTGCTAAACCAATTCAAGCAATAATATCTTATTATGAGTACAAACCTTTATAAAAAAGACTTAATCTCATTGTAAACAATATATGCCATGTATATGTAGCAGCAAATAACAGTACTTGAACGGTGTATTAAGACACAATGATAATATCATTAAATATTTAATCAGATATACTTATCCAAATATTCATGCATATAAAAATCAGGTAACTGTTTTGATCATTTTAAACATGATAAATATCATATACATATAAGGGCTTACATCTTTCAATAGAATCATTATATAATATGATGATATGATTATTTCAAACATCTTTATTCTAAACATCTGGATATGGTTTTTCCTCAACCATTATTGTGTTTTGGCAAATACCCACCTCACAGGAACAGATAGACATGCGCAACAATCCTGCAAGTAGGCATCTACAAGCCTGATTAGTGCGAAATCCATCTTTACAATAGATTTGGGTAAGATGCCTTATTTAATTCAATGGGGCGGATGCTCTCAAAATCATCTTAGGAACCAGACTTCCATCAATAAAGTAGCATTCGTTGCCTTCTGGTTTCCAAAGTTTGGGCTTTGCTGTGTGAGCACTTTGTCCAGATTTGACATTGGAGATGTGCTGGTAGAAGAGGTGAGGTGATCAATGTTCTTGATTAATTTTGTGTAATATATCCCCAATTTTAGCAAATGAACAGGTAGTGTCACATCCTATAAGGGTGTGAGCTGCTGATAATGATTTGCAAAACTTTTCACCAAGTTTTCTCATATTCTGTGAATTGATGATGCGCTGCTTTGACCCATGGCCACCGTGCATGAATATCTCATGTGACGATGTAAAGAACTGTGTGGTAGTAGTACAAAAACATGACCAACGCATCAGCATCACTGCATCGAACTACGGTATTTCTCTTATTCTTACTTAACTGTCTTTGACATTTGTATTGCATGGTAAATCATTAGAGTATCTGCCTCATCAAGACATGCTTCCATGTATACTCTCTTACTCTGCACTGTAAAAGCCAGTTGTTGTTATGGTCATTAGCCTTCACCCTTTTTTGAAAACGTCCAGCTAAGATGATTGATTCATCACTTTTTTCAAATGAGCAAGATTTGCCTTATTTTACCATTCCTAAGACACCATCTATAATTTGGACCTACAAGACTACATATCTTGCGCACATCATCTTCATCCTTTTCGACTCGCTTTGGTTGGCATTCTTCAAGAGGTTTTTGTGTTGAATGTACAGATTTCTAACAGATTCTGCATAGTCGCTGGCGATGTGACAATGTGACTTTACCACCTCCCTGATAGACCTGGTTTTCTTACAGATTTTAACAAAAATCTTCTGCAGACTTAAACATCAGCCAGAAACATGCTTCACTTGCCATCTCGATTCACTATACAGTTTAACAATCCTGGACGTGGCTAATAATGCTAAAAGCACAGCCACTCACACTGTATTTTTGTATTGTATTCTTTGTACAAATGAATAACTTAATAAAAAAAACAAAAAAAACAATCCTGGAAATAAGGCTAGGGTTGCTGTCAAGTGCATATTTCCAATTCATTGTCATATTCTATACACGAGATGGATGGTTCTTTTGTGCTTTGTTGTACAGGGTGGTCAAAAAATGGAAACCTTGCATTTTCCTCATATCTTTGTCATTTTAAAATATTACTCTCTCATATTTCACACATTTGTACATCATTCACTATCATACAACAGCACTTTAAACAACATGCTTCAGGTTTGGGCATTATCACGCTGTTGTCAAACCTGCACAGTTGTCTATGATCCAAATACATTCTTCAGCAGATATGGCCTGAATGACACTAATGATCTTACTTTTGAGGTCTGCAATTGTCCTGAGGTCATTCTAATACACTTTATCGTTGCCGTTTCCCCACAAGTAGAGACATTTTGGACTACATGTGCAGGTTTGCTGACAGCACAATAGTGGCCACTGGGGCATGTTCTTTAAAGTGCTGTAACATTGTGACTATCAATCTGATGGTCATGAAATATAGTGGGCTGGTAGGAAATTGAATTAATATGTACAAATGTGTAAAATATCAGTTCTTAAAATGACAAAGATATGAGAAAAATGGTGTAAGTTTTTTTTTACCATCCTGTAAATGGCCTTCTTTCTGCCTTCTGATTGTCTCATATGCCTCACAAGTCTCCACATCAGGTCAGATTTGATTGTACTGTGGTATGAACTGGACTTTGTCATCATTTCTATATTTTCTTTTGATGAAATGGGATTCGGTGTTGGTGTCACTTTTGGTTTAACTCATCAACCTTTGGTTTCCATAGTTACATATATCTGTGTCTTCCAGAGAAGTCTTGTTTTTCTGTTCTGCTCCTTGTTATCATTATTATTTTCTGATCGTTTATACAAGACCATGGACATAGGATGTGTTGATCCCTTCCCATCAATAGTGTCTTCGATTTGATCAAAGTTATGGATTGCAGCATCCACTAATAAAACCAATATTTCCATCATCGGCAGGTTTCTCAATACCACTGAGATTAAAATTTGAATCAAATATGTCAATCGGTATTTATGTAATCATCCAAACATACTTACGGACAGACGGGTGGCTTTTCTATATCCCTCCCTTCATTTGGTGGGATAACAAAGTATTAAATAAACTAGCTACACATAACCTTTTGTTGAATGCATTCAGCAAGACCATCCTATCTGGATGGCCATAAGCTCTGCATAGTGACTCTGATAAAACAATTACTGTATGGCAAACAGATACTGAAAATCTATAAGTCTGTATATATTACATAATATTATATCCTCATATTAATTATGTTATTGTGGAAATAAAATTGTGCTATCACATCCTTTTATTCATTTTTTGTATTTGGTGAAGTTTAACCAGTTTATTGCGTGTCTTGCAACGTCTAATTTCAAATTTTTTAACATTATTACATAATAATTACATAATTATGATTAATATTGATTTTAAATTTCTTAAAATTTTGTCATCAATTTTTTCTGAAAGCATTACCACCATTATCTGTTGTTATACTTTGATAAAAACCTAACCATAGCTGTTTTAAACCTTGAAATTATAAAAACATAGAAAACAATAAATTATGTAACATTACGCTAATTATCTGGAATCTGACCCATATTTGAAAATGTCAAAATTGGTTTCTGAAAACTTCACATCATACCGAACAAAATGGTACCACATACGTCTTGTTATACCGGGTGCGGGGGTATGTCATAGAAAGAGGCCTCACTGGAATGTCCCTAGCCTGTACTATTAATAGGGAGGAAACAAAGGGACATAAACATAAACATATCAGCTAATACAACTTTTATTCCATAATCACTGCTACCCACCTAGTTACACAGACGTATCGTCAGTGTATCATGGCGGAACTACTTCCGGGACTAGGTTTCGGTAAGATTTTTTCATTTCCCGATTTACACCTACTTATAAGTCACGTTGTGGATAATAATTTGGCTCGAAGTTAAGGAAGATAGTCTAGTTTGAGAATGTGTCGATGGTTTTAGGTTTTATATGTTAACGAAGACACAATTCACGTATTTAGTCCCTCGCTTTTGTTACACTAACGAACGACCAATATCAGTGTAATATTGGCAATATTAATGCCGATCGTCAGTGTAAAAAAAGCGAGGGACTAAATATGTGAAATGCGTCTTCGTTAACATACCAAGCCTAAAACCATTGACACATTCTCAAACTAGACTATCTCCCATAACTTCGAGCCAAATTATAATCCACATCGTGACTTATAAGTAGATGTAAATCGAGAAATAAAAATATCTTACCAAATTCAAATCCCGGAAGTAGTTCAGCCATGATACACTGACGATACGTCTGTGTAACTAGGTGGGTAGCAGTGATAATAACATGTTTTCTTTGGGATATAAACAGGGAATAGAATTGATATTCAAAAAATCCGGCATCATATCCCATATCAGCCAAAATCCTGTATCAGATCCTGTATCAGAACTATTCCAGGGGATTTTTTACATTTTTCAATCTATTTTAAAAACTTGTTTATAAAAATGGAAAACATTATATGTTGAATCAAATTGTATCGTTTTATGTCACCATCATTGGGTGATGACAAAATGAACCAGAACAACGGCAACGCCAAAGCGTAGCGAATCCCATCGAACAGAAATGGCTGGCATTTTACAAACAAAATATATAGCAAATATCGTAAAATAACACACATAAGAAAGGCCACCATTTTCAAAATGGTTGCTCACTAGCCCAGTTGTCATCAGAAGAAGTAATATGCTTTTAAGTAGCCACATATAAAATTTTTAAAAAATCGCCCACGCATACATGTAAATGCTGGCCATTTCTTAAAATGGCCGCCGGCGCCAACTACCCAAAATGTCATAAGACAGTATGCAATCCTTACGAGTATTCACATATCGAATATGAACAAAATCGCTCTATTACTTTTTGAATTATAATAAAAATGTAAAATAACACACATAAAAATGGTGGCCATTTTTCAAAAGGGCCCACTACTCCCCAAAGTTTTATTAGACAATGTGCCATGTTAAAAGTATTCACATATAAAATATGAACAAAATCACTCCAATACTTTTGGAGTTGTAGCAAAAAATGTAAAAATGACGGCCATTTTTTAAAATCGCCACCTTCTATGCGAAGTGTCATGAGACAGTGTGCAAGGTTCATAAGTATTCACATATCAAATCTGAACAAAATCGCTCTACTATCTTTCAAGTTACAGCAAAAATTGTAAAAGGACGTGCAAAGGCAGCCATTTTTCAAGATGGCTGCCATGTATTTCTTCTGTATTTACATTTCTAGCTTAATCAATGTACTATATAACTTTTTTACATTTAAAACATATTGCTATTACAGTTTTATATGCAGTACCTAAAAAACTGTAAAATTGGCACTAAAATGGCCGCCATTTTTAAATGAGTGGCCATTTTGAAAATCCATTTTCGAGCAGAACTTCTATCCCCATTGGGTATATGTGTACAAAATATGAACAAAATCGGGCCAACGGTATTTGAGTTATTGCCCGGACGGACGGACGGACGTACGTACGGACGGACAGACGGAGGCGTTCCCTATATCCCTCCGAACTTCGTTCGATGGGATAATAAATTTCACAAAAAATATTATGGAATAAATAGGTCATTGACGGTCGAGATGCATAGAATATGAATAAAATTCATATTCATATTCATATTCTCTTCCATTAAATAACCTCTATTTATGTCAGCAATATGTAAGCATGAACAGGGTTGCCACAGAAATTTCAAATCAAAATTTCCTGACTTTTCTGATTCAAGTGTTGGAACTACCTGACAAAATAATTGTTGTTCTCATCTCATAGTGAAAAATTAAAATTGGTAGTTTCATATTACTGATGCTTTTTCTCATTTTATCTTCAGCTATAGGTACAATTTTCAAATTTTCACTTATTTCAAAATTTCTGAATTCTAGAATTCCCTGTTTAGCCATTTTGAGACAATTTTTATGGAAAAATGAGCTTAGATTTCCCAACTGTTCTTCGACTGTTGCAACCCTATGAAGAACACAGCTTGTATATAACATGGAAACCTGAATAGGGATTTATTGTATTAAGCCATAAGAAGTAGATTCTTTGTTTTGCGTCCTGGCTAAATCCAAATCATGCAAAGATACAAGGAAAACAAACACAAACTCAAGCAAAAACACAAACTTGTTTGCTGAGAAATGTATACATTTTATGGACATTAAAAGGGATGACATACCAATTTGCAGTGATTACAAACACATATCTATACATTTTATAAAATATATTTAAACATAGGTATTATTCAAGGGTAAAAAATAAGAAAATACATAATGTATGCCAAAGTAATTATAACACTTTCAATTTTGACGCACATCAAATTATCCACCATTTCGTCTGATTCTGATTGAACGAAATGCGATGGTACTTTCAGACCCTTCTGATTGCTATTTGGACATGTTGGATGTGCCTGTTTTTCTTATTTACTCAAAATTGTGCAAGCAAGGGGACGCAAAACAAAGAATCTACTTTGTATGGCCTTATGGAAGAAATCAAAAATACATACTTTCAAATAGGCAGTCCATGAATTGACAGTACGGTGCACCTGTAACAGAGAAATACATCTTTCTAAAATATACAAGGTGAGGTTGTTCAAAAAGTAAAGCTAATTTTGCTCTCAAATAATTTTTTTTTAGATGTATACGATTCTTATGGTAGGAGCATATACACACGTGACTTCAATAACTATTTTGAAAATATGGCCGAGATGTTTCAGTATTTGGTTATAGTTAAGTTGAACAAGACATTAACACGTAAAATATAACCACTTGCCATTTGTTACAGACGCTGACCACCAACTGCCAAACACCATCCACATGAATATTACCACCTTTGGTGGTGAGATAAAAGTGTGCTACTGAGCGAGTAATAGTCATAGGGAACAAAAACCTTTTTTCAAAACTTGAGATCAGATTATCTTGACATTTCTGGCTCCAGGCCACTGGAACACTTCCCCCCTCTAATGAAATATGAATGATACATACCAGAAGACAGTTCTTCTATCTTTCCAAAGCTGGCATCTAGGGAATCATTCACCCAGGCTAAGATTTCATGTCTGCTCAGGTTCTCTGTTGTAGCATTGGTACTGAACACATTCACTGCCATCTTGATATGTTCTGATCTAAAAACAATTTATCGATTAGGGTCAATCTCAATTTTATATTACATCTTTCAATTTAAAATGAAACATGTTAGTATTATGTAATTTTCCGCGCAACATTGCAAGTTTTGCAATTGTTAGTGTAGCATTGTAGGACTTATTAAAGGCACATTGAATTGTTGAAAACAAATCTGGGGTTTAGGAATTTGAGGAGAGGTAACTTCAATGTGGGAAGAACTTACTTCCTGCGAAAGCTATTTGGATTTTGATATAATAGCTTTCCCACGGAGCATTTGGACAGCTGATTGATTGTGACCTTTGAAATCGAATTAAGTCGATCAGCGGCTTACTTTTGGTCTCTAACTGTGTCTTACATCAGTATCATCATTCCTTGTAAGTATTGGAGCGCTGGAGTACTTCTTTTTCGATCAAGACTTGTAATTGTTAGTCGAGTGAATCGTTTTACTGCCAAATTCCAATATGGCGTTTTCTGCTCGGACATTTTCGTAAATCTCCGGAGGTTGTCCGAACCTAACTAATTCTCAAAATTCATTTCGTTCGTTGCGTATCTCGCTCCTAGCGAACCGCCCTATTGGAAATAGGTCTAAAAACTTTCACTCGATGAACAATTTACAAGTCTTGATCGAAAAAGAAGTACTCCAGTGCTCCAATACTTACAAGGATTGATGATACTAATGTAAGACACAATTAGAGACCAAAAGTAAGCTGCTGATCGACTTAATTCGATTTCAAAGGTCACTATTGATCAGCTGTTCACTTTCCCGTTTGAGAGCCATAAGTTTCAAAATCTAACATGGCTCTCGAAGTGAGTAAGGAAGAACGTTTTTATTGCAGAACAAAATAAAAATATAACCAGGCATTACATGCAAAATGTCACCTGCTATTCGTTACTGATGCCGAACGTTGAGCGCTAAACAGTGTCCACAAAATTTTTTTTTTTGTTGAAGTAGAAGCTGATAGATTTTCTATCAACTTATATTCAAAACACAACACACAATGGAGCCGGAGATATGCGAGATGACATGGTTAATCATTATGATATCCATAAGCAAAGCATGGAATATTGCAATAGTTTCTGGCAGTCCAGTCTTGTTAACAAGAACAAATTCTCACAGGAAATTACATTATCAGCCAACATTAATAATTATAAAGGTCCAATAATCGACCCAACATGGCATATTTCCAGCATTGCTATAGACCATTTCAACCAAAATGAATATTACATTGACCTTTAACCAAACCAGACTCCATATTGAGGTCCCAACAGTATTAGCCCATGTATTAAGATAAATGAGGAAAATGCCAGTCAGTGAATAATGACTGTCCGAATTCGATAATGGCGGTCATACATATATTTAATGATTAAAATGAAGTCTAATGTCAGTCACTTTCATCTGTGTTTTACTCAGGTAGAATAAACAAATGTTGCAAACATAGAATTTTTGTTGATCTAACAATCTCTCCATTGAACTGCCGCAAAATTAAAGATTGATCTTTCAAAATTAAAATACTGGTTTAAGACACTCAGTTTCTAAATCTCGCATTACATTTCATATGTTCTCTAAGCGACACTTTCATGCCAATCTTACCGCACTACAAACTGCAACATCGATGCAACAATTGAATAAAAATTACATTATAGAGTTACGTTGAAAACCCACAAACAACTGAGCAGTAGACCAAAGAAGATGCGTCGCTGTTATCTAGGTCAATCTGTTCAGAGGTTTGAAAGCAAATCTAGAATACCCGTTTCCAAATTTTGTTGTTCATTGTAGAATCTTTTATTGATTATACTCGGTATACTGACTATTAAAGCAATGACAAAGAAGAATACTTATGATGGTGTCATTGTTTTATTTAGAGTGCGGGTGTAAAAACAAATTTGTAGAATTAGTTTGATTTAGAACTTTCAGGTCACGCAAATAGCTACGCGAAATAAAGTAAACTTAGGTCATAGAAGGTTTAAAAATGAAACGTTTTCATCATCACACCTTTGATGCAGTTAAAAAAGTATCATTTTAATGACCTTATGGATAACTTACTGTATGAAAAGTTTTAGAAGGTGGTGTGTAAAAATGTGTCAATACAAAAATAGAACTAGTTTTTCTAATCCTGAAATAATGATTTAATAGCATAAGCTACTCAGTATCCATCCCCTCAAAACCTAGATATATTATAGGCTATGTACTGTGTAGACCGTTAACTTACACAAACCTCTACCTTCAGTTGATGTTATTTGTAACGGACTAGGGATTGTGTGTGGTACAGTCATCATAGACTTCCAAGGTGTTATAACAACGAAGAAAGCAAGTTGAAGCAACTGCAACCTTGTGAATCAAGATGTGGTGCAATGTCATGCATTGGTTTCCATAAAAATAGAACAAGAATGGCTACAGGCCTGCTTTAATAGATGATCTGGCAACATTGGTAAGACAAAAGGCCACGTGGGTTATTGCAAATAATTTCAGACAGTCATATCTTGGGATTATAACAATTTTCTGACCACGAAGACGAAGAGGCGCATATCTTTTAGAATTAGGTAGCGCACAAAGTGCAAATATACATGAAAATTTAGCAAAAATAGAACCCCATTTGAGAAATCCTGGCATTGTGATTGGAGAAAGCAGAAAACGCATTTTATGGTTTGATCACTAGCTAAATTTAAGCAAAAATGAAGTCCTTTAAAGAAGGATGGGAACACATGGCTAGTTGGCCCATTAGCAAAAACCTTCGAGTACATATGATGTTTTAAGAGTTGATAAGTCCAAAGAAATGCGATTTGATAATAAAAGAATTAGGTTCACCTTATTGATAGCTACTCCAGAGCGTGAAACTAAAAGATAACACTCTGTATATAGCTTGACTTATCTTTTGATGTTAGGAATCAACATGTACATTTCTATGGTGAACCAAGCTATCATCATCCCAATCTAGTATATATAACTACCAAGACTTTAAAAGTAATTTTGGTTTGGTTATGGTAGGGTTGTAGTTTATATCATGATGAAAACTGAAATATGTGTATTAAAGGCAGAATCAGATCTATAGGTTGTGACAAACTTGCGAGTAATATGTATAATTGATCTACCAATGTATTCCTCACAAGCTCAACTATAATATTTCCCAAAAGATCCTTGTTATGTTATCAATTGGTGTAGTTATTTAAGATTCAAAGTGCAAAAATGGGGGAAAAATATTAAAATTCTCCCAAATAATACAAGAACACAAATATGTACAACACGTCTCACCAATGGGTGATTCTATATACAGCAAATTTTTCATCCTGAATGCCTAACACTAATCAGTCGAAAAGACAAAATTTTAAGAGAAAAATCTAATGTGGCCGCCTTAAAATTTAGCAGGACTGCCTAAAAACTAAGTAGTTTGAGATTTTCATACAAAGAATCATTCCTGGTAATTTGAAATCGATCTGTCAACTGGTTTGCCAGGAAACGTGTAGACAAGACCTTACAGAGAGGATTTCAGAATGGAAAATCCAAAATGGTCACCTTAAATTTACCCAGAATGCGGAAAAACGAATCAGTTCCAAGATTTTCATACTAAGAATTATCCATGAAAATTTGAAATTGATCCCTCAAACGGTTAACCTGAAAATGCAGACAAGACTTTACAGACAAGATTTTAGGACGGAAAATTCTAAATGGGTGCCTTAACATTTACTCAAAATGCCGAAAAACTAATCAGATCTAGATTTTCATACTTAAAATCAGCCCTGAAAATTTGAAATTGATCCGTTGAATGGTTATTCTGAAAATGAGTAGACAAGACATGAGTAGAATGACATTTGTATATTCAGATTATTTAGTGTTTCGTGCAATAAACCTGTGCCCTCTAGTAATTTGAGGTCTGTCTGCCATGTTATTTTTTTCAGAATTAACATGGTAGAGAAGCATCAAAATAAAAGAGGTTACAGACTTTATCACCCCCATAAATGTGGGGTTTTTTGAGTTTTTTTGATATTTAGGACATTTGTTTCTCAAAATAACCCCACAAAGTTAAGGCTTTGATTCTTTGGGGATTTGCTAAACAATATCATACACATAGAATTTGTACTAATAGAATTTACTCACCTTTTTATGTTTTTCGTATCGACAAGACATTAATCTTCAACATGCTACCAAATATAGCCCTCTAAGTGTTGTATTTAATACGGATAACAGATATTTCTAAAAAGTTTTTCAAATTTCGTGCGCAGTTGATATTTATTATTTATCTAAATAACAAACTTCTCGTAAATATGAAATCCAAAAGTAAAAATGGAGGGAAATTTTGAAAAATGATTTTCACCCTCCAGGGTGTATTAAAAGGACTTTCAAACTCAAGTTTGGCCACTGTACCGTCTACGGCCTTTGTTTTCCTAAACTTAGGCATAAGCAATAATTTTGTTATTAATTTTACATGTGATTTCGTTTGGCACTGTTAAGTTTCCCATCCATCACATACTTCCTCCCAAAATGCAACGCTTGAAAATGGCCAAAATTTGAAGAGATTTCGAGAGTCAAATATTACAGCAAATTGTTCCAATTATAAAGCATCGTGCGACTGATCGATCGCTCATTACATTGGAAAAAGAATCTTCACAGAAGAGAAGAAAAAAGGGAAGGAAACTGCCGATATTGTCAGAACTTGAATCTTCAAATCATGTGAAAAAAAACGCAAAGAATGACAGCCTTAAATTTGTGGGGTTATTTTGAGAAACAAATGTCCTAAATATAAAAAAAACTCAAAATAACCCACATTTATGGGGGTAAGACTTTATGAGCCAATTTACAAGCAATCCAACATATACAAGCGAAGCCATTCGTGTGTAGAGTCCATTTCACTGCTTCATTGCGTCAGTAGAACGGCAAAAATAAGAAATTGGGAGACCATTGTGCAATAATACAGGGTGGTCAAAAAAAATGGAAACCCTTACACCATTTTCCTCATATATTTGTCATTTTTAGAAATAACTCCCTGATATTTTGCACATCTGTACATCATTCAATTTCCTACCGGCCTACTTAATTTCATGACCATCAGATTGATATTAACAATGTTACAGCACTTTACAGAACAGCCCTAGTAGCCACTATTGTGCTGTCGGGCCACCTGCACTCGCTGTCCAAAATGTCCCTACCTGTAGGGGTATGGCAAGGAAAAAGTGTATGAGAATGACCTCAGGACAATCACAAACCTCAAAAGTGAGATCATCTGTATCATTCAGGCCATACCTGCTGAGAAATGCATTCAGCCCATTGACAACTGTGCATGTTTGCCTACAGCGCGATGATGGCCAAAATTGAAGCATGTTATTCAAACTGCTGTAAAATTGTGACTATCAGTCTGATGGTCATGAAATTTGGTAGGGTGGTAGGAAATTGAATGATGTACAAATGTGTGAAATATCAGGGAGTAATATCTTAAAATGACAAAGATATTAGGAAAATGCAGGGTTTCCATTTTTTTTGACCACCCTGTATATGGAAAAGTATATTCATAATGTACATGAATGACATTTGTATATTTCAGATTTTTTAGTTTTTTGTGCAATGAGCCTGTGCCGTCTTGTAATTTGAAAAATTTCAGCCATGTTAATCTTATTTAAAATAACATGGCAGAGAAGCATCCAAATATAAGAGGCCACACACTTTATAAGCCAAAGTATCTAAGCAATCCAAGATATACAAATGTCATTCATGTACAATAGCTGTGCTTTCATTAACGCCATCCCATAATGGAGAGGACCCGGTTTTTATTATAGGGACCCCAAACAATGAAAATGAGGGGTCACTTGGACGCAGTGCAGGTCATATCAAAACAATTAACTCTGGATGAATGTATTGATAAAGATCTTACCTTCAGTCTTTTATTTGGTCAAAATCCGCTAAGTAAACGAACGATATTCTATTTCTAAAAGAAATAGAATTTTCTTTCGGAGTTTCTTTCCCGGAAGTTGATTTCCGATCAAAATAGTATGAGGTACGTGATTGGACAATCACTAGTAGTTGATTTCCGAGCGGTAATCGGTACGAGTCCTATGATTGGCCGAGATTATTAATCGCGCATGCGTCTTAATAATTTTAACTAATCAAATTGCTGGATTTGCTGCGCATGCGCAAATAAATGAACCAAAAAATGGAATCTCACGGAGATTGCTCCTAGTGAAACTTTCTGAGCGATCAAAGTCAATAGCAAATTGCTTTGAAATACGCGAAGAAAAATTGTATTTAATGGTTGAAAATTAGTTATATCTTTCTAATGAAGGTATCTGCATCATTTAATGACCTACTAGACGTGTGTAGTACACTGATCTGGGCCAAAAATTAACAAAACTGATGCAAACTTTTCATCAATTTTTTTCGTTCAGTGCAAAAATGTGACTTTGAATTCCCGGGAACCTTTTTTCACGGGGACGCACTTTTTTGAGGGGGGACGCGATTTTGTAAAATCAATCCGTCCCAGGGAAGCACTTTTGGACAAGCCTACTGAAAGCACTGAATAGGAATATATTTTTCCATATATCATTGCAAAATGATATTTTGATTTCTTAATTTTTAGCTTTTACTGACGCAGTTAAACACATGGACTCTAGAATTGTTTTCATGGCCTGAGTTCGTCGCTAACATGCTAAATATAAGAGTTAGCTGACGTTTGGGAGTCTGACTTACCTTCTAAAGGTTAGAACCCGAATCTTAATGAAACCATATTACCTTTGTTCCGTCAACCATGGAGCATTTGCCACAACATCCAAGAGGTAAATCATGGACCGTGAAAATGAATGATTTCCTTGTAAGTTCCGGAAGTTTCAATACGAAAAATTACCGAACATATGTGAAAACCGAATATTTGTTCGTTGTTTTCACGATTTACAGGTTCGTTTGTTCTTCAATGTTTTGGTCTAAATTATAAAGCATCACCAACAGGTCTTACTCTATTAATCGACTAATACAGCAGACGGCTCATATTTCTACGTAGCATTTCGTTCAGACCAATAGTGGGAGTGTAGATCACGCAGTTTCGTTCGTTGCGTACTTCACTTGAAATTGGTAATTTTAAATATTTGCTACTTCACGCTTGGCAGATGTAGAACATTGCTTAATATTCTTTCAAGGGTCAATGCGTTATTTTGTGATAACTACAACGCCTTCCCGGAAGTCAACATTGATGAAAAATGAAAAAGTCGGAAAAGCATTTACACTAATTTCTATCAAATGCTGTGTTTATGCATCATCATCGACGCAACAAAGGTGATATGGTTTCATTAAGATTCGGGTTCTAACCTTTAGAAGGTAAGTCAGACTCCCAAACGTCAGCTACAGTTCGGGACATAAATAAATGACAGGTGGATTTGCTGAAGTGAGAATTTCCCATGTTAAAAATAAGAGAATTTTCAAAAGGCCATACATCAGTGGATGAGATTATACAAAATGTGAAATATACAAATTTTAAGGGATATGTATCTAGACAATATTGGAAATGATGGGCTTTCAGACGACCATAATTAGGAAATGGTGATTGAAAATCGACCTGTCATTTATTTTTGTCCCCAACTGTAACTCTTATATTTAGCAAGTTAGCGACAAAGTCAGGCCATGAAAACAATTCTAATATGAATATATTTTTCAATATATTATTGTACAATAGTATCTAGATTTCTTATGCCTTTGTACCAGATCTATCGCAAGTATGTCCTTGAGTATATTTTTTGAGCCTAGATACCAAGAGGAGGTAATCTGGCAGAGGTCCGTGCTTTCCAGCTGAACCTTAAAACACTCAAAGTCTTTAAAAAATCAGAGCTGAACCCGTTGTAAAATATTTTGCTAAAATGTGAACTCAAATCCAGATCTGTCACTGTCAGAACATCAAAAATTCAGAAAAATCCAGAAAATTTGAATCATATTATTCTATTCATTTCAATCAGAAAAGTGCCGGTTCGTGTTTTACTACGATATCCATATACCCTTCAGTTCATACAGCGCAAACGATGGGAGTTATCATATATAACTATCTCACAAATGATGAAAACTTACATTTTGTACTTTTCCCTTTTCCTTCCGTCAAAATGTCTGTGTGTCTTGGGTTCAAATTTGTCCACGTGACCAAAATTGGCGAATCCTACAGAAGAATTTATTCACTGGTTTAGTAATTTAAAGATTTTACCTTAATAATTTGTTTTGTATAAGTCATCTGGGTTTATGATACTTTTTAATTCAATAGATATTATAATGACTAAGATCTATTCAAGTTTTGAGAAAAATAAATTCAGTCCGTACCTCTTTTTACATGAAGACGAACAGACAAATTTTTCAGCTTTGTCACTTTTTCACAGGTTTTGCTAAATTATTCAAAAATGGAGTGTTTAATAGGAATTAAAGGCAAAGACTTCGTGATTGTTGCATCGGATACGATTTCCGCAAGGAGTATTGTGTCAATGAAGCAAGGTAAGTCCAACTGTTCATGAAAACACTTGTTAAGGTTCAGCTGGAAAGTAACATTTTGGTAAAAAATTGCTATACCTGCACATGTTATTTTCTGGTACATAATTAAGTATGAAGGCATGTGTGTATTTCCTTGCTTTTTTCAGGAAAGTATCATTACACTGTCTACTTTTAGTAAACCTGGAAACAGGTCAATGGTAGCTCCTGTGTTGTCTGGAAACTTTGAAAGAAAATTTGGAAAAACAGGAAGTGTGAAATATCAGAATTCCCTGGAGTTCCCTTTGAACGCCTACCAGATATTCTAAAAGAAGACAATGTAATGATACTTTCCTGAAAAAAGCAAGGAAATTGATACATGCCTTCATACTTTATTTTGTACCAGAAAATAACATGTGCAGGTATATCAATTTTTTACCAAAATGGTACTTTCCAGCTGTACCTTAAAAGTACCCCCATAAATGTGATGTTGATTTCAGCCCCACATTTATGGGGGTATAAAGTCACTGCCTCGAACTCCAATGCAGTGTTTCGGTATAGACACTGCGGCGGGCAGATGAAGAAAATCCCCAAAATTTGGGGAAAATAGTTCCCCTTTTCATCATATATGTAGTCAATTTTCACACAACTTATGAAATATGTATTCATGAATGTTCCCCAATCTTACTCCCGTCGAGAGCTACTTAGATTTTGAAAGTATAGCTCTCTATCGCTAGAATCAACAGCTTAAGAATCCTGACTTCAAAGAAAATTCCAGGGAATTCAGCTGACTCATGTAGCACAATATATACCTGAAAATGTATCCTACATCGCCATCTTTCATTCAGCTCAACTATAGAACGTCTCACTGCCCCATGTATCGATCAGGACTTCATTTTATTGGTCGTGTCAAAAGTTTTGGCCAGGTATATTCAATATGGCGGCTTGACGTTTCCCAAGTTGCGCATGCGTCGATAATATTTCCGTTTAACCGCCATATTGGAAATGGGTATCGAACAAAAAACGATTAGAACTCCTGATTGCCATAGAAGCACATCCGCGATCCTACATGCACGGGGAAAGTAGACACATATGAGCCCATATGTAGGCTACAGTTTGAGACAAACAGTAAGCCGCTGACTGGCGCTGAGCAAATTTAGATGTCACAATTCTTCAGCTGGAGATCCTCACGATGGAGAGCTATACTTTCAAAATCTAACATGGTAGCTCTCGACGTGAGTAACCCCAATCATCATTTTGTCAAAATATTTCAAAATTATTGAAATATGAGAAGAAATCACCGCGGAAGGAATTCTGAGTAAAAGTTGTGTTGATAATAGTTTACCGCACATGTTGTTTATTAGTTAATACGCGCAATTCAACCAATGAAATTGTCTAAATTTTACAATCACGCGATCTGAGCATGGGACTAGAACCAATCACGTCAGTTGTTTATTACGAAGTTACCATGCTTACGGTGAGATACCTGCCCGCCGCAGTGATATATCACTGCACGGGAGTTCGTCACTGCCTATAAAAAGAGGGGGAGAAATCCCAGGGTTCAAAGATGACATACGGTTATAATGTAAATCTGTATTGAGATAACATAGTCGCTGATTGGTTTAGAATCCAAACACAAATTCTCGGTATAAGTTCATATGGTGAAAATAACGAAATAATGAAATGTTACCGTGTGTCTACTTAGCAGTTTGTTCTATGTCATCCCTCCTGCTAGGTTACATTGTGGAACGCAGCCAAACACGACAATGAAGGCAACAACATGTCGATGCTGATCTTAGCAGAATTTTTGGAAATTTAGATCGTCCATTTTGCAAGCTCACGTGACTGACACGTGACATGTGTCTGATCACGTGACTAGTTACTGTATCGATCATGTGACTTAATGACGTGTCAATGATGTGTCACCCAACCATTTCTTCAAGGAAAACGGAAGTAAATATTTTGGAAAATGTTTTCCGAGCATTTGCTACTGATTATAGAAGGCCCAATTTCGTAACGAACGAAACTGCTAAATTGTATTTCGTGCCTAACATGCCCAGTACGCAATGAAAGAAACTGCTAAATTGTATTTTTAGTCTGCTTATTGATCTATTGATTCATAAAGACCTGAAATGATGCATTCAAATAAGACCGCCTCCTACGGTAAAATTTTAAATGTTAGTAACTACTTTGAATTTAAAAAATAAGCAATCAAAGGACCATATTGAAGCAGTATATGTAAAAATAGAAACATTTATACATGTCCTAACTTTTGTATATTTTGGTTTGTTTTGTAGTTAAGCTATCATAGCTGTGCCCTCTTATATTTTGATGCTTCTCCGCCATGTTATTTTCGGAAAAATTAACATGGCTGAAACTCCCTAAATTACAAAAGGTCACAGCTTTACTGCACATTATACATAACTATCTGAAATATACAAAAGTTAGGACAAGTACATATGTTTCTATTTTTTTATATACTGTTGCAATATAGTCATTTGATTGCTTATTTTTTAAATTCAAAGTAGTTCCTAACATTTAAAATTTTACTGTAAATGAAAACACTACACATAAAGTGGTGAAAAACAACGAACTAAAGTTGAAAGATCGCAACGTTCGCTACTTTGTTCAATTCCGGAAGTCTCCAAGGGGCTGCAGAAGAAGAAGAAATGGGAAATTTTTACGATTTAGATTTTATAACCTCAGAATACTGCCTTCAGTGTCGTGTTTGGCTGAGTTCCACAATGTAACCTTGCAGGAGGGATGACATAGAACAAACTGCTAAGTAGACACATGGTAACATTTCATTTTTTCGTTATTTTCACCATATGAACTTATACCGAGAATTTGTGTTTGGATTCTAGTGAGTCGATCGTTGATTGTTTTAAAACTAGATCAATTTGAAAACCAAGATGGAGGGTAAGTTTTCGACAAAAGGAGGTGCATGAAGGAGGAAATCATATGTCATCAATTGAATCCTGGGGTTTTCCCTCCTCTTGCCTATAAACTTGAAACAGTACCGACAAAGTGCGCATGTGTCAACTCCATTTCACTGTTTTATTCCGTCAATAAAACCTAAAAAGTAGGAAATCAAAATATCATAATGCAATAATATATACAATGTTGATACAAATTACAGTGGGGAACTTAAGGTGCTGTGGAAGTTGACAGGAAATGACAAAACAAAAAATGTCAAAACCATGCTGGATTTTGAAAATATTTTGAACCAAGATAACAGAGTTCTGTTTGGACCTCCAGTCAGTTTAACTAGTTCCACATATCATTTACATGACCGGGAACACAATGAAAATGGTCAGAATGACCATATACATGATGAAATAACCTTTTCAGCCCTCTGAAAATGTGACTGAAAAATAGCTAAAAGTAGGTGCTCAGGAAAGGTCCATGAACAAAATCTTTTGATTTTTTCAGAAAATGTGTCTAATATATTGCTCTAAAATATACATGTACAATCTTTGAAATTTTAAAAAATCGATCGATTTTACATTCATTTTTTTCTTTTTCTAAGAATGATATGAATTTTTTTAAATTTGTATCATTTAGAGCAATATATTGGGCATATTTTCTGAAAAAGTCAAGAGATTCTGTTCAGTGACCTTTCCTGAGCACCTACTCTTAGCTATTTTTCAGTCACATTTTCAGGGGGCTGAAAAGGTTATTTCATCATGTTTATGGTCATTCTGACCATTTTCATTGTGTTCCCAGTCATGTAAATGATATGTGGAACTAGTTATTAAACTGACTGGAGGTCCAAACCCCGGGTCCAAACAGAACTCTGTTATCTTGGTTCAAACAATTTTCAAAATCCAGCATGGTTTTGACATTTTTTGTTTTGTCATTTCCCGTTAACTTCCATGGCACCTTAAAGAATTACTATTATAGCTTTAAAAATTACATGCTGTCGCATATGTAATAAATTCTTACATCGGTATATTCAGTGCTCTATTTTCTCCGTCCTAGTAAGTCCAAATATAGTGGAATCTCTGTCCATAATGACAATTAAGAACTTAAAAAGTTGAAGTGGATATTCACATGTTAATGCCGACTCTTCAAATGTTGAGGGATTTTGTAGTCCGATTACGCCGCAACAGAGGATTGGCTCCCAGAATGCAACATGACACGTGCCAGCTTTCAAAATGCTGTTCCACCATTTTGAAACCTGTCACAAGTAAATAAGGTTAACTGATGTTGCATTCTGGGAGTCAATCCTCCTTGGATCACAAACATGGCGATTCATCAAAACATTTGTTCGATTTGGTAGGGATTTATCCATCATTTGCAGGTTTGAAGCTTTGGATTCATTTATTGTGCTACTTAAAGTGAACGGGAATTGTTTTTCTACCGCTTGGGAGAGTTTGAGACAAGAAACTTGAAATTTAGCTCATTGTGACAATTTTTGATGGTTGAGGTTTATTTTTGTTCCCCACTTTACAGTGCTGAAAATAAATAGATAATAAAGGGTGGGTTTTCAAACTTAACAGAGTGCTCCTACCAAAATCAATAAAAATTTAAAAAGTTATCATAAGACCACAATAGTATATCTTTATATACTTAAAATTTGCTCCATGCAAAACCAAATTCATAGCACACTCATTGAGTACAAATGTTTTCAGCTTGATGCAATACGTTATTTCAGGTTGAGGTATTTTAATATTTTTATGAGACTCATATTTTTCAATCATTGATACTATTTCCAGACCACGACAAGATGTTCAAGCTGAGTGACAAAATTGTCATGGCATGTAGTGGCGAGTCAGGAGACACAGTCCAGTTTGCAGAATACATTTCCAAAAATATACAACTTTACAAAATGAGAAATGGTAAGTCAAAATGGAGTAGTAAATGAAAATTGAAGTATTTTTAAATGAACCAATGCTATGAAGTTTAAACGATTAAAGCAACCGATTGGCTGTATCTGTCTAAGCATCCTCCAGTCGCAGGACTTTAAGATTCAGAATACTGTTTTTCTGAAGAGATTCTGTATGCTTGCTTTGGACATGTTGGAGGATGTCAGTTGAGAATTTAAAAAGTACCTACCTTTCAGCCTGTTGAAAATATATTTTGCACCTTTATGTTTGGATGTTATAGATTGGACATTTTATTGTTAGAATTGGTAAATAATAGATCAATATACGCACTTGGGAAAATATGCGAGGAGAACATTTTGTTTAATTTTATTACCTTATATTTTCAGGGTATGAGCTGTCTCCACGAGCAGCTGCCAATTTTACAAGGAGAAACCTAGCAGAGTATCTACGAAGTAGAGTAAGTCATTAAATCTCATATCACAAAGTGTTGATATAAAAGCATTCAAGCATTGAAGGCTTTATATGATATTGTCCTTCATTTGAGAAACTGTAGTTTCATTCTGAAAGAAATTTAGGAACATTTTATAATCTAGAATTTTTGTTATTTTGATCTTAGTGTAGGTCATACAACAGGGGCGTAGGAAGGTGTAAATTCAACACTACGCCAAAAAATCCCGCCAAAACTATGAAACAATTGTGTCAAATCTTCTATATCAAAACGCCTATTTTATGCTCGTTAAACGTCATTTTATGGCAATAGAATGCAATGTTTTCATAACCTAAATGTGAACGGAAATGTTTAAGCGATGCATTTGTATGGGCGATTGGTCATACGTATAGGTTGGCGTTTCGATTTTATATGCAAGCTTAAAATCCTTGATGCCCCTTTTAATGTGCTTTAAATGTTCGAATGATTTTCATCATTTAAAATCGCCATGGAAAATCACAAATCATTCTCACTTTTCTTATGTCTCGAATGATATAGACGATCAATTTCCAAATAACAATGAGAGATTTTTAATCATTTTCGAATAATTAAATTGAGATATATAGTCTGATTCCATTGAGTACCGTGCAATACGACACGTACAGATTAAAGAATCTAGCTTGATCAATTGATTTAGAGAAACGCATTCGTGATCAATGAAACAATTAACCCTAATGTCTGCAACCTTTTTTATAACACTAATTCGCAAGACCAAATAAACTTCCCACCACAAAGGTCAAATCGAGGTCAACGTGACTTAGGGGGTGCCAAAAATGTTATATTTCCTAAAACAATAATCTATTATCTTTCAAATGAAATAAAAATCTAGGTAATAGCTTTTCTAGAACTGAAATCGATGGAATGCGTATTTGAGTAATCAACATTTTCAAGTTGTTTTTGTCTTTAACATTCATATTTCAAGAAGTACTACCAATAACAATTGGTGATTTAGTAAGAAAATAGATAATTGCTGACTTAACTATAATTTCTGTCTATGATTTTGCCAAGCAACGGAATATAAATCGATATTGTGAAATTGAAAAATTGGGGGTAGGGGAGAATAAAAAAATATACATCTCATTTAAAGAGGCTTATCATTATAATTAAACGAGACCACAGTTTGATTGCATAAGCATTACAGAACATGCGCAAAAAAATTGCAAAGGTATTCATCAAGTAGTTTTTGAAAAAAACCTGTTTTTTCTCAAATTCGTGAAGAGAACGCGAATCACGAATATTTGACGAAATTGTATTTTAGTTTTAAAATCCATAAGATAGTCAATAGTGGCTCGATTATCATGAAATAAAGCATGTTACTTTTTGCATTTTCTAGGATTAGAATTATAGAAACAAGGTAACTTTCAATATTTTATTTTTCAAAAAGTGTCATTTATCTGTGGCCCAGATTAGAAAAATAACAGAGGCACAAAAAACATGCAAAAGAGTACTATTGAAAAAACGAGCATATCATATGGTATCCACAAAACATTTCTTTAGGCTAGTGTGCTCGAGATTACTTTTGGACAATACAATGAGAAAATATGAATAGAGAACATAGGAAAATTAATAAGCCTTTTTATTCTCACTTTTCAACACTACGCACTGGCGTTTTGGCGTACATTGTTCCTACGCCACTGTACAAAGTCACAAAAATCTGGATTTTTGCCCGGAAATTGTTGTGAATTTCTTTCCGAACATATTTCTCTTGTAGAAATCCTGATTTAACACCTTTCAAATCTTTGCTCATTTTCAGACTCCATACCAGGTTAACATGCTAATTGGTGGCTATGATGAGACAGATGGTCCTTCCTTGTTCTACATGGATTACTTAGCAGCCCTTATTGAGGCCCCATTTGCTGCACATGGCTACGGGTCATTCTTCGTACTCAGTTTATTAGACAGATATTACAGAGATGGTGGGTCATAACTCTTGCATATTTTCTCACATTAACTTTTCACATATAACTTGTAGACATTACTACCTGAATATGAGTATGTTTTTTCTGATTGGTCCACAATTCAATACCTCTCTAGGTGGCACCAATCAAATTACAGATACTCTTTGCTTTAATAGTCTTGATCATTTAGTAATAGTTTAAAATGTCTTGAAGATATTCTGTAATAAATCCTATGCATGTGTGTTCCCACACATTGTTATTTTGATAAGAATACAAAAGTAATGTATGTATCTACAGTATTCTCTCATTTTTATAAATATTTCATGAGATACTGCTCATGGCTAAAAGATTGTTCATCAATGTACATGTTAACAATACAAATTGTTTTGAATTGTTGATCATTACAGACTTTATATTATTTATTTCTTCTGATTGCAGATGTTACACAAGAAGGGGCTATTAAACTATTACATCAGTGTATAGATGAGGTAGGACAATATCTTTGATTTGTGTACACTACAGTAAATTACTTGGTCCAGCTTTGCACATTGAAATATGTTCACATTGATAGGTTATCATGTTGAGAGAGATATTCACACTTGGAGATTTTCACATTAAGACATTTTCATGAAATATATAGAGGATATCCTATGATTTATGAGTATGATTTTTATCCACGAATGGATATGATATCTGCACGAGCGAGCGTAGCGAGAGAGTGCAGATATCAATATCCATGAGTGGATTAAAATCATATCACGAGTAAATCATAGGATGTTCTTTTTATTCCATAGTTAAAGTCATCATCAGAATCGTCGGAAATTAAGTTATTTAATTCGAATTTCTGAACGATCCGGCGATGTTGACACTTAGCCTCGTTTTGAGTCTGAAGTAGCAAAAATCCATAAACCATCGCATACGACGTCGTATGTCATGGCTAAAAAACCGTATGTTATGGTTATGTGAAAATTTGTCAAAAATATCATATTTTACCACTGATTACAAAAATACCGTTTTTATTTTCACATGTTATCCTATGAATATCATGCTAACTATGGAATAAACCTTTTTATTCCATAATACTACTGTTTTCCCAGGGAAATATGAAGGAATAAAAATCGTATTGAATCATATTACATGAAAAAATCGTATTGTCCCCAGGAAAAAAATCGCATTAGAGCGTATTACATGAAAAAATCGTATTATCCCCGGGAAAAAATCGTATTGGAGCAATTATTAACCTATTTTCTGTTTCCCGGTTATTTGCATTATCCAAATGTAGCATTTTAAAAAGGGTGTATTATGGAATAATAATAATAATAATTGAATATGGGTTTTATTCCTCGGAAAATATGATATTGACCTTGGGCTATATGATATTGACATTCGGTCGCTGCGTTCCCTCAGTCAATATCATATTATCCTTCGGTCAATATCATATTGTCCCTCAGAATAAAACCCATATTCAATCCCTCCCGGTAAATAACCTATATATACTTGAAATAGATCGGATATTCAAATATGGAGATAAAAGTGTTCATATTTTGAGGTGTTCAATGGTAAAACACTTGACACTTCCTTATTACAATCATGAATATATTTGCATTCAATACCTTTACTGTTGAATTAAATTCCATACTATTTCCATTCATCTCTGTATTTAAATGTGATTAGTTTTAGTCTAACAAGTTACAATGGATCTATTTTTCATGATTTCAGGTACAGAAGCGATTCATAGTAAACCTCCCAACATTTAAAGTTCGATGTATAAACAAAGATGGCATAACAGATTTACCAGATCTCCGTGCAGGGAAGCAATGATCTCGATAGAACACAGAACATTTCTTTACATTTCTCAGGCTCAGGACCTGTTTATCAGTGTATATGAACACATGAACCAGAAATGAACTATGCCTACTATTGGGCTAAGAACTAGATGGTTTTTATTCCCAGTTGTAAAACTGTTTTGATGTTTTGAATGCCACGTATGTCAGTCACTCTCACGACTTACAATAACAAAAGTATAGAAAAACAAAATGTTATGACAGAAATTCAAAGCAAATCAAAGAACAGAAATTTATTGAAATTATTCAAATCTATTATCTTGTCTTGTTAAATTATGGACAGATTTTAATGAGAAAATGGAAGGTACAATTATTACAAATATGTTAGGAAGGTGTAAATAAAGAATTCTACTTGTAAACATTTGCCACATAAAACTTTGTCAAAGACTGTAACAGAAAAACTACCAGTATAAATAAATTCAATTTTTGTAAAATAAATGTGTATTTTGTTAAATACATGTAAATTCTTTAAAATCGAGTAAAGTACATACTTTTAATTATGTGTGTCTTTATTCAGTTGCTAAAACTGAGATTGTTATGATTCACAATGTGGAATGAAACTGTTACCATGACAACAGAGGGGAGTTATTTAGTATCTACACACCATATTTTCCCGCAGTAAAGCCCATTCTTTATGTGGTCCAAGGGGCATTTATTGAGCTTTAATTTTTAATTTTTTATTGGGCTTTAAAAGGAAAGAATGCAACATATTCAGATATTAAGACTTTATTTTAATTTAAAGGTCTCAATCTGACCCCAAATATGCCAAATTAGAAAACAGCTTGCAATTTGAACCATCCATTAAATTTGAAACAACCCCTTTCTGTTAATATTAAAACATTTATTAGATTTCATGTACCAGAAATTCTCAAATGGCACAAGTTTATAGATGTAAGTGGCATAGGGTATGAAATGAACAGTAGTTTCTTTCCTCATTAATTATGCACATGGGTATTTAGTTGAAAGCTCAGTTAGCATCACTAAAGTGGTACTGCCTAATGGAAGAAACTGATCTTATTTCCAAGTATTTTGTATAATTTTAGAAGCATAAACCAAACAATTAAAAAAGCTCAAATAAACTTACCATTAATAATGGCTAATAAGAGTAGGTAAAAGTTAATGGTCCAAGTCTTCATTTCACCTCCTATAATGTAACTCCAAACTCCAATACAAGTCCAATTATATATTAGTGTCTACAAATGTCTAATATTTTGGCTCTTGTAGAAGTGATGACATCAGTATTTTGTATAATTTGGAGCTGTGTCCTCTCCTCCTGCCATTTTAAAATAAGAGTGCTGTTTGTCAGTGTGTCAAATGACATGCCTGGTAGGCAGGCCTTATTAGTACCGCAGCGTGATCCTGCTATTTGTTACACCTTGGTCAATGGTCATGTTATATTTTGGATTGTATTTCTTGTGTTTTTATGACTTTCATTTCAAAGGACTTACCAAAAACTGGAATTATTTCCCAAACATTTTTTCAAAATTTTTTATTTTTTCAAAAGTTGTGGTCAACAGAACCTATTGTTCACTTTTAAGTAACCAATCAGAATTGAGTATTTCAAGTGAGGTACGAATACAATTGGAAGGGCACTCAAATCGTTAAACCTTTATACAATATACTGAATGTAGTAAAGAATCCAATTATCCTAGCTCATGTGTAGTATCTGTATTCAAGACAGCAAACAAACTGCATAAAATATGTGATAGGATATGGTTGACTATATTCATTCAAGAGTGAACTGATCCCAAAGAAGAAGTTCTCTGGTCTCTGTCCATTTCATTGATTCTGAATGTATAAGCAATACTACACAGAACAAATAATTCTTATACTAGTATCTTATTTTTGTATATTTATACTATTCAGACAGTTTACATCAATTTAACAGAAATTAAATATAAAAAAATAATACAGTACTGTCAGTAATAACATACATTATTCCATAATAACATGTTTTCCCTGGGAAAATAACAGGGAATAAAAGTGTTATTTGAAAAATCCCGTATCAGATCCCGTATCAGATCCTGTATTGGATCCCGTATCAGCAAAAATCCCGTATCAGATCCCGTATCAGAAATATTCCCGGTAATTTCTCTTGAGTTTTACGCTTTTCGTCTAGCACATCTCTACAGGAAGTAAAAAAATCGTTTGGAAAATTGAAATTATTGAAATTAGTGACAGTTCTCAAGAGTAATGACTGATATGTACAGTATGGAATAAGATGTAGACATTCTTGAAAAGTACATACATGTAGGCCCATTCTACATCCACATGTTTCATTAAGACGTTTCATGAATAAAAGTTGAAAATGTTATATGATAAATTGTATAATTTTATGTCACAATCATTGGATGATGACATACAAAAATTGAAAAAAAAATATTATGAAATAAATAGGTTATTGATGGTCGTGATGGAATATGGATTTATTCCTTGAGAAAATATGATATTGGCCTCAGAAAATATATTGACACTCGGGCTATCGCCCTAGGTCAATATGATATTTTCCTTGGCCAATATCATATTTTCCCTCGGAATAAAATCCATATTCCATCCCTCCCATTAAATAACCTCTATATATCTGGCCATCATTCTCAATGTCTGATATCAAAACAGCTACAGAATTAAAAAGTAGAATGCGTATGACATGTTGTACAATCTAAAGCATAAAATATATTTAGCTGCACAAACTGGATATTGAAAAAACTCAATAAGAAAGATACAGATTATTTCACTGTTATGTCTAATGAACTGAACATCATTGAGTTTTAAAGTTGGACAATTTTGGGCCATTTGCACATTTTCAAGTTAAGTAATGAGATTATTATATCTAAAAGTTTTAGCATGATGAAGCTCAAAAACTGATTATTACATACGTGTATAACTTTATAGTCTACAATGTAATATTATATCTTGTATACAATGTAATGTTATGTCTGTTTGTATACAATGTAATGTTATGTCTGCTTATACAATGTAATATTGTATCTTCTTGTATACAATTTGTCTGCTTGAATGCAATGTTATGTTATGTTTGCTTGTATTATGGGCTCTCAAGACAGAAAGTCCATGCTTGTATAGAATGTTGTGTCTGCTCGAGCACAATGAAATGTAATGACTGCTTGTGTACAATGTAATTTTTCCAATTTGTGCATACATGTAAAATGAGTGTTTTTATTTATCATACGATTATAAATCCCCCAACTTTTTCAGGTCAGGAAAAATTATTTTGGTTTTCCGTCACTGGGGGAACACCCTTTTGCATGTTATGTTAGACAAGTTAAGTATCAGGTAGAATTTGTATAATAATATATCACTTCTTAGTTCCATTCTTTCGACATTCACCAATTACAGTGAGCAGTTCACTGTAACAAGCCATAAACCAATTCAATTTCTGACAATTTTTGAGGTAATCAGAAAATAAAGCTTTTCTTTGTATGAGCAATTAGTAATCTCTATTATTTACAAAAGACACTGGGATCTTTTATGTACAAAGTGTCATCCACTTTCTAGAATATTGCAAAGTTGTTCTTTCAATCTCAGTGCATCGATTGCTATCCCTCTATATGCATCTCTTTAGCAGTTTAAGCACCATCTATTGTACTCTATATCTATTTACAGCAAGCTGACCCGTGATTTTCTGCTCGATCTCCGCAATGGAGATGAAATCTGATCCTGTTGGTTTCTGGAATCAAAACAGAAATACATTGTAATTCATAAATGGTTAGATGAAATGCTAAAATCATGGTGCGACATAAGCACAGTTTAAGTTGACAGTGGAGTCAATTTAAGTTTCCATCTGGACTGGTTGAATTTTAAACATGTAGACAGGGGTTTCACTAGAATTTCTCACAACAGGCTAAATAAATGAAAACAACTGGCAAAATTAATGGAAATCATTAATTTAACATGGAAAAGTTGAAAACAGGTGATTTTGTAAAAACAACCGGTGAAAATCGCCTTTTGCCTGCTGCTAATGAAACCCCTTGAGTTAATCAAATTTCGTGTATCTGATTATAACTGAAATAAATGAAGACAACTCATATGTTATATAGACTATTCTAATGAGGTAAACTATTTCAGAAAGGTCACATGAGTCATTCAGGTTGCATTTTATTACCAATTCCATATGTCACACAATTTTGACCCTTTTTGCACCAATTCAAAGTTAACCTGAGGTTGTCACCTCATATCTTGTAAAAACAGAAAAATAGTCTTGTTTCTATAATTCCTTCAATAAGTGTTGCTGGTTGGGCTAATGGATTTTTTCTGGTCTCATGATTAATGAGTTTACCTGATTTGTGCAGCACTTGGTTCCTCGAGGGGGGAGAAGCACATGAGATTTGTATTCTCAGTATTAGTTTCACTCTGGGGCATGGGGGTGAATAACAGACTAGCCTCATTGCTGGGGGGTGGGGGAGTAAACAGCAGGGAACCCTGAAAGAAAACATCTTAATTTTAGCTGATATTAATTTCAAGTACAATTTTTTATAAAAGGCCATGAAAGTTCCTCAGCATTTTATTTGTGGAAGCCAGAGGTAAGTGTGACTAACTAAATCTGAACAGAGCACTAACCTTTCTTAATTTTAACTTCATGCAAAAAGCTTGATGCAATCCCTAATTTCTCGGCCTAATCTTTTTCCATATATCCAATCATTTCATCTCTTTTTCTTGGACTACATTTCAACATCTTAGATACTCAATCACTAATAAGATGATTATCAATTCGAAATTTTAAGTGCCACAAGAAAACTCACCAGGTTTTTGGTGGAGCTTGGTGCAGGTGTATGTCCCACTCTGAGATTGGCAAACCTGGTGGCAGGAGATACTGTGTCTGGGTTTACCTTAGGTTTGGACTCAGCTTCAGGGGTGAACAACAGGTGACTGTCCATACCTGACTTCCCCAGTGAACTACCACTGTCTAGTCGGCTTCGTCTCTTCTCTTTCACTGCAATTTAATTAAAGTTTGTGTACATGTTTGAGTGTGACATATATAAAGATTTCAAACCTACCACTCAAAATTAAACGAGGCATTAACTTGCCCAATGCCACCACCTGCCATTTGTTACAGATGCTGAATGTCAACTGCCCAACATCAACCACCCAACACCATCCACAAAAAAGTCTGTAGAGAACCAAGATTGTGCCTCTGATCAGTCCCTTATATATAGTTTAGCAAATGATTCATAGTCCAGGTAGGGTAGCTCATTGAGTTCAATTCCAATATCAGCCCATTGCAGTCAACTACCTAGACTGTAGTACAAAACCAATACAGTGCTATGAAACATACCTAGAGAAGACCTATTGAAGGGTGTTAGAGGCAGTCTGGTTGCAATTTCATCCTGGTCTCGTTCTGGAGACAACTTAGAAGACATAAAGTGGACACTTCTTCTGGTACGACATGATAATGAGGCTGGAGTTTTCTTTGGTAATGGACCTGGGAATTAAAGATGTTGCATACTTATAAATAGAAAACTAAATGAATACAAATTGTGTGTTTTTCTAAAGGAGTCCGCCTCTGATATGCACAAAATTATAAGTCAAAATGCATAAGACCCATGCATAGGATTCAAAGACTGAGACTACATATTGTTATAATTCAAGACTGGTCAAAAGTGACAATGCATGTCAAGCTATTATAAGTGTCAAAAAAGTTATCATAATACGTATGTCAATGTTTCTGAACATTTCTGAGAGTTCTAAAAGAAATGTTCAGAAACATTATATTTAAAAAAATAATTTAAGCAGATTCTCCAAGTAATGAAAATACCTGAATTGTGTTTGATTTTCTTTGCAGAGACTTGGTCATCAAAGATTGACGTAAGATTCTTCTTCATCTGGGCTGGCATTTCCTCATCCTGCTCTATATCAGCAGTGTTGCCACCTGTATCAACATCCATATGTTCTTCTGAAAAAGATTAAGGTAAAAGTGGCTTCACCAGAAATAATTGTCATATTACTATATTGGTAATATCTTTCTTGGTAAAAACCATAGCATAATACCAACATATATTTTATTCATAATGTATCTTACCATTTATTTGTGGGGATGAAGGTTTGAGGTATTTGGCAAAGGGATCACTGGAACTACTTTCTTCTAATATGCTACATTGATCTGAGGTTGTTGCATTGCTTTTCCTGGAATGAAATAAACCATAGTCAGTTTGGTGTTATATATAATATTCTATGCATTTGATTTTCCACATCGTGATATAGCCTTTGTCTTTATCCTTCAAAAGTAACCACGATTGAACATGCAGTTATATTCGTTCCTCGGCCAGCTTTATCGACGGGAGAATCAAAAGATGCTTTACAACTACTTCATCATGATTGACAGATTTCTATGGATTGCCACTCCACAATTGGTTTCACTGTTTAAGCTCCTCAAAGTCCGGTAATTATTTGCAGACACAAGCTGCCAGCACACAAACCACCAAACCATGACGATCATTCCTCATTTGACAACCCAAAGACCTTACTAAGCTGAAATTCAGTCACAAATTTTCATTCCCGTGAAGTTTCTTGAGATGGCGAAATTGTACACTTGTTATGAAAAAAGTAGTCTGCAAAAAAATCATTCTCGATTTGATCAGGGCTCATAGGAACTCTTGACAATAAAACAAACACAACAATAGTTTTTTATTCAATGGTTTTATAACATATACAGGGTGTCCCGAAAGTACGGGGCCCCCCCTAGGCAGACATATTCCAGTGTCCTCATAGTATGTGTCATATATCATTTTAAAGCTTATCCAAAGTTACATTGATTTGCCAAGTATCATGGTTTAACTCCCAAATGGGAAAAAGTTGCAGTCGTTTTAAAAGTTAGTGTTTTGTCAAAATAAAGTTCAATTTTACACCACATTACTAGTCAATGTGTCCCCCCTTGGCCATGTTAACAGCAGCAATTATTTTCAGATATGACCTTAAAAGCCCTTCAAATAGGGGTGTGGAATTGTATAACCCTCTTAAAACCTGTTAAGGGACTTTAGAAGAGTTTCCTTAGAGTCTCTACCCTCACCATTCTCTTTTTCCAACTCAATATTCATCAGACCCGTAAAGAATTGCTGCTTTTAAGGTGGCCCGGGAGGACACATTGACTAGTGATTTGGTGTAAAATTGAACTTAATTTTGACCAAACACTAAATTTTGAAATGCTTGTAATTTTTTCACATTTGAGAGTTGAACCATGATACTTGGTGAATCAATGTAACTTTGGATAAGCTTTAAAATGATATATGACACATACTATGGAGACATTGATATATGTCTGTCTAGGGGGGGCCCCATACTTTCGGGACACCCTGTATATGACTAAATTATTACGGAATTCATGCAATAAAATAGGAAATGAACTAAGAAATTATCTGGGTCAAATCGATTATGTAAGGAGCGCTCTGATTGGCTTAGCTGATCTCACATAAAGTGCCACCCCTTAAACGGGTCGGCGTGTTCAGTAAACCAGTCTCTCGCAAATGGCAGATAAAATGCGCTCTGGTATAATACCAGAATGGATTTGCCAGAATGGATCTACTGTACTGTGGCTGTGGTGAAAATGTTAAAAGATTATTAACTTCATTGACTAGGTCACACTATAACTCTTACCTGGATGATTTCCTAGTAGCTGGAGTATTGTTTTCAGTCTCCATGGGAACCACATTCTCTACTGTGGGGGCTACATTTAGACTATCAGGGGTGAATATACTGCCAGCTTGACCTTGACTCTCTGGTGTAAATATAGGTGCAGTGGGCCCTGGACTAAAACCTGTAGACCCTGTAGAATCTGTTCTTTCAGACTGTTCTCTCAAGGGGCTGAATACAGAGCTGCTAAGTGGAACTGGGCTATTATGAGGTGTGGTATCTCGTAACAATGGACTTGGTCTGTGTGATGCAGAGATGATCGCATTTATGGGGGTGGACTTCCTTGAGCTTCCCCCAGGGACTCTCAGCCCTGGTGTGGCACCCATAGACTTTCTGGCTGACTTGAGGAGGACTTGTTTCATCAAAGGACTGTTGTTGGGAGTCAGCAGACTTGAACTTAACCTCTTGGTTGGGACTTTTCCGGGAGAACCACCTGAAAATGAAACCAGGGGTTTTATTAGCAGCAGGCAACAGCGGTTTTCACTGGTTGTTTTCACAAAATCCCCTGTTGCTTTTAGGGACTTTTCAACTTTTCCATGTTAAATTTATGATTTCCATTAATTTTTCTCTTGTTTTTATTTATTTAGCCTGTTGTGAGTAATTCTGGAAACATTAGCCTATATACATGTTGTTCTAAACTCTTAACATTTAAGTCTACTTGCTAGCATCCATTGCAACATCCTCTAAGTCCTCACCTGAGCAGTGAACCTTAGGATTTCTAACTGGGCTGCTAACTTTGAAGAAACCTGCATCAAATGTGATATTCTCCTCTGGTGCTTCCTCCTTCTTCTCTTTCTGTTTCTGCTGTTCCTTCATCTTTGCCCTGAAGGCAGCAAAGCCTCCACCAGCCTTCTTGACAACAGGCTTGGCTGCTGCTTTCTGGTAATGAAGAATGAAATACAGGTTAAGATTTTGAAAAATATGCTTTTACAATAAACGGTCTGAAAGAAATGCATATTGATTTCTACTAAAAACTTACAAACTAAAATAGTGCTGTCATGTTACTTGACAAAGACTTAATTTATCTATTATTAGTCTTTTAGCATTACCTTCAAATCAAATAATACGCACATGCACCTATCCTTACTGGATGGATTCTTAGACAAAATTTGCATGCACTGTACATTATTTTTTATCTTATATCCATGTATCCTAGGATCAATCTTAGATACATTTCTTCAAAGCTTTATGGATGCAGGTACATTCACATGTGTTTGGTTAGATGACATGACATTATTTTAATTTACCTTTACTGCAGGCTTCACTGTCTTCTTTTTCACTGCAACAACCTTAGGTTTTGGTGTTTCTTCAACCCAATTATTAGCACGAAGTTTAGCAAGGTCTTCAAACTTTTTGTTAACATCTTCGACCTACAGAATCAAACACAAACAAGATGTGAGGAATATGTTTAGTGTAAGAATAATCACTCTGTACAGCTTTTCATTTCAACAGACAGAATCTTTTTCAACAAATTGTTTTGCAGATTTGACCAATTCGAAAACAAGAACAACTAGCCTTATCCCATATCCCATCAATGGCTTTAACTGTTCCATTCTGGCAGAATTCCTATAGCTTTTTAGAATTTAGAAATAGCAAGCCCAAAGGAAAATTCCCCACAAGTTTCATTTGTTTTATGAATAACAACCAAAATTCCAAAATATTGACTTTTTCTATCACTTAGAATTAAACCTTATAATTTTGAGAAAACTACAAAGAGTGGTTAGTGGTCAAAATGATATTATGATAAGGTAGGAACAGACAAACGTCATTTGGGAAATGTAGACTTCAACAACAAAGTTTAACTTGAAATCAAAACCATATTTAGAGATATTCTAAAGATAATGAATGCACTCTAAAGGTTTAGGCAAAATCAATTTAGACACATTTATTGCAAAAACACAAATAACCATAATAGTTATCAATTAAGCTTACTTCAAAAACAAAACCATACACACTACACACCTGGAAATAGATCATATCCCAGAATCCTTGGAGATCAGTTGCGGTGATTTCTTTTTCGCCCGTGTTGAACTCAGAGTTGTCAATGAGGCCAACAAATTGTTTGAACCTCTGAGCCACTAATAGCTTAGCTTGCCCTATTGTAGTCCTTATCTGTCCTTGAACTACAAAACCACCAGATATTAAAACATATGAGATACATCTAGGTTTACATGTTAAATTCATTATGATTCTTGTATGTCACAAATTAACAATTTTTCTATGTTATCAATGAAAAATTCTGAAATAGGAAAAATGTTCAAAACTCGTCAAAACCCTGATGTTTCATAATTTTTATTCTCTCTACTGAGTGCATATGGATTTTCATGAGGATGCAACATCATTAAATAAGGCAAGTGAGTGACTGCAATAGTTCATCATGCGAGCTTACCTGAAACCAAGTAACCCATATTGGATATTTAAACTTTGATACATTTAATTCAATGCAGAAAGGTAAAATGTTGTTCAGTTATGTTACCTTCCTCTGAGATTCCACTAGTCTCAGACAAGATCTTCTCCCAATGGCCACATGATATATTAAACTGCTTTGTCTCGCTACGGACCAGTGCACGGAAATATGGAACATTATGCTCCCCCTTCAGGAGTTCCTCATCCGTCTTCTCTGGAAAATCATCAGAGCTGTCAGTATTAACATTTCACAAGATAGGTAAGTAAATAAGTGAGTGAATTAGCGAAGCAGGTGAGCAAGTAAGGTCAGGTCCATTGGTTTTAAAATACTGAATGGACTGGAAGAGTCATGAAGGATTCGATCATATGTCACTATTGGAGCATGATTACGAACAAGCCCAAGACATCATCCCAGATAAAGACACACAAGTGATTACTTACCCTTTATAGTATCAGGTGAAGTAGTTGGTTCATTGTGTTCATTTGTTGGATCAGCATCTATAATGTCGTCCATGTCATCAAAGTTAAGTGGCTCAACAAAGGAACGATCTGAAAAGAAAAATCCATGATTCAAATAAACCTTGTGATTTCATCTATATTTCTTGCTGTTACACTGAACTTAGATTAGTCACACTAAAGAGACATTCAGTACTAAATAACAAGATAAGTAAGTACATCTACTTCTCATCTCAATTTTCTGCAAGTTGAATTTCAAAAGTGAAAAGGGAAACAGTGATTCTAGAAAAAAGGAAAGGCATTAATGTCATCACCAAGTTGCTCACAATATTATGAGTTCAATCTTAAGTCAATTTTGAATTTTTGGGAAAATGTTGATGATTTTGAAAAAAAATTGGCCAACTTCTGAGAACATATAGATGATTTTGGAAAAAATGGTCAATTTGATGCAAGTTGAAAAAAGACCTTTTTGACCCTCTTAAGACCTTGAAAAGGTCATTGAAGGTCATTTTTTACCTTGAGCAGGCCAATGAAGCCCAAATCTCAAATCTAAAGTCAGATTTGAATTTCTAATAACTTGGAGATGATTTTGAAAAGAAAATTGGTAGATAAATTTGGTCAATTTGGAGCAAGTTGAAAAAATACCTTTCTGACTGTTTTTATCTTTTTTGATCTTGAGAGTCATTCATGGTCAAATCTCAAATTTAAAGTCAGATCTGAACTTCTGACAACTTGTAGATGATTTTGAAAAAAAACTGAAGTCAGTCTAAACGGTATTTGTTAAGTTGTTGGAAGTTGTAAGAATTTGTTACAGATGCCAATTGCTGATTGCAAAACCGCCAACTGCAAAACCCCCAACCACTGATCACCAACCACCACAACAAAAAATGGTATGTATCTCATGAGGAATAAGGAGTATATGTTATTTTTTATGTTTGACTGTTATTTCTTTAAAATTGAATATTTGCGAGGGGACAAGGGATAATACTAAAACTGTCATAAAATGTACATTTCAGGTAGACCCTTCCTGCCCACCCTAAAAATATAATGGAATTTTCGTTGATGTATTAAAAATTAAAAAGGTCCCATTTAACATCCGATATGTAAGCTAACAAAATGTGAGACTTTTAACCCCTCCCACAAGTTGGCATACATTGATATAACGACCTTGACCTGTATATATAATACATACTTGCTGGTGGAGTAGCTGGTTTGATCTTGGGTGTTTTACGTGACATTTCAATCATAGGACTCCTGCTCAATACAGTCACACTGAAACAGAATACAATGGGTTATTGTATATAACATTTTATGAGTTGAAATGAAACTCTCCATTGTGTACCTTTGTGTACTAGTATTTGAGAACTTTACAATTGTTTATAACAAGATTAGCTATAATTAGCTATTTAATATTGCACTTTGGTCCTTTCATTACTAATTTTCTAAGGTTTGATTGGCACACAGAAAAAATATTTTCGGCTGTAATATATTCTGAGAACTTGTAGATGATTTAAAAAGAAATTTGGTCAATTTGAAGTAAGTTGAAAAAATACCTTTTTAACCTTGAGAAGGTAATTGAAAGTCAAATCCTTTTTGACCTTGAGAAGGTGATTGAAGGTCGAATCTCAAATCTATAGTCAGATTTGAATTTCTGAGAACTTGCAGATGATTTTGAAAAAAATTGGTCAATCTGGAGCAAGTTGACAAAAAGACCTTTTTGATCTTTTTTTACCTTGAGAAGGTTAGTGAAGGTGAAAGTAAAATGCCATTTGAAAATGTAGAACTTAGAAGCTCCTCTCAAAATTAGTGTGGGTTACCTTTCTTCTGGAGATTTGGCCTTGGCAAGCAACCTGCGACCACTAGAGGGCATGATGGGAGTTGTCCTCCTTCGTCCACTGCTCCTTGCTTTCAAGACTTTCCTTGCACTGAGTCCCGGAGTTCTAAAAGTACTTTCATCGCTAGACTTCACACCTTCAGTCGGATCCTTTGGTTTTGGTGTCCCTAGCTCTTTGAAATCCATATTTTCTTTAGTGGTTTTCTGATCCTCGACAATCTTATCAAGTGCTGGTTCCTTCACAGGACTAACATTTTCAGTCTCCATGGATTCCACAACAGGCTGTAAAACGTTGATACAAGATCTCCTTGTGTTGCGTCTACCTCTCTTTTCACTCTCATCATCAGTTGATTGTTGGGAGTCTGTATCATCACTTGTAGCGGTAGACTTCCTCCTAGTGCTTCTACGTCTGTTGGCAACCTTCTCCTGTGGTTTCTGTACAACACTACATTGCTGCAAAGTAACATTTCATAATTTTTTCAATTTTAAGATCATTTATCTAATGGTTTTCTTATCAAACTACAATTCGTATATGAATATAAACAATAAAGCTAAAAAAAATTGATTTTAATATACAAGACAAACATTTTCATTTCTTAAAAGCTTTCAATAAACCGTCAAAACAATTTTACAGGGGGAGCAGAAGACAGGGGCTGACATGGAATTGGATTGAACTGGGACAGAATTTGGATCCTGAACTGAACTATAACTGTCTAAACATGCATAAAAGTGTTTATTTTTATTATCCTCACTTCATCTGCAGATGATGCAGTGGATTGGCTCTCACTATCAGTGGCTGGGGCAGGTCTGAGAGACCGTCTCAAGCTTTTCTTAGACACATCTGGAGACTTCACTGCAGTATACCACTTGGTCTCATCTGAGCTCTCCCCCTGGTGACCACTCTCATTAACAGGTTCAATTTTTGATATCTCCTGAATAGCTTCCGCATTGTTCTTGGTTTTCTTTATAGATTTTGGAGTCTTCTTTGTTGACTTTGGTGTCTTCGTCTTTTGTTGCACCAATGTGTCATCTTCACTTGACTGGGAGCCCTTATTTGAGCGTGTAGATTTGCGCCTTTGGCTTTTTGAAGGAGTCTTCTTTGTAATAGCTGCTTCACTTTCTGAAAACATTATACCATATTGTGCATACAAATCTTTGGAGGACCATTATGCACAAACACACCATAGTACATCTTTTACTTTTGAACATGTTTGAGTTTGCTTTCTCTTGCTAAGTTCCATTACAACTTTTGGTCCTTTCCCTTTGGCACTTATATATTTAGTTTATAAAATCTTTATCTCCTAAATCATTGATACATAATTGGATTACCTGAGGCAGAACTAGTCAATTCAGATGGTGAGGCAGTTGCCATGGCAACAACAGGGGAGTGCTGTACCTTCCCAGTAGATGCCTTAGGGGTAGAACACCTGCAATCAATCAAGGGGGTAAAGGATCTAATGCTAAAACAAAACCTGTGTAATAACTACCCTCATGTAAACAGGATTATTATTTCAAACAAGTGATCTCCCGAACAGCAACAACTAATTCAGATATGACCTTGCGTGACCTTAAAAATCCATTTGCACAGGTTGAAAATTTATATAAGCATGTAATATTTTTTTAGCTGCAATAGGTTAAAAATAGCAGGGATTTAACTTTTAACTCACCTGCGAGCAAGAGGACTCGCAATATAGGATCCGCCATCTTGATCTCCGAACATAAAACTGGCGGCACTAGCAGGGCTTAGTGGTTTGAATGAGAAAGATGTAAGATTAGACGGAGCAGAGAATTTAAAGTCATCAGGAGCAAATGAACGTCCACGTTTCTTATTGATTTTCTTCTCGTCAATATTGAAGACCTCATCCGCAGATGTGCTAGACTCACTCTCTGAAGATTTTGTGGCTGCAGCTTTGCTGACTGTGGTGCTGCGGGATGATGCCTTCCTCTTAGGTGCGGCTTCAACCACTTTTTTTGCACCTACTACAGAATAAATATAAAGTACATACATACAGTGAAACCTGTAAAGTGGAACATCTCTATAAGTGGAACACCTCTGTTAATAGAACACTTCAGAGTCCCAAGACCAACTGACTTAATGTTAAATGAACCTCTATAAGTGGAACACTTTTTAGAGGTACAAAAGGTGTTCCACTTATACAGGTTTTACTGTATATCTAAATTGGGTAAATATCAGCATTTCCAAAATCAATATTACAATTTAAATGGTAATATTAACATGTCATTGTATCATTTTTTGTCACTGAATTGAATCATTTTGTAATAGCATCTTCATCCAAGGTGATAAATGAACAATGACTGATTTTGCCACAAAGGTTCATTGGAGGAAGTGGGAAATAATAAGATCAGGTTTGTTAACTCACCTTTAGCTGCAGGTACGGGTGGTTTAGTGCTCTGTTGTCTTGTTGGTCTCCTAGATACTGCTGGCACTGACTTAGAAGCAGCCTTTTTTACAGGGGCCTGTAAGGAACATGAATATTTGAAGCTATGTGCAAATTCATTTTTATTGTCTATGCATCTTCGTACTTTCAGTCTTCCCTGGGTTCAGAGCGATGGGAGCTGAGTGAACGAAGATGTAGTCTGTGTAGAGATAGTAAAACTATTGATTATAAACTATACCAACTGTATTACATTCAGAATTATAAAATGATTGATATAGTACATCTTCATAAACTATGCCATGCTTTTTAGATGAGTACCGAATGTTGATAAAATATATTACTTGTTTAGCAGTGGCTGCTTTTGTAGTCTTGGTTGGTGGTAGCTTTGGTTTATCATCACCCTGACTGGCAATTCTGGTGGATTTCCTTGTCACTCTGCTGGCAACTGGGGCAGGAGCAGTAACTTTAGCTGTACTGGTTGTCTGGTGAATAATGAATAATTTGGATTTTAATACTCGCAAAAACAAGCTACACAATACAGGAATCTTCTCAGCATGAGAGCATCGACCTTGGGGAAGATGCCTCCTTAAGTGTTTCATGATTTCAGTGTGATTTCATGATTTTAAAATGAGTCGTACACCATAGATCTATTTTTTTAAATGTTAAAGGCTGAGAGCGGGTATAAAAGGCAGATGGAACAGCCCACAACAGCCAAATATGGCAGTTTAAATGTCCAGTTCAAACAAAATGAGAAAATATTCAAACTTTCTACTATAACAAGATTGTAACCATGAGTTCCAAGCTCTTTTTTGTGTCAGAGGTTTGTGAAACTATCATGACTATAAATTTCAAATCAAATTCTAAAATGTTTCTTTAGTTTTTGTGAAGTAAGACAAATTCCTTTTTGTAAATATGCTCATTAGTATAACTGAAAATTTAAATTTCAACCAATGGTCATCTCTTATCTGTTCAGAAGTAAACAAACATAGCATTAGGCTGTAGCTCTCTTGTAGCAGACCATGTGTTTCTGTATATGCTGGACATTTAAACTGGCCACATTAGCACTGATTGGCTGAACAGTGGCAGCTTGATTAATAGCTTCACCCGGGTCCAAATCTCTGGGCCTTTAAGGTTCAAATTGTATTCTATTCAAATTATATCATTGTTAAACTATATATCTGCTTTAAATGGGCTTATTAGCCTTTTGCAGATTATTGATGTAGATGTTGAGAGAAAGTGGGTGTTGTAGTACCCCGTTCAAAATCTGTTCGCACCCTGTTAACAGGATACTTGACCTATGAAAACTAAGTTTTGATTTAATTACTAGTATGTTAAAACTTGAAAGTAAAGTTACGGACACAAACCTTTGGTTTTTTCTTGTCTACAGTTTCCTTCTTGAAGAGAATATTGTCGTTGTGAGTCAAATGGCTCACTTTAAATGTTCCTTTCTTGCCTTTCTGCTTTGCCTCAAGTTTTGTCTTCAAATCACGCTCTTCTTTCCATTTCTTTAACCTGTCTTTTAATGCATCACCAGATTCTGAAGAAAATACACACAGTAACTTAACACGTTTTCCTATAGTTCTGACATTTTTTGAAAATTGACTGTCGGATACAGACTAAGTGTCCTCCTAACAGAGAAATAAAAATGGGAGAATTTCTTAACTTCACTTTTATGTATGTAGACAATAGATATTGTAGATGTCACTGACAATAAGTGTTGGTCTCTAAGTGTAAATGGTGCTGACCAAGGGGTCCTGATCATAGTGTTGTCACGATAAATTGATACATTGCGATATACAATGCCAAAAGTGATTCTGCCGATGCATTGATGTCTGAAACAAAACATCAATGTTTTGACAAAAAATAAATCTGCTAAAATCACCTTTTCCTATCTCGTTTTCACGCAAATATCTTACCTTTCTCATTCCCTAGTTCATTTTGCAATGTTCTCTGATATGCTTTAACTTTAAAATTGTTTTAGCTTGTCGAAACGAAACAATCACCTCCAATTTTTTACTTTTTGTTTTTGCACGCCCTGTATCGGAAGTATTTACTATTGATCATTGTTGCGAGACATTATGACTTCATGGAAGCAATAGGCAAAATAGACAAGTCTAACGTGATATGCAAAATATGTTCGACCAGTGGAAAACATTCAAGTTGAAATATTCAGGAAATACAACCAATTAAAACCGCACCTAAAGTCAGTTCACCAGATTACTAATTCTAGCCCAAGCCCCCAAACGTTGATTCAAACTTCACTTCACAAAATGGTAGGTCAGGTCATGGGCTTTCAAGAGACCCCCTACGCCCACCAATAACAGTATATAGATGGCGCTACATGCTCTTGTGGTCCTGAATGACTAGATCTAAATAAAACAGTTTGTCGTCTACTTACTACTAGCTTTTGATACAGGGACACTCTTCTCCTCCTTGACAGGGGACATATTCCTAAGCTTCTGAAAACGATCATTTCGAAGCTGTTTCTGGTCCACCGATCGTCTATGGGCACGAAGCGCACGTTTGTCGGTGATGACATCCTTTTGCTTATACGTCACCAAGTGATCATTTCTTGAATTAACTTTACGATCCATACTTAAAATGACGTCTGTGAATACTCTAATATGAGTTCTAAACGTAAGATTAAAAACAATTTTATTCTTTACAGAATTAAATGTGAAAATAGCCCGAAAGTCGAGCAAATATTTCGACTGTCCACCTTTTCAAAATTTCGAGGTTTGAAAAATTTGAGCGATCTGATTGGCTAATTGCATTTACTGGTGCACCCTGGGTAATAAAACTTTTCTAAAAATTTCAAAGTTTCGTTCTATTTGTATCTTTCAACAGCGATGGCTTACCTGATATCCTCAAACGATATTTTATATTCATATATACTTTATATTACATAGAAAATACTTAATTTTGCTTAGGAAATACCTATATAACAGTCACTAGTCTATGGCAAAGCTACATAAAAAAATTTTGGTGGGTGATAATAGACTGGATTTCTTCTTTGTCCCATAGGTGCCGGCACGATCGTATGTAGTAGTATCAGTACCTCAATAATAATACCTCAATATGAGAAACTAGATTTTTTCCATTTTTTATTTCACAATTCTCCACCCATTACATAAGTATCTGTGACAGATTGTCACGCATTTGCTGGAAAAATAAGGCTAATTTATAAGGTTTATTTATTGAGCCTAGACAACTTCCACATACAATATGGCTGGCATCTGTGCTTTGTCCCACAGGCATGGATTTGCCTTTCATGCAAAACACCTCCATCATCTGTTCTGATGGTTGAAGCCTATTTCTTACCTTATGAACAAACGTAGTGTTTGTCTCAAGAATCTAGAACTTTTGAATAGTATTGTATTTTATTGTATTGTATATTTGTCAGGTCTAAAAGCACCAGATGACAAAAGTGGTTTGCCAGACTAAAAATGGAGCGAAACAATGATACAACAAATGATGAGGTTAGGCTCATAGTGGAGAACCAGACAATTATCTGTAGCAGAAAACAGCTAATACTCTCAAGTGACTATTTCCAAGCTATGTTCAATGCTAATATGCTAGAGTCTGAGGCTAATGAAATAAGACTAAAGGACGTTTCATATGAATCTTTATATCCTCTTATAAGGCACCTTCATGGAGAACAGCTCATCTTCTCAACAGACTCAATGTGTGAAATTCTTTCTACAGCCTGCATGTTCCAGTTCAGTGACGCTGTCAAGACATGTGTGAGATATGTCTCAAGAAATATTACACCCATCAACTGTTTGAAAATAAAAGAATTAAGTCAGAGTCTTCATCTCGTAGAGCTGTTCAACATAGCCACAAAATATAGTTTGCATTTTTTCAGTGATGTAAGGAACAGTAATGCATTTAGGGAGTTTACTCAGGAACAATTGGTAAATTATCTGTCTCAGGAAACATTGAATATTGAGTCAGAAAATGAGGTACTGTCTGCTGTTTTGCATTGGGTTGAATCAACAGAAAATGTTTCAGAAAACTTCTCTGCTGAAGATATTCTAGATGTGGCGAAAAAATGTGTTCAGTTGAAAGAAGTTGATATCACGGTTGTTGATAATCCTATTGAAGATATGGGAGAAGAATGGAAGATGAGGTTTAGGGAGTTCACAAAAATGCTGAATGATGCATCTGTGAAAATAAATAATTTACCAAAGGTATGTAGGAGTATGTAAATTATACTGTACTTATATATATTATATACTTATACTTTAATATATTGAGGTAATTTACATACATGTATTGCAATTGTTTAAGTAAAGAAGATTTCATGTACTTTTCAGATGATTAATAATTATGACATTTTGTTGGTCCATTAAATTTAATTAAAATTAACCATAATTTTTACCCCAGGAAAGGTATAAGCCTCAATATATAGTAGCAGTTGCTGAGGCAGAAACCGATGAAGAGAGAGAAGAACCAAATGCTATCTACAGATTTATGGGGAAATCTCTTCTGCTTTATGACTCCAATAAACTGGCTGACCAGGCCTCAAAGAGGTATGGGAGTCAATCTTCTTTGGATAACCCAGATTCAATTGGGTTTACCTTTGATAAGAGGATAGATTTACCATTTGGTGAGGAGTCAAGAAACTGTAATGGATTTTCATTATGTGTTCTAGGTAAATTTTTTATTCAGTATTTGAAGGAACTATCAAAAATGCAGTATTCTACATGCTGTAAGTTTTAATTTCTTGTTGTACTCGTAGAAGTAGACTTCAATTCTATGTCACGTTAAAAGATCAATTTTTTAATGAGCTGCATATTTTATTATAGACATTTATTTTAAATATCGATTCTCAAAAAAATGTATGCTTAAACATTGACTCTCAAATATCATTTACTCATACATTTACTCTTAAATATTATCCTTAGATATCAGCATTCAAACATCAGCCTCATATATTATCCTTGAATCCTATTACTCATAATTGATACTGGACTATCCCTAAATATCACCAGTCAAACATTGACACTCAATATCACCCCTAAATATCACCAATCAAACATTTAGATATCATCACTCAACATTGACACTCAAATAGCATCCTTAAATATCATCACTCAACATTGACACTCAAAGTCAAATGTCATCCTGTGATATCAGCACTCAAATACAAATACTGCAATGTTGTCACCTTCCTTGTTATTGTGTGTACTTCAACATTATGTTTCTCATTTGTTGATAATGGTTAAACTTAGGTCAAACAATAAAAAATGCTGCGATCATATTTTCCTGTAATGTTCACTGTGCGTCATTTTACAGAATGTGGCTTGTGAAAGAAGCAGAGTTATTCCTCTCGATAGAAATATAATTCTTTGAATTGAAATAAAATAATTTTAAACTGACTTGATTGATATTCTTTCCAGGGGACCGAGACTTGTATGTGTCAGGGGGTGAGGTTGATTTTGGTAGGAACAAGTGGCAAAGATCTCTGTGGAGGTATGACCTATTTAATCCTGCCAAGTGGGAAGAAGTTGCATACATTCCATCGCAAAGGAGGCATCATGGGTCATGCTGTATTAGTAGCGACATCTATTTGGTGGGAGGATTTGGGCAATACAGGCAAATTTTGCATTCTGTAACGAAATACAACACAGAAACAGGTATTGCTATTTATACACCTTATGTAGTCTTATTTATATTCATCTTAGATTGTTTTAAAGTTCTGCGGTAAATGTGAATTTTAATATGTACCCCCTTTCATCTTGAAAGAGTGAATTTATCTACTATGTAGAATTAGTTTTTAAAGATATTCATTCATATATTGGCGTTGGCCACTAATTGAATCATAGCCAATGGTCAGTGAAAAATGAAATATTTTTCCAGATGAATGGAATGATTGTGCATCCTTACTACATGGAGACTTTAGTTTGTCATGCATTGGGCATCACGGCAAGATTTACGCCTGCAAAGACAAGATTCAATGCTACTCAGTAGGAACTGACCAATGGTCATACATCGAACTTTCAGATGATGTCAGAAAATTGGGTGTGTTTTCATGGATACCACTAGCATTTGAGAAACTCATTTTATTTGTTGGCAAATGGTACAAGAACACGGGCCATATCGTTGAATACAACATAGAAAGTGGGGAATCAGAATCATATATGAATGGTTTGTTACCCATAGAGCCAGAGAGTGTATGCAGGGCTCAAGATTCTTTGATAGGGCTGGGACAACCATCTACACAAAGCTATGAAAAAGCTTTTGCTCAGTTCAATTTAAAGACAGGGAAGCAAAGTCAGCCTATAAAGTATGACAAAAGACTGAAGCTGAGTGGCCTGTTAGCTGTTACAATGTATCTGTAGACCCAAAATGCCGATGCCTCCTGCCTGAGCAATTGTAAGTACATGTATAGTATACATTAAATACTTGTATTTATCATTCCGAAGAACTGTTTGTTTTAATTAATACACGATGTAATACACTAAATAGTGCATGCTCAAGGAAATTGACTTTCTAATATAGGCAACAAATACTCTATCCTATATAAATAGAAGAAGTTAAAAGCCTTAGCTATCAAACTTCTTCTGTCTACAATTTGGTAAAAAATGAAAAAAAAATTTAAATGTTTTTGAAGACTACTAACTTTATTTTCTTGCTCAAATTCCCAATTGTAACTTGTTCCATCAATCAAAGTGTTCACAAAACATTGCTTCCCTAAATTAGCAAGCAAATTTAATTCTGCAGAGCACCCAGCCTCTGGAAGGCTGGGGATAAATGCAGGCAATAAGAATAAGAATCACTTGTTTGTTTTGATACATGCAGGTCATAGTGACCTGTACTTCAATGCTATTACTGTATTTTAATATCAAATAATTTGGAACTTTTTAAAAACCTGAACTTTCCAAAGATAGCAAAGTCAGGTCAGGAAAACAAAAACCAAACAGTTCTCTTGGCTGATCATTTTATAAAGATTTGATTGACATCTCTATTTTTACACATTCCAAATATGGAAAGTAAAATTGATGAAATTGGTACAAACTTCAAGGTCAAGCTGATCTGGTCACTCTACAAGACAATTAAAAAAAATTTATGACTTAAAAATGACAAGTTCTATCCTTGATATCTCATCTAAAACACATTTTTAGAAAATATGACCTTTCAAACCATTCTTAGGTATCCAATATCCTACCAACTGAGGACTTTTATTAAAAAGTTTGTTTGATTAAAATGAGGATTTTGATGGATTTCATAGAGCTATTTTGTTAAAGAATTCTCTGATAATTGATTGCTGATCATGTGTCAGTTGAAAACTCAAGATGTTATTACATTATCTTAAGATTGGGAATCCATATCCATAATCAACCTAAACTTATTTGCTAAAAACAGAATCCAATACTATTACATGATGTTGAAATATCAAGTCTATTTTGAATGCATTTCGAAGGAAAAAGTTTTATTCTTGAAATAATATATTTTATTTTTAATCATACATACATATTTATTTTTGTATTTTCCCTCACATGGGGAATAAGGATGACTCGATGTATATTAAATCTTGAAAGCATTATATGCCACAAGGCAAGCAATAACATATAATTCCAGCTCTAGATAAACAAACAATATAGACAGAAAAATAAGTTCAAAATTAATGCTTCAAATTGTGACTAGCAATATGAATGAAATTCTTTCCCCCTCCCTTTGTCCCCCTAACTGACCACTGGCAAATCCAAAAAATTTTGGGCTCAAACAAAAATTTTATAGGGGCTCAAAAATAGGCCTTTTTGGTCATAACTTGGCCTTTTTAAGACAGATTATCAAAAAATGGGCCTCCCCTTGTTAACTTCTGGATCCGCCAGTGCTGACTATCTATTACTATAACAATGGTAATGTTTTATTAGCAGTAGTAAATTTAGTCTCTTTTAACCAATTTCTGATTGCGGCCTCTTTTGATTTATCAGCAGAACTTGGGCAAATATAGTCCGGTAATGGCAGCTCCTCATCTTGGATATCATCTAATGTCACAATTAGCATTTCTTCCTCCATTTTCTTCTTCTTTTTTGCATTTTTTGAATTTTGGTTTTTGCTCCTTCCCTTGCTATTTTCATCTATGATGTCTGATATTGTCGCTGTATCCACCCAACATTTGGGCTTTTTCTTCACCTTGTTATTTTTACTGGAAAATAATTGGAGAGTAAATTTAATGTGTGAACATATATTTTGTAACAATGTCATTTATTTTTTAGTTTTGAACAATTAATATTTACAAACCGAAATATATTTTTTAGAAAAGATTGTTTCACAACAAACCAAACTTTATACAAGAAATTATCTTCAACTATGCTAATGAATATTAAAATATACCACAGTACTATTTACAACCCTCTTTCAAAATCAAAAAAGCCCATCAATTCAGAAAAAACACTTCTTCTTCAGTTAAGCACCAAAATAGTCAAATTATTTCAATACAGTAGAAATCTCCAATGAATAATTGAAATTAATTTATTACTAAATTGGTGAAATAATTCTTTTTAACATACTTTAAACTCTAATCTAATGTGAATCATAGACATGGTTTCATATTTTGGATAATGCATGTACAGTGAAACCTGTAAAGTGGAACACCTCTAGAAGTGGAACCCCTCGTTTAGTGGAACACTTTTCAAAGTCCCAAGACCAACTGAGTTGATGATAAATGAACCTCTATAAGTGGAACACCTTCTAAGTAGAAAAACCTCAGCGCTTTTCAATCATATATTATATATATTCTTAGTATTGCTAAGTAGATATATATGATAAGACTTCTTATTCTATCAGTTCACTTTGGTAGATGATAATTCGAGAGCTCTTTAGACTTACTAACTAAAACATTGTTTTGTTTGTGATAAGGTTGTTATTTTTAACATTATTAGTTTACCAGGTCCTGATGATGACTCCCCCCCCCACACTTTTCTTTTTTCAGGACACCAAGGTACTTTGTAGGGTTTTAAGAAATGATAAATTAGTAAAAGCTGTATGCAGGTTTTTCAACAAGCCCTGTGGCTCAAAATGACGTTAGTTTTCCGGCTTAATGTCTTGAGGTCTAGAAACATTCACAAATTTTCTCTAAAGTGCTGAAAAGAAAGCAATTTCTCTTATGAAAGAAAATATTAGCGATATGAGTACATGATGGCCATGATTTTACCTGTTTGAATCAGCTGCTTTCTTAGAGGCTGATTTTCCCTTAGCATCTTTGGGGGGCTCAGGGGAGGGTGCTGGACTATCCGGGATGGGGCTACCAGTCTGTAACATTATCCTTGGGACTGACTGACGGGATATGAGACCAGTTCTTGCTGAATAGTTTGTATTTGGACGAGTCCCACCTTGGCTCAGACTCATCTTATCCAAGTTCAAGATGGCTGGATCATAGAATGGGGCTTTTTCTTCAAGGCTGTTAGCTGTTGGTATCAAAATGAAATCTGGTTTTGTCATCCCAGGTATAGGTATTGACTTAATCACTGTATACTCTGCATTGCTATTGTTTATAGTATTTGTAATTCCGGAATAACGGGACGAGCGTTCATGTGTGCTGTATTTTGCCCCAGTGCGAGGACGTGTCCTAATACTGTTCATAATCTTAGCCCTAGAGTTGTGAATGGGACTACCCGATTTACTCGGCCCATTTGTTTTTTCATTGTATATATCCTGTAACGAGGATTTTCTAAAACATTGTATTACTTTGCTTGGGTCATTGTTATTCAGAGAATAGTCAAATTGGTCGCGACTATATTTTTTCAAATCATCACTTTTTTCAGTAACATCATTAATGAATTCCTCCCTATTTTTCCTAAGAGATTGGAAATATTCGAGGTTTCTCTGAATAGCATCCATTGTATAATCCAGATCTATATCCTGGGAGTGTTGCTTAGTCCATCTCTCTCTTGGTTTCTGAAATGGAACAGAGCGTGATTTAGTTGACGATGATTTTGGACGCTGTGTATTTAGAACAGCACTTGACCGTGTCAGTGAGGCTGATTTTGACCCCTTATATTTAGAACTCATTGTTTTTGCTGCATTTCCAGTTTTATGGGCTGATTTTGGTTTACCAGTTTGCCGTTTTTCCAAGGGTTTCTGTCTATTACTTTTCGCTGAATATATCCATTTCACATCCCACCTCATAATGAGTGACCAGTTTTTTACACTATTTATGGCACTAAAGTTCAATCTAGTTAATCAAGTCTAAATTCACTAATAACTAGCTCATCATTGCCATTTGTTTACAACTGTTTTGATCTGACCACCACCATCCATGTCATGATAAATGTAAAGTGAACTCAACACATACAATGCTTAAGGCCTAATCCTAATCTTTTAAATATTTATATAAATTATTGCGGTTTATATTATCGTCTTTTCTATGTACATTGTACCTAAATTAGGCTTCAGGATAAGGTACTTTGAATGCAAGTGCATGTTTTGAATATCTTAACAAGATTCCAGGGAATTCTATTGGTCTGAATACTTGGTTTCTAGGGACAAATAAGCCTGTTATCCTACCTTTTATACAAACACAATGCCTTCAGTTTTCAGACAACTTCAGGTTTATTTCAAGAATATTTCATGACATCGTTTCATTGTATTGATTTTTTAAAGTTTTCAAAGTGATCAATAAATTGCAACATTTTTATTGATATAAACTCTTTGAAGTAAACACATTGTATTTGAAAAAATATTGGAAATAATGTGATCTGTGACTCAAAAATGAAATACTGTATTTGTAATGAAAGTAAAAGATAGGTGGCAGAAATAGATATTACAGAGTTTATATCATGGCTCTGGTTCTATGGCAGTCTAGCTATAAGCCCTTGTGACCCCCTCCCCCCCCCCACTACAAACTCTCTCACAAGTGGAGAAGTAGATAGGGGGGGGGGGGTAGGGGGGTGTCCAGAGACATGAATGAAGACTAGTTCTATGTATCATGAAATAAAGTCAAAGCTCTTGGTTGATTAGGAAAATAGGCATGATGAATGAAGATTGTAGTATAGATGTTTTAAATTGAGACAACTTTTTAAATAGTGACCTCCAAATCATCTGTAACCCTTGTCACACCTTTTAACATCTTTATTAGCAAATCAGCCAGATTGGGTTAGGTTTATCCAGTGATGTTTTACATCATTAAAACTACCAAGTATTATATTTCCTACATGCGAGAGTCAAGGTTAAAAGCTATTGATTTGGAGGAAATAATTATTTGAAGAGAATTGTTGACCATTCTTCCCTTTACAGTCAGCTTTTATTGATTATTGATATTAATATGCAACTTTGATCATTTAATACTTGTGGCCTTAAGATCATAATTTGAGCTAATTGATACATTAGTACTATAAATGCCATAAACCTAAACCTGACGTAAGACTATATGTTCTAATATACACTGAGCACAGAGGCTATTATAAACTTCAAGAGGAAGCTGTTTAAGAAGCAAATGAAATCAATGTGTAAATTGTATTGAAAGGAACTCTCAAAAAGTTTGTTTCAGTTTCCAGAAATATATTTTATGCTGTATAGGATGTTGCATACATATAATTGCTACCATAAAAATATTCTGAGATATTGCTTTTTTATTTTTCAAAACATATTATATTTCCTTACAATTAAGCAAAAACCATTTTTACGCCCCAAAACTAGGTAAGAAATCTTGAACTCATACTTTATTGAGTAATATTGCAGTATCACATAATTAGCACCTCATTTAAAATAGAATCTTATTGTCAACTAAGCTTTCTATGGGGTAGAGTACATAACAGTCAGTCAATTATTGAATCCTTCGCAGAATAAAATCATTACTTACATTCTGCTGCATTATTCCAATTAATGATTTCTCTTTCTTCAGGTATACCTCTCAAACTTTGTCAATATCAGATATTTCTATAAGTCGGAAATATCAGGCTTCCATATCATGAAACACCTACACGTACCATGTATTTGTCATGATGACTGAGCAATTATAAAGCTCCTCGGGTTATTTTTTGTTTTTCTCTTTTGTTCTTCTCTTTGATTGCAAGTGATACCATTGTTATTATTAACACATCTCCCAGCATCCCCTGAAGGAGATCACTGGCATTCAGGTAAATCTCCTTTTAGTTGTATCTCTAGAGATCTTTAATTTTGCAATGAAATCTCTAAATGGAAGCTTTCTTCTATAGAATCAAAAGCAATTATTATTTTACATGAGATAGAACGTATATTTCAAATTATCAAGTACCTCATCATTACTCAGGACATGTACAGGGTGGTCCAAAAAGTGAACCCTTGCAACAAGCTATATCTTAGTTATACTGGCATTAATGGATTAATATAACGCTATGTAACTTCTGCTCGATCTAAGACTGATTGGCTTTTATGGTACCCTCTAAAACATGTGGGAATATTAGCCCATTAATGCCATTAACAAGTGAGATATAGCTTGTTGCAAGGGTTCACTTTTTGGACCCCCCGTATTTGATTGCATGGGACTTACATTATGTAGTTTCCTAGTTATCCCAGTTTTTATCATCTTCAAATATTTGAACTAAATTACAAAGCTAGATTTGACTAATTAGAACTATATCTGTGCATGGATTTTCCCAGAAAATCATGATCACCTGACTTTTGTAAATTAAGAGACCCCGGGTAAGAGACAGTCATTTATCCAGCTTTCGAAAAAAGCTGACATTTTGAACCAGACGGTATAAATTGATGACTTCCTCTCCATTATCTTGAATATCATAATCCAATCAGATTCGAGACGTCAAGATAATTAAATGTCAGGATGTTCATAACTCTTTCTGAGATTGAAGATGTAATTGATATTTCATTTCATTGTGAACAGGTCAGGGTAACATGAATGCAAAAATTGAATAAGTAATACTATTCTCTCTAATAGACACATATCGCTCATATACTTACCTCCGTGGGGATTTTGTCATTTGAGACATCTCCTACAGGAGAGTTTGGGAGCCACATTGTGCATTTATTAGAGAGAATATGGTATATATGTTCCAAATCTTTAATTTATGTCTGAAACATTCTTGCCAAATGTATATTTCAATAAAGCATGTCAATTTCAAATGTAGATTTGATTGACAGCTCTTATGTCACATTTAGAGTGAAATGTATCTCACCTTCCAGGTCAAGCAGTTCTATATTAGGCACATAGAGAATTAATAAATTATATCATATATTTGTCAGCATACATCTTGTGTATTTTGTATTCAAACATGACCGTGCTCTATTCGAATTTCTCAACCAATCAGAATGCAGCATAGCCAATATAGAACGTTCTCTAATTCTTCATAGATGCACGACCATGCTCTATTCAATCTGCAATTTGCATTGTTTTGAGTGACGTCACATCTCAGCTGCACATCTGGGGCTCTGTCCGGGGATAGCTGTTCTTTTTTACTCCCTCCCTCAAAATTTAATAGTACAATTTAGATTTCTAACATGTAATCTATCACCACTTTTCAAATAACCTGAAAATTGAAACATTTCTCCTTTCACATTTCTTGCTTTTGAAGAGTTCAAACATGATTTACAAAACAATATTTCACTGAAATACACGAAGGCAATTAAATTATAGTTGATAATTGTCATTCTAGATACTGTACGCCCGGTATTATTCGCGAGCTTTAATTTCGCGAATTTTGTGAAAACACGTTTTCGCGGCTATTTAATTTCGCGAATACTGTATTTTATCGTATTCGGGGATTCCCCAGTATATGAAATTCAGTTCCCAGTACATTCCCCAGTATATGATGTCCAATCAAATTGCAGGCTACGATCACGTGAACAATCGTGCGCACGTGCTCTTTCATTGCCGCGCATACGCATAGTAAAGTCATGGAGTTGCACAGTACTACTGAAGTACTATAACTCGATCCAAACTAGTAGACAAAACGAAATGCATCAGAGCCCCGGGTAATAACAAATTCCCGGGGATTTAATTGGCAATTTCGCGACGATAATTTTTCGCGATTTTAACACCCTCGCGAAAAGCGCGAAAGTTAATCGCACGCGAATAATACCGGGCGTACAGTATTTATTTTTATTTTATCAACACCCCATGTTTGCATACACCGTATAAAATCTAAAACGGGGAGTAAAATAGAACAGCCCAAACAAATTCTAAAATGTTTCCGGCCGACTTCAGAATCTTGACAGCATGCGTATTCTTCCTTCATGCCCAGGCCCGTAGCCAGAATTTTCCAAGGGGGGGTTCGTTTTTCTAAAAAAATTCTAGGGGGGGTTCACTTTGGCAAATATGGCCAAAAATCACTCAAAAATTAGTCAGAATGGTGAAAAACTGCATGATTTTGAAAGAAATTTTGGCCAGGGGGGGGGGTTCGCCCGAACCCCCCAAACCCCCCCTGGCTACGGGCCTGATGCCCGTTCCACAGACACGGCTTTTACTAAATTTTATGTTTGAATCGGAATAAATAATGATAGGCCATTCAATATGGTGAAATTCAGCACGAGTTGGACAGAATGTTAGTACAAATGCACTCACCTTCGGTTCGTGCTTTGTACAACATTCTGTCCAACTCGTGCTGAATTTCACCATATTGAATGGCCTATCATTATTTATTCCTTAATCCAGTATCTAATAATTTAATTTTCTTGTATCCAGTATTAATGGTGATCTTTGGTATCCAATGTCTTTTGTATCCAATTTCAAATTAGAGATATTTTATATTTTATATCAAACTATTTCATATTTTGTATCAAATATCAAATTATTTAATCTTTTGTTTCAAATGTCAAACAAATTAAGATGTTTAGAACATGGTAATACAGGATAGACAATATTTTGTCCTTATAATAACTCTATTGCCATAGCAACATAACAATCAGAGACTAATTGACAGAAATTAAATATAGACATAAGACACTGTGAAAGGTGAAAATAC